TAACTAATTTATGGTGGTGGGCATTCAATTTCTTGGCCAAAGGTAAAAGGAAGGGCACTTACCCATGTGTATCCATGTGTGTGAAACTTGGGGTTTAATATTTATTGTTAACCAGATATATGCTTACACCAAACCATTTACAGTTTGAGTCCGCACCGTGCACCGTTTCCGATCTTTAGAGACAACCTACATGTTTTCCGACCCTCTCAGTTAGACTCCTAAAAAATAGGGGATAAGAATGACGTCTCATGCTTGATGTTGAAAAGCTCATGTGAAGTCTGTTCTTCTGTTGAAATTTCTTTCACTCGTATCCCAGCCTGGTGTCAAGAAGTTGGTGTTATGACACCAACTCATTCTACGCACGCGATTGGTCCAAAAATATCGCTCGACCAATCACAATGGCCGAGCGTTTTTTTGGTCCAATCGTGTACGCATAATGAGTTGGTGTCATGACACCAAATTCTTGACACCAGGCTGGGATACGACCTCATTCATGTCATTGTCCGGAACATTACCTGCTGTAAAAAGTATGTCGCCCCACAAAACTGTCGGTCCAAGATTAAGAAAGGGTACATACCCATGTGTACACGTGGGTGGTGAAATTAGGGGGACATAAAGTATCGGTGGTTTGGTGTACTAGCTAAATCTTGACTCTCTTCGTTTCTAATCTAAAGCCCCAGGTGGGGTCCAAGAAGCCTATTGGTGGCGGACATCTAGCCCTCCACATGGTTTTGCGTGGCTGGTTGCGTGTCAGCGACAACGACACGTACGTCACGACAACTCAGAGGGCCGCTGGCTGAACCTGGTTTTCGTGCGGTGCGAATTCCGTTTTCTTCCTCGCTGTGTATGTCCGCTCCGCACTCTAGCTTCTTTCGAAAGCTCCCCCTCACCCCACAGCCTCGCGCAAACCGAGAGGTTACAGCTTCAACCACCAGCCCCACTCTGGCATTCCGTGCTTTCTTCCGCTTTTGACATCCGCGCAAGTTGGGGCTTTTGCAAGACGTCGATTAAAAATATCAGTTCTAGGACCAGCAAGAAGCCTTAGAGCGTAGTACGTCCCTCGGTTGGATGTAATCTAAAGCCACGGGTTTAGGATCCAAGCAGCCCATTGGTGGCAGACACCAAACCTCCAGATGGTTTTGCCTGGATGGATGGTTACGTGTCAGCGACAATGACACGTACGTCACGACAACTCAGAGCGCCGCTGGCTGAATCTGGTTTTTGTGCGGTGGAGATTCCGTTTCCTTCCTCGCTGGATACTTCCGTCCGTATCAATACACCCTCGTTCATACGCCGACGTCTTCCACGTGACTCTTTTACTTCTTTCGAACACTCCCCGCCACCCCACAGCCTCGCGCAAACCGCACGCAACGTTCCAGTTTCAACCACCAGGCCCCCTCTGGCGTTCCATACTTGGCTTCCGTTTTAGCCATCTGCGCAAGCTGGGGCTTTGGCGGGATGTCGATTAAAAATATCAGTCCTCGTAGGACCAGCAACAGGCCTTAGGGTTGCGCGCTCTGCGAGCCTTCAGTCTGCGTCTCTCCACTCATGAACTGGCATTCGTTCCTTCAGTTTCATTGACAGCCAACATAACACACAACTTTGGAACACTTCTTCCACACTGCTTAACAGACGCTTACCACAAAGAAACCTCTCACATACTACTGCTCATTGCGTTTAGAAAGAAAATAATTCCTTTTCAGTATTTTCACGGAACTCCGTCTCTAAAGCCGCGTCAGCCATGCGTTCCATCAACAGCCTCCTATTGAGCAGCCCCCTCTGCGACGCGGGCCTCAAGGGGCAGGAGGATTCGTCGCCGTGGTTGCCTGACGACATCGATATCGACGCCATCATGTCGTACGACAACACGAACGACGGTTGCGACCCAAAGCCGTCGCCAGGCGACATTTATGCGCATGCGGACTGCTTAAGTAGCGGCCGTTGCGACGGGATTGCTTCAAGAGCCGCTGACTCAACCCCTAACGATGAGATCGCCAACCGTCGCACAGGGGAGAAGACTGCGACTTCCGTGCGACAAGTTACGACGATTTATCACATTCCCTGCGACTCTTTTGCAGAAGAGAGCTGCTGCAGCAGCGACAGCGGTAGCGGGAGGGGCGACGACATCGGCGACTGCAGCTTTCGAAGTCTCGGAGTCTGGTGCGCCGCGGACGGCGACAATAGTAATGCGAAGCTGCGACTCGAGTCGTCAACTTGTAGCGACGTCGACAGTGCTTGTAGCGGGACAATCTCGAAAGAGCGCGATGTGCGGGGCGTCAGCAGCACTTGCGACAGTCGCAGGCGAAACCTTCGCGAAGAATTTCCCAGGAGTCGCACGGAGAACCTAGCGCCAGTGTCGAAACCCCTAAAACGCTCACAAGCAACGAGAGGGAGACGGAGCACATGTATGAATAAATGCTTGTTACAAGAACGCTCTTCGTCGATGCCAGAGCTCACGAACTTCGATCTGCTGACTCAACTCACCGTGCTCGCCGCTTTGCGAAATGTACGAACTTCGCAAACGGGGTCAATCTAACGCGACAGCAACTCCCTCCAGTTCTGTCGCGCGTGGCTCGGCCTTGCATCCGAGCTACCACCAGAACATGCGGCTGCGCTGTAAAGGCACTCGTTGGATGTAATAAGGACGGAGTACACAGTCTAGTTTCCTGTAGAAAATCTTTATTTTTCGAGTGGTAATTTTGTGCACTCATGAGTGTACTGTTTTACAAACATAGTACAAAGTAGACTATAAACAATACAAAGAGGATCAGCCATTTGCATCTGTGTTTATAATACCAATCACCGGAAAACTTCATAAACCCGCTTCTATACAAGGAGATTGAAGAGCAACCAGCCAGCCAAGCCACTCCACTCCCCCAAAAAAACACCTAGCTACTCTGCTCAGCACTGCAGAGAAAACCAAACCCTTCAATCCAACCAATAAAGAATTAGTACGGTAATAAAGCGTTTTGCTAGCATGCCGCTAGAAAAGGATGGTCGACGAGCCGGGCGGCGGTCGGGCGGCGCGACGGATCCCGGTCCAAACAGGTCGCGACGAAATCAATGAGCTGCGGCGAGGAATCGGGCGGCAGGTCTGGCAGAGCCCTGCTGTGTGCTATGAAGAGCCGCACTTGGTCCTCGTCCCCCACTTGCGCCCATGGTAATGCTCCCGTTGCCATGTGCACTGCTAAACAGCCCACTGCCCATATGTCTGCTGCTGCTCCCACTGTCTCCTGCTTGGTAGATGGGGAATTGGGGGAATAGGTAGCAGAAGATGGGGCATTGGGAGAACAGGTGTTGGAACAAAGGGGGGAATTGATGAAAGATGGAAATGAGAGGGGGACGAGGAGAGAGTTTTTTGAATGGAAAAAACTTGGGCAAACGGCGATGTGCGTAGGAAGAATGGGCAGCGCAGAAGTAACAAGTTGGGGACGAGTGGAGCACCGTAGAGAGCACCACAAACACCAGAACAGCAATGCTTTCACGGCAGCAAAGCGGTAGCACCTTCACCTTTCTGATCTCCTCAGGAGAACACCACGGCACCTTGCTTCCTCCCCTCCCCCCTTCCCCTCCCTCCTCTCCCTCTTCCCCTCCTCCCTCCCCTCCCCCCTCCCCTCCCTCCCCTTCGCCATCCAGGAACGAGGTCCCGGCCAGCTTCACAACGCCATCATCGGGAACAAACACACTGCTGGTGTGCACACGGCCGTGGGGGATGCCGAGGGAGTGAAACGCCACCAAGGCTTCAACCACCTGAGGGCGGGGAGACAGAGGGAGAGAGTGTGGTGCTTCAACTCTTAGTTGACTCAATAGCCATCGTCGGGAACAAACACGCTGGTGGTGTGCACACGGCCGTGGGGGATGCCGAGGGAGTGAAACGCCACCAAGGCTTCAACCACCTGAGGGCGGGGAGACAGAGGGAGAGAGTGTGGGGCTTCAACTCTTAGTTGACTCAATAGCCATCGTCGGGAACAAACACGCTGGTGGTGTGCACACGGCCGTGGGGGATGCCGAGGGAGTGAAACGCCACCAAGGCTTCAACCACCTGAGGGCGGGGAGACAGAGGGAGAGAGTGTGGGGCTTCAACTCTTAGTTGACTCAATAGCCATCGTCGGGAACAAACACGCTGGTGGTGTGCACACGGCCGTGGGGGATGCCGAGGGAGTGAAACGCCACCAAGGCTTCAACCACCTGAGGGCGGGGAGACAGAGGGAGAGAGTGTGGGGCTTCAACTCTTAGTTGACTCAATAGCCATCGTCGGGAACAAACACGCTGGTGGTGTGCACACGGCCGTGGGGGATGCCGAGGGAGTGAAACGCCACCAAGGCTTCAACCACCTGAGGGCGGGGAGACAGAGGGAGAGAGTGTGGGGCTTCAACTCTTAGTTGACTCAATAGCCATCGTCGGGAACAAACAAGCTGGTGGTGTGCACACGGCCGTGGGGGATGCCGAGGGAGTGAAACGCCACCAAGGCTTCAACCACCTGAGGGGGGGAAAGAAAGAGACAGTATGAGGCTTCACTTCTCAGTCGACTAGCTGTCGTCGGGAACAAACACGCTGCTGGTGCGCACACGCCCGTGGGGGATGCCGAGGGAATGGAACGCTGTGAGTGCTTCAACCACCTGACAGGGACAGAGGGAGGGAGCACATGGGGAATGCTTTCCTGGTGAGCTTCATGACGCCATCATTAGGGACAAACGCGCTGTTGGTGTGCACACGGCCGTGGGGGATGCCGAGGGAGTGAAACGCCACCAGCGCTTCAACCACCTGAAGGGGGGACAGAAGCAGAGAGTATGGAGCTTCACGTCTTAGTCCACTCGAGAGCCGTTGGGGCCGCATTTTGTGACCTGGTGGGAGAAGTCAAGCGCAGCAAACAGCAACTACAGGCAACTACAGGCAAACAGCAACTACAGGCAACTACAGGCAAACAGCAACTACAGGCAACTACAGGCAAACAGCAACTACAGGCAAACAGCAACTACAGGCAACTACAGGCAAACAGCAACTACAGGCAACTACAGGCAAACAGCAACTACAGGCAAACAGCAACTACAGGCAACTACAGGCAAACAGCAACTAACGGCCACTCACCTGGCGAAGGCAGAAGGCAAGTGTCTCTTCAGGCATGGGGCCGCAATCAGTGAGCTGGTGGGCGAGCGACGGCACGGGCACGTAGTCAAACGCAGCAAACAGCAGCTGAACGCCGCCCCCGCTGCTGCTGCCACCGCCGCTGCCGCCGATGCAGCTGCTGCTGTTGTTGTGGCTGGCGCTTGCGTTGATGCTGCCAGTGGCGGGGGAGGGGGCGGTGGTGCGAATGGCGCCAACACATGGCACAATGTTCTCATGCCTGGGGAAGGGGGAGAAAGGGAATGGGAGGAAAACAGGGCACGGGACGACAAAGGAGGGAGGACAACTTTAGGGGCGACGGTGGTGGGGACGGGGGCTGTCACGCTACTTCCCCCCAAAACACTTCTCTTTCTCCACACGTCTCAGAACCAAAAAACCATTCTCTCTCTCAACAAATCACTCACTTTAACTTCAGCAGCAACGCAACCCGCTGGTGCATCCGCCGCTCTCTCTCCGACTGCCCTGCCGGCCCCCCCACGCCCCTCTCCCCGTCCGCACCTCCACTCCTCTCCCCCACGTGCACGCGCTGCACCACCAGCTGCTGCTTGGTGCCCCGGTCCACCACCAGTCTCAGCCGCCCCCCCAGGCGCGACACTAGCTGCCACCGCCGTGGAAGGTAGTCCTGGAGTAGGCGCTGCCTGCCGCTGCTGCTGCTGGGGACGGTGGGAGTGGGGAGGGTGGGACTGGGGAGGGTGGGAGTGGGTGCGGTGGGAGTGGGGAGGGTGGGAGCGGGGGCAGTGGGAGCAGGGGAGGAGGCAGTGGGGGCGGTGGGAGTGGGGGGTCTGGGACTGGCGGCGGGGGCAGTAGGGATGGTGGGAGTAGAGGGGTTGGGTGCAATAGCACTAGGAGTCGGGGTGGTTGGATTAGAGGCAGGAGTGGCTGCTGCTGCAGCAGCAGCAGCAGCAGCAGCAGCGGCAGCAGCAGAAGTGGGGCTGGGGAGAGGAGAGGAAGCAGCAGAGGCGAAGGAGTGGGAGGGAAGAGGAGGGGGCGTGAATCTCTGCCTCCTGGCCGCACCAATAGCTCCTGCAACCCCCCCAATCGCACCCCCCCCTGTTGCACCTCCCCCTGTCACACCCCCTCCTGTTGCTCCTGCTCCTCCTGCTCCTGCTCCTGCTCCTCCTGCTCCTGCTCCTGCTCCTCCTGCTCCTCCTCCTGCTCCTCCTCCTGCTCCTGCTCCTGCTCCTGTTCCTGCTACTCCCCCTCCTCCTCCTGCCAACCCCCCCATCACCAGAGACCCAAACCCTCGGGGGACTCTAGGCGAACCCCCAGGCATGGGCGGCCCTACACAAGGCCTGGGACTGCTGCCTAAGGCTTGGCCCGAACCTGGCGCCGAACCAACCGGCGGGCCCTGGTTGCCCGAACCTGAAACCGAGGCTGCTTTTATCGTCCCAACCGAATGCCCAGAGCTCCTGGACGCGTCCAAGCTCAGCTGGTTCACCTGCCCGTTCCGCCTCGCATTCTGGTTCGGGGCTTGGTTCGGCGTGCCCGAACCTGGCGCGGTGTGCCACCCGAAGCTACCATCCTCGTTCCCAACCGAGTGGGTGGATCGGGTGGAAGAGACGGGAAGGTCTAACGATCCAGGGGGGGAGGGGGGTTCTATGCACATTTCGTTGTTACCAGTGTTACCAGTATCACCTGTGTTGCCCGTGTTACCAGTGTTGCCAGTATTAACAGTGTTATCAGTGTTTCCATTCTTGGTAGCATGGGAGGCAGGCAGGGGTTGAGGTTGAGTGGGGAAGGGCGGGCGTGTGGGGGAGTTGAGAGGGCTACGAGTAGGGGAACGGGGAGGAACGTTTGGGGGAGTGACGTTCGGAGAAGGGAGGTTTGGGGAAGAGAGGTTCGGAGGGAGGTTCGTGGGAGATAGGTTGGAGGGAGGGAGGTTGGGAGAGGCACGGTTGGTGGGAGGCGAAGAGCGGGGGGCAGAAGAGGCGTGGGGGGAAGGAGGAGTGGGTAGATCTGTGGGGATGGAAGGAGCAGGAGGGGTGGGTGGGCGCGAAACTGGGGTGTCTTTAGAGAGGTCTCAAAAACGGTGGGGATGGAAGGAGCAGCAGGAGGGGTGGGTGGGCGTGAGAGTGCGGGAGTGCGGGAATGGTTGTGGGGAGGCAGAGGTGACATGTCAAACCGAGAGTGGGTGTGCGGAGGAGGAGGAGTGGGAAGGGGAGAGGAGGGACGAGAAATTTGTTGCTTTGCCTTGAACTGAGGAAGGGGAGAGGGGTGAGGGAAGGGCGAGCGATAAGGGGAGGGAAAGGGAGAGCGGTGAGGGGAGAGAAGGGGAGAGCGGTGAGGGGAGGAAAGGGGAGAGTCTGGAGTGGGGGATGGGGAGGAGCGGGGGGGGCATGTGGGCGAAGGAGCTCTATGCTGCGCGTGGGATGGAAGGGAAGGAGGCTGCTGCTGCTGCTGCTGCTGCTGCTGCTGCTGCTGCTGCTGCTGCTGCTGCTGCTGCTGCTGCTGCTGCTGCTGCTGCTGCTGCTGCTGCTGCTGCTGCTGCTGCTGCTGCTGCTGCTGCTGCTGCTGCTGCTGCTGCTGCTGCTGCTGCTGCTGCTGCTGCTGCTGCTGCTGCTGCTGCTGCTGCTGCTGCTGCTGCTGCTGCTGCTGCTGCTGCTGCTGCTGCTGCTGCTGCTGCTGCTGCTGCTGCTGCTGCTGCTGCTGCTGCTGCTGCTGCTGCTGCTGCTGCTGCTGCTGCTGCTGCTGCTGCTGCTGCTGCTGCTGCTGCTGCTGCTGCTGCTGCTGCTGCTGCTGCTGCTGCTGCTGCTGCTGCTGCTGCTGCTGCTGCTGCTGCTGCTGCTGCTGCTGCTGCTGCTGCTGCTGCTGCTGCTGCTGCTGCTGCTGCTGCTGCTGCTGCTGCTGCTGCTGCTGCTGCTGCTGCTGCTGCTGCTGCTGCTGCTGCTGCTGCTGCTGCTGCTGCTGCTGCTGCTGCTGCTGCTGCTGCTGCTGCTGCTGCTGCTGCTGCTGCTGCTGCTGCTGCTGCTGCTGCTGCTGCTGCTGCTGCTGCTGCTGCTGCTGCTGCTGCTGCTGCTGCTGCTGCTGCTGCTGCTGCTGCTGCCGCTGCTGCCGCATATTGTATTGCCCTGTCTCCTCTGTCCCATCGCCCCCTCCCCCATCAACCCCGCCGTCATCACCCCTTCCCTCATCATCCCCTCCCCTCTCACCCCCTTCCCCATCACCGTCTCCCCCATTGCCAGAGCAAACCAGCCTCATTCCTCTGGAACCGAAAGGCATGCTCCCAGAATGCACGACCAACTGCATGCCCTGCCAACCCTCTGCCCCTTCACCTTCCCCTCCCTGCCAACCCGCTGCCTCCTCCTCACACTCTCCTCCCTGCTCCTCTTCCTGACTCCCTCCCTGCACCCCTCTCCTCCTCTCTCCCTCTCCCCCTCCTTCCCGCTCCCTCTCTTCTTCCTCCCTCTCCTCCTCTTCCTCTTCTCCCCCTTCCCTTCCCCCTCCCGCATCAGCACCAACAGCACCACCCCGTTCCCCGCCCATCCCCACCCCTCTCAACCCCTCGCCCAATCCACACAGCCCCGCAGCATCAGCAGCAGGAGGGGCATCACCCCCCGCATTCACCTCTGAACCCCTCCCTTGCGCCGACTGCAAACCCTGAGAGGCTTGAAACGCCTGGAAAGCTTCAAAGGACTTGAGTGCATCAAGCCCACTCTCCCTATTCCCCTCTGAGGCATTTCTTTGGGACGACTGAAAAGCCTGCATAGACTGAAGGCCCGCCGAGCCCTGAAGGCCACCGTTCAGAGCGCTGGTGGGAGGGTTACCGAGGAGAGAGCTTGTGGGGGGATTGGCGTTGAGGGATTGGCTTGTAGGGGGGTTGTTGTTGAGAGAGCTACTGGTGGGATTGCCATTGAGGGAACTAGATGGGGGATTGCCAAGCAGGGAGCTACCAGGGGGGTTGAATGGGGACGAGGGATGGAATGGGGAGGAGGGGTGGAAGGGGGAAGATGGGTGGAAGGGGGAGGAGGGACGCAGGGGCGAACCGGAAAAGGAAGAAGCATTGAATGAGGAGGCGTTGAACGAAGAGGCGTTGAACGAAGAGGCGTTGATTCCTGAGAGGGCCCGAGCAGCAGGGTTAGCAGATAACGCATGCAGGGCAGAAGGAGTGAGAGCAGAGAGGTTCAGGGCTGAGGGGTTGAGAGCGGTGGGGTTGAGAGGGTTGGCCTGGCTAAGCAACGAGCCCAAGGAGCCCTGGAAGCTCGTCGGCGGAGGACTGAGGGCGCTTTGCAGACCATTCAGCTGCCCGTTCAACTGCCCGTTCAGCTGCCCCAAACCCATCAGATTACACATAGGCGCACTTATCCCCCGAGCCTGAGCCAGCAGGGAGGCTTGGGAAGCTGCGAGCATCTGTGCCTGTGCTGCCGCTGCTGCCTGTACCCGAGCCTGCACCACCCGAGCCTGCTGCATCTGAGCCTGCGCCATAGCCTGGGCCCGAACCTGCACCTCAGCTTGGACCCGAACCTGTGCCTGCGCCATCTGCTGCAAAACGCTCGTTTCTTGGATAAGCCTCCGAACCTCGGCCTCCTTTTTCCTTAGCCTCTCTTCCTCCCTCTCTGATACCTCCCTGCTGTCCCCCTCGTTTTCATCATCCTCATCCTCTTCATCATCTTCCTCCTCCTCCCTTCTCCTTCTCCTCCTCTTGTTCCTCCTCCCCTCTATTCTACTTGTTAGCCTATTTACTGAGCTCCCTCCCTCGCTCTCGCTCTCACTCTCACTCTCCCAACTCCTGCCTCTGCTCCGGGATAGGTCCCTAGTCCATCCATCCTCCTCGTCCTCCTCCTCCCTTTCCTCCTCTCCATTCTCGTCACTACCCCCATCATCACCACCACCGCCATCCACATCACCCCCCCTTCTCCTCTCACCCTCACTCGCTCCCCTCGCCTCCGCCCCTCCTCTCCCACTCACTCCACGCCTCTCCTCTCCTCTCTCACGACCCTCCAAACGGCACTCCTCATCCCTCAGACCACTTCTCTTGCCAGACCCCCCATTCCCCTCCTGCTCATTGCCTCTTGCACCCTGCGCCTGCCCTAGCCCCTGCCCCTGCCCCTGCTGCCCCTGCTGCCCCTGCCTCCCCTGCTGCTGCAGCAGCAGCTGCTGCTGGTACTGCTGGTATTTCTGCAGCAGAGCCATCTGTGGGGACACCTGCGAACCCATCAGAACCGCACCCGACTCCGCAGCACCCATAGCACCACACCCCAGCATCCCCGCTGCAGTTGCAGCAACCCCAGCACCTGTTCCCGCAAGCCCAAGCGCTCCAGACGCCATCCCAACAGCAGCACCGGCTAAACACCCTCCAGCAGCCGCCGTGCCAGGGGCACCACAGAAATACCCCCCTCCAGCCGGGGAAATCCCCACACCAGCCCCACCAGCGGGCAGAGAGACGGAATTGCTCTGTTGGGATTCGGCCTGTAGGCCTACTAATGCTCTGAGGTGCATAGATGGTCCGGAGAGAGGGTGAAAAAGAGGGATTGAGAGAGTGGGCGGGGCGAAAGGCATGGATACGACTGGGGTTTGCGAGCCCTGTGCGAGTTGGTTCGGGAGGAGCTGGTTCACGAGAATTTGGTTCGGAAGGAGCTGGTTCGGCAGGAACTGGTTTGGGAGAAGGGGGTTTGGGAGGGCCTGGTTGGGAAAGGCAGGGGAAGTTAGGGACTGGAAGGGAGAGGTGCCGAAGAAGAGAGGGGGAGGAGAGGGAGAGGTAGGATTCACGCCCGTAGGATTCACGTTAGAGGGATTAATGTTGGTGGGAAGACCTGGCAACTGAGTGCCAGGCACAGGGCCGCCTGGAGTGGCAGCAATGGCAGCAGAGACGGCAGAAACTGCAGGAGCATCAGGAAGCCCATGAGGGACGGACGGTGCAACGGAGGGGAAGGAAGTGTTGTTTGGGGACGGGGCTGCGAAGGGGTTTGGCACGGTGGAAAAGGGGTTTGATGGAGGAGTGGGGGATGCACGCTGCTGCTCCTGCTCTTGCTGCTGCTGCTGTTGCTGTTGCTCGTGCTGATGAGCGCCCCTGATTTCCGCTTCCAACCTCTGCATTCTCAACAGCACGTCCTCTTCACTCTCCCTCTCACCCGACCTCTCCCTTACCCTCTCCCTTACCCTACCCCTCTCACTACTCCTCCCCCTCTCACTACCCTCTGCTTCTTCTCTCCTCATCCCCTGCTGCTTTACCTTCCCGCCCATCCCCCGCCCCTTCTCCCTCTCGCTCCCTCTACTCCCCTCCCTATACTCATACCCATCATCCCCACTCCCCCGCAAACCTTCCGTTTCACGTCTCATCGCCCCTCCCACACCCCAGCCCTCGCTCCCCACTCTGCTACCCCCTCCCCTCCCTCCTGCCTTGGCATACGCGTTATAATCCCTACCGTCACCCTCTCTGCTATAAGCCGCGGGAGGGGTGGCGCGCGGGGGGAACTTAGGGGGCCTGCCACTGGCGGAAGGGGGGCGCGCGCTACTAGGGCTGGACTGGCGGCGGCGGGTGATGCGCTCAAAGAGCGCCAGGGGGCGGGGGGAGGGGGAAGGGCTGCTAGGGGCGGCGGAAGGGGCGGGCGAAAGGGAGGGGGATGGCATGCGGGGAGCGGGGGAGGAGGTTCGGAGTGCGGGAGTCGTGTGGGGGAGGGACGAGGAGAGGGGGGAGCGAGGGGCGGAGGAGAGGGGGGAGCGAGGGGCGGAGGAGAGGGGGGAGCGAGGGGCGGGGGAGTGGGGGGAGCGGGGGGCAGAGGAGCAGAAGGCAGAGGTAGTGCGTTGAGTGACGAGCTCAGGAGACTTCGAGGGGTGTCGCTGCTGGGAGGGTAGAGGTGGACGGAGAAACGCCTCCCTCTGCTGCTGCCCCTGCAGCTGCCCCTGCTGTTGCTCCCTCTGTTGCTCCCTCTGCCTCTCCCTCGGCTCCTGCCCCTGCTGCATCGGCTGCCGCTGTCGCTCATCCCGCTCGTCCTGCTCCTGATCGTCCCGCCCGTCCCCCTGTTGCCGTTGTGACTGCTGCTGCTGCTGTTGCTGGCCCATGAAGCTTTGAAAGGCCAGAAACGCGTGTATAGACTCAGGAGTCACAGGAGGAAGCGCGAACGAACCCTGCTGTCCTCCTTCCTGCTGCTGCTGCTGTTGCTGTTGGCTCATGAAAGCCTGGAAAGCCATAAAGGCTTGCATCGTTTCAGGCGTGCAGAGTGGCGGCTGCTGCTCTTGAGGGTCGATGCTGTTTCTGCTCTCGCCATTCCTCCTTCTCTTCACAGAAACATGCTTTGGCTGTGCCCATTGCTCCCTCCCACTCCTCCCGCTCCTCTCACTCCTCCCGCTCCTCCCGCTCCTCCCGCTCCTCCCACTCTTCCCACTGCACCCGCTCCACCCACTCCTCTCACTCCTCCCTCCAGGCGACAAACTCCTCTTTCTCCATCCCTGCACGCCATACTCCCTCGGGCTTCTTCCCATGCCCACCGCCCCACCTGCACCACCCATCGCCTCCGCACCCATAAAGCCCATGCCAAGACTACCAAGCCTACCCACCCCAGGTACATCCTCCTCTAGACAGCCCGCCCCACCCCCCATGCGACCCAAATGATCCATACCCACTGCCCCCGCTGCCCCCGCCGCCGCCGCCGCCGCCGCTGCTGCTGCCGCTGCTGCTGCTCTGTGTGCTCTCATGTCCCTCACTCTCGCCCTCTCCCCAGCACTCAACTCCTCCGAATCTATAGACCTGCGCGATGGTCGTTTCCCCCACCTGTCGTTTCTCGCCTCCATCTCCTCGCCGTAAGCCGCCACGCCTGAGACCGACGGGCCTGAGGTAACCGGGTTACCACACCAAGCCTGTCGTTTACCCCAGCGATCCTCCTCGTCAAACGCAGCTTCCGTTTCCTCCATCGTTCTCCCCTCCTGCTCCCGCTGCTCCCGCTGCTCCTGCTGCTGCTGCTCCTGCCGGCGCAACTGCTTCTGCTGCGCCTGCTGCCGCACCCGCTGATGCTCATACTCACGCTCAGAGCCCCACGCTCCGCTGTGTCCCCCTTCCTCCCATCCCATCCGCTCGCCACCCATCCCTGCCTCTGCCTCTGCCTCGACCTCCGCTTCAAAATCACACCCTGCAGTACCGATCTGAACCTTGCTCTTCTCCGTTCCTGCCCTTCCGAAAACGACCCTACCTTTGCTGCTTCCTCCGCCTCCTGCCGCCGCTGCTGCCTCTCGGCCAATATTCCCCCGCCCAACCGCCGGCTCGCGGTCTCTCGGCCGGGCGAACAGCGCGCGTTCCCCGTCCGCCGAATTCTCCCGCCCGCGCCCGCGCTGCAACCGTGCTTCCGCCCTCTCCTCCTCCCCCCCGCGCAAAACCGCCTCTTCCCACTCGCTCCCGCTCGAGCGACCAGTAAATGCGCCACTCCGCGGAGACATCCCGCGCGCGTCCGCGCCCGCGCCCTCCAACCCCGCGCGTTTCCCCCTCACAGGGGGACGCGACAGCGCGGCGGCCAATCCAGGGAGGGCTTCAAACCCGGAGGAGGTGGAAGGGAGGGAGGCGAAGACGGACGAACGAGCGCCCAGAACGCCTCTGGGGCATCCGTAGGACGGCGCGGATCTCCTTTCAGCAGCCATAGCAGCGCCAAGCGCGGAGCTTCCGTTGCCGTCCATCTCTCCGGGCCTATCCCCGTGTACTGCTGAACCCAACGGGCTGCCCTCGTCCCCGTTAAAAGAGGCCCCGCTACCGTCGCACACCGCGTCCGGAAGTACAGGTGTCGAAGCCCACGCCCCGTTTCGCTGCGGCTGCCCGTCGGCGAAAACCGGGACTGCACCGTCAACAGCCGTCAAGTTCCGCCTGCTCCGCTCCGCGCCGGCCTTCAGCGCGGGGAAGTTCCCCCCTCCAGTTTCCGCGCCCCTTCCGCCGCCACCCGCCTCCGCGTAACCTCCCCCGACGGCACCCTCGCGAAGGCCGTCAACTCTAACGGAAAGGCCGCGCGGGGGCTGCCGGTCAGACTTTACCGGTAAGTTCGAACCCGAGCGCGGATCCACCCGCTCGCGCGGGCCGTCCTCCGCAATCACGCGCTGGTTTCCCCGCCTCGCGTCCCCGCTGCCGCTCCCGCGCACGTCGGCGCGCTCGCCTCGCCCCTGAAATTGCGGCGAGTCACGCCCTTGCGGCGGAAAGCGGGCCTCCTGTGAGCCCCACGGCCGCTGCGAGCTGTCCCCCCTCTTATCTCCTTGCAAAGCAGCTCGATCCCAGTTACCTCGCGACGCGCCTTCGTCTCCCTCCCCCTGTTCCTCCGCCGATCGTTGCGACAACCCTCTGCCGTATTCTTCCCCCGCGCCCCCCCTGTCATTGACCCATCGATGCGCTTCCGCCATTGGGCAACCGGCATCCCCTTCCCCCGCGTCGTCCTCAATCGAACGCGATAGCGTCTCAACCACGTGACGGGCGAACCTAGTATTCGGGCTTATAACGGGACGGGAGCCCTCGTCTGAGTCACCATCGTCAGAAAAACGCGGTAGAAACGAGGTCCCTTCTGCTAAAACGAGTGCTTGCGACGTCGAGGCGTTGGCGAAACGTTGTCGAAACTCGTGCTCTGAGAATGGTAACCCTCCTTGCTCCGAGTACCCTCCTCGCTCCGCGTATCGTAATCCTTCCTCTCGCTGCCTATCGTAGTCCCTTCTGTACTCCATGCCTGGTTCTGGTTCTACGTCCGCTCTACTGTACAGAAAAGGCCTCGAGCCTCCAGAAACACCTCCGCTATTCACAGGAGCGCGCTGCGCCGCCGGATCTTCAAAATCGACGGTCCGGCTTTCCCCAAACTTGTTCGGCTCGGTTCCAGGTCGCAGTGCTACGAGCTGCTCCAACGAAGATGGAGAATTCTGATGCAACGAGGCGGCTCGACTTGCTATCACGTGTGTGGGGGCTCGACCTGTTGTCGCGTTTATGGGAGTGACATAGCTCCCGTCAAAAGAGGTCGGATGGCTTTCAGCTAATTCTCTAGCGTCGGGTAATGCACTCGGAACGCCGGGATAACGGGATACAAACGGGGACGGAGTGTAGCGACGGGGATACTGCGTGGGAGGCGATGACTGGCCAAGCGACGAGGTCACGACGACGCCATCCATTAATCGGATCCGATGAAAAATCGAACCCGTAACAATCCGTGTCGCGTGCTCGACCTAATAATGGACCTAAGCTTGATAAGAAAAGCTTGCAAAGACGGGCCTTCGATATCGTAATTCGTGAACGACGGCAGGTTACAGAAGCTATTATCTTGTATGAGACGACGTGCTAAACGGACAAACGTTTCAACGGTTAAGTTGTCGAAAGTACAGAATGACCTTACAGCTGAAGCTTGAGCACGCTAACGGTTTTCAAAAACAGCCGTTCACAAGTCAACTCTTGCAAAGGAGCCTCTCAGAACAAGCAGCAGACACAACACAACACAACTTTCGGTGGTCTGTGCCTCCTCACCACTCTCGTAGAGCTCGGTGGACGGAGAGGAATGGAGATAACAGATGCACGTGAGGGGTGTGGTTGAATGAAGCTGCTGTGCCGTGCGAGTGAGGCGCGAGGGTGAAGGGATGAATGGTGTGACTGTGAGGGGGATGTGTGGGAGGGAGGCTTTGGCTGGCTGGCAGCTGTTGTGGTTCTGGCAGACTGGCGCGGGGGGCAAGGTGGGGGGGAAAGGGAAGCTTGGGTTGGGGAACATAGAAGAGTTGTGTGCGGCGGAGGTCCAGCTCCGGTTGGTTCTTTCCGTCCGCGCTAGAGCGAACAAACCCCAAGGCTGAGATATTCCCCCATCACCACTGGCGGAGCGGAGAGCAGCGGGGGGAAAATGACTGCGGAGCTCCACAACAAGCTCTATGCCGCGCAGGCAAGTGCACGAAATGACTCTTGGGATTGGTTGGTTGGCGGGAATGGACACGGTGACTGTTCTCAAGGATTTGGTCTCATCCCTCCTGCCCGTAGTGGTTGCTTTTTTACCAATTGCTCCAAAGTGTCCAGACTGACCAGTGATGTCCCTAGATTTTGCCATGCTTCAGCTGCCCTGATTGCGCTGCCAGTGTTGTTTACGAACCCATCGTCGACCCAGCGGATATCCACGTGTGCCAGCTCATTAAGGAAAATCCGATTTTTTGCAACCTTGCCACCGGGAGTCACGTGACATAAATGGTCATCGCCGTCGATGAAAATACTCCTTTTTCTTTGAACGGTGAGATCAACCTAGGAGCAACGACCTTTTGGCTGCTTGTCAATTCCATCGGCCATATCGAGCGGCGCGTCTGAGCGATTGTGTGCGAGTGGCTAGCGTGTGAATCTACATTGAAATATCTTTAGAAAAAGCGACAGCAGGCCAAATATTTCTGACAACACGGATAGCCCAGCGCTGAGCACTTTTCCGGATTTCATGTAAAAAAGGCATATCTCGGATACGTCCGCGTGGTCCTGCAGTGGCACGTGGACCTCAACAGTGAGTGCCATTCTTCAATATATACACCCTCATTCTCAGTCTACGCACAATTGGGAGCACTGGCTACAGTGCGTCTGATTGCTTGGACCCTAGCGATCTGGTGCTTGGAGCCGAACTCTAGGTAGGTGGCGGGCAAACGCACTCCCGGGGAACGGTAAACAACGGTATGTAAACTTACAGTTAGTTGTTCGTACGGTTAAGTACGGCAAATGTGCTTACAGCGTATGTTCTTGGACCATGTTGGACGCATTGATGTCATTACAGCTGGCATGTTCATGTGGCGATTGTGCACAGACTGAGAATGAGGGTGTACAAGAACAGTACAACAATAACAGCGGTAGGTGTGCCCATAGCACATACTCAATATAAATCGACATTCAAACCCTTAACTTGTCTACACCAGCTCCTCCCCATTATGCAATTCTTGTACAGCCATTTAGCCGAGTATTGCGTTATACTGGAAGCTTCTCATTAAGTGATTAACCATAATGGACTATGAGGTGAGGCGACTGTCGTGAAGCATGATTGCCACATCCCCAACATCCCAGCTGTATGCCTGCGGCCACAAAGGCACAGGGGAAACAAACAGTGACAAACATGAAGGCCATTAGACATGGAAAGGACTCACCCGCATGTACGTTACCCAAAACACACGACAGACTAGGAGAAGACATGCCATCCATGATTGAAATTGTGAAGGGCACGAATAAGTGCAAGAACCTCACAGAGCACTCAGCACAGGCAACATAGGGGAAGAACCCAGTGACGACAATAGAGAATCTTGAATCTCAAATGTCACATGTGGAGTCACAAGTGCTTCGAATATCAAATGTCAAAAAGCGTGTCAAAATTCACACTTAAAAAGTAAAAGGTCAAGTCTCGAACCTTACATGTCACACTCACCTCGGGTTCGTGTGGGGCAAGCAGGACGCGCAGGCAGGCGTGCAGGGAAAAGACGGAACGCGGCCACCCCATGGAACGGGTGGCACTGGCCTCGTGTGCCGACCACAGCTGTGTGCTGCCATCCACTGCTATGGCGCCCCATGCCACCTCCTCCAGGTATGAACGCTCCTGTGGTGGGGTATTCCGGAAATGGCGCGGATATGAGTGAGGAAATGTGTGCTGCCGTCCGCTACCGCGCCCCATGCCACCTCTTCAGGGTATGAACGCTCCTGTGGTGGGGGATGGTGAGGCAGGGAGGAGGATGGTGAGATGGGGGGGGGAGTGACTGGGATGTGCTGCTGTCCACTGCTACTATGGCGCCCCACGTCACCTCCTCCAGGTATGAATGCTCCTGTGGTGCGGGATGGTGAGGCAGGGGGGATGATGGTGAGGCAGGGGGGAGGATGGTGAGACGGTGGGGAGTGATTGGGATGTGCTGCCGTCCACTGCTATGGCGCCCCATGCCACCTCCTCAAGGTATGAGCGCTCCTGTGGTGGCGTGCGGAGGAGCAAGATGCGTGAAGAAATATGTAATGGCGCCCGCTAAGCTCAAGTCTGGAGTCTGAACTCAAGTACACAATACCAAGACACATGCCACAGGGTGACTGCTGTGTCGACTCAAGTCTGAGCACAACTCAAGTACACAATACCAAGACACATGCCACAAGGCGACTGCTGTGTCGACTCAAAGTCACCTCCCATTAAGCCAGCCAATCAGCACTCACTATGGAAAAGACAAGAGGTGTCGTGATGACCATGTCAGCCCTGACCCCCATCTTCCCCACCCTCCCCTCCTCCCCTTCTCCATCCCCACTCCTCTCACTACCACCGTCCATTTCCCTCACTCCTCCTCCTCCTCCTCCTCCTCCTCCTCCTCCTCCTCCTCCTCCTCCTCCTCCTCCTCCTCCCCCTCCTCCTCCTCCTCCTCCTCCTCCTCCTTTTTAAGCTCCCACCGTTTAATCACCTCCCTAGTCCCAGCACTGCCCCTCAATACAGTCACACTCAGCTCAGGCGCTCTCTGCTCCAGAAGCCCCTCCCATGCCGCTACAGCCGTGCCAGGAACCACCAGCAGGCTCGGTCTCATGCGTCCGGCTGTAACACCTGTAACCCCTGCAGCACCTGCAGCGGCTGTAGCGGCAGCGGCAGCAACGGCTGCTGTGGCTTCACTCGCCGCAGCAGCTGTAGCGGCTGTAGCGGCTGTATCAGCTGTAGCACTTGTGGGACAGTGGAAGTCACGAGCTTGCATGCACAGAAACGCAACCAGCACTAGCCGGTTTGCCTGATGGGTAGTGAGTGGTGGGTGGCAGATGGGAAAACAGAGACCGGTGAGAAGGGAGGTGCTGCATGCTGATTACAACTCACACCCCGCCTCATCTCATATCTGTCCTGCTCACATCCGCATGTCCTGCTCGTCTCATATCTCATCTCACATCCACATGTCCCTCCAACTGTCACTACGTTCACTCCTTTCAAAGAAGCTCCCTCCCCTTCCCTCTTCGCACCTCACAACTGGCTCCTACAAGGCAGGGTTCATCGTGCCGTGCTGCCAATATTACAAGCGTAAAAATAAAAGCACCCCCTCCTTGGTGGGTAGTGGGGAGAAAGAAGGAAAGTGGAGGGAGGAGAAGGGCGAGAGGGAGAAGAAAGAGGGAGAAGAGAGAGGGTTGGGTGAGAGTTGGCAAATCTGTCACTGTTGTCACTGCATTCTATCAAGTTCCCCCCCTTTCCCCTTACTCTCCCCCACTCACGCTTCCAGACTCACCTCATGGCTCCCTCCTTGCAACACGTTGATTGTGCCTTGCTGCCTGCTGCTCTTCCTCCTCCCTCTCGCCCCCCCACCACTCTCCCAACTCCCTAAGGGTCCACACTCCCGCCACCGACTCCTAAGGGCGTTCAGATTCCCCAGCTGCTGCTGCATCGGGGCGTCAGGCATTGCGATCCAGTGCGGTGCAGAGCGGTCCGGTATGGCGCACAGAGCATGCCGTGTCGTCAAAACCCCAACTCCTTCTCCCCTGCCGTCTCTCCCCCCGTCCACCACCACTCCCCCCTGCTCACCCTGCTCCCTCTCCCAGAACCGAGCCAACAAACGTCGCCCAGCAGCCCCCTGCAGCACGCTCCCATTGGCCAGCTCCCACGTGCACTGTTCATAGCCCAGTCCACGCCACAGGACAAAAAACTCCACCCCCCAGTCGGGCCGGTACCCCCTGCCTCTGCCCCGGCCCGCCCCCGGCCTTATAGGTGGTCTGGTAACCCGCTTTGCTATGAGCTTCTTTGGTTGGGCCCAGTGGGGGTTCCACGTGGGGGAGAACTGCGGTGCGGAAGCAAAAGGGGGCGAATGGGAGAAGGAAGCTCTATAAGCGTCAAACCAGCGTCAAACCAGAATTGTGCTACCAGCGTCAAACCAGAGCATACCTACCTGCCACTCATCCCCCTCATATCCCCTCACCTCCACTGTAGCCGCTCGGGCTTTAAAGATCGCGAGCTGTCTGGGAGCGTTGATTGCAAGCCATGCCTCATCCACCCAGCTGTTGTGCGCGTGGGACAGACCCTTCCACTTAACAAAGTACTCGCACTTAGCTGACCCACCACCACCACCACCAGCACCACCACCACCAGCACTGCCGCCAGCACCACCACCATGACTAGCACCACTGATCCCACCAGGACGCGGAGCAATGCTAACCCCTTCTAGCAAACATGTGATTGCCGCTTCCCCTTCTACTCCTGGTAACCCTGCTTTATCTTCCAACCCTTTTCCTGGCTTGCATCCTTCTTGCCCCATCCTGTCACTCCTTCCCCCATCCCCTCCTCCTGCTACTGCTCCTCTACCTCCTCCTCTTCCTCCTCCTCTTCCTCCTCTTCCTCCTCCTCTTCCTCCTCCTCCACCTCTCCCTCTCATCGACTCAGCACTCCCATTCTCTTTTCCTTCACAAGCCTTTGCTGCCCCTGTTGCCCCTGGTGCTGCACCTCTCAACCGCCCTGCACCGCACTGATCGTGAGACCTGGTAGTTCGTAGTTCAAGCACCCTTTTTTCTTCCCCCTCCGTCCCTACTTGACGCTGCTTCTTCTTCTGCTGCTTCTCCAGCTGCTGCTGCTGCTTCTGCTTCTGCTGCTGCTTCTGCTTCTGCTTCTGCTGCTGCTGCTGCTGCATATCCTGTTGCCACTGATCTTGCATGGACTGCTGGCCGTCTCGATCCTCGTTTCCCCTCCCCTCCTTCTCCCTCCCATCCTCCTCCCTCCCCTCCTCCCCCCTCTCCTCCTCATCCACCCACACAGCCATGGTCGGAATCTCCTCCTCCTCCTCACTACTCTCACTCTCACTCCCTTCCCCACTAGACTCACACTCTCTTTCCAATTCCTCAAGCATACCCGGCACAGCCCCCCCAGGTCCAGAGTTGCCAGGGTGTTTCCGCTCCTCAAGCCCAACCCCGCTGGGTGTTTCCGCAGTCATGCCCTCTTTCTCACCGCTACAATCAGCACAGAAGGTCGGGGGATGGTCGCAATGGTGGGTTTGCTGCTGCTGCTGGTCGTGCTCGTTGTGAGGTTTGTGGTGCTGATGATGGTGTTGATGGTGGTGATGGTGGTGGTGGTGGTGGTGGTGGTGGCTGTTGTTGTGACTGTAATCTTTGGCCCTTATACAGCAACCTACGCTCTGTGTATGCAGCACAGTGCCACTACCAACTGTAGCACTGGCTGTAGCCACAGCAGCAGCAGCAGCAGCAGCAGCTGGTAACACTGGTGGTAATAGCGAAAGCAGTGGTATCCCGGGCAGAAAAACCAGTAGAAGCTGCCCGGACATCCCAAATAGATTCAACTGCCCGCCTCACCACCGCATGCACTCCCAGGGAGAAGCGCTTGTGGGTGCAGTCAGGGCAGAACCAGAGACCAGGGGGGACGTCATCCAGGGGAGGGTCCAAGCAGTGCAGGTGGTATGTGGCACTGCATGCCTTGCCGTCACAGCAACTGGTGGGAGGGGTGGGGGGGAGGGAGATAGGAGGAATTGAGTGGGTGAGGTTAAGAGGACAGGGGGGATGTCATCCAGGGGAGGGTCTAAGCAGTGCAGGTGGTATGTGGCGCTGCATGCCTTGCCGTCACAGCAACTGAAGGGCAGGGGGGAGAAGGAGGACAGGAGCAGGAAAAAAAGCACAGAGGATCAGCGGCAGGGGAGGGTTCAAGCAGTGCAGGTGGTATGTGGCGCTGCATACCTTGCCGTCACAGCAACTGTGGAAGAGGGGGGGAGATGGAGGACAGGAGCGGGAGGGGAAGAGTTGAGTGTACAGAGGAGCAGAGGCAGGGGAGGGTCCAAGCAGTGCAGGTCAAGGTTAAAAAAAACGTCGTTTTTTGAAAATTTACCGTAAAAAACGGCCGTAAAAAACGGTACCGTAAAAAACGGTAAAAAACGGTTCCAGAAGGTGATTATCGTTTGAAGAAAAAATCCGCCATTTTATGGGACCAAATTGATTGCGAAAATCACCAGGATGAAGAGGACGAACTCCTCCTTGCATGTGTGCATGTGTGGGCATGATCGAAAATGTATACGACCTTGTTTTTGCCTGTTTTTTCTTGGTGACAAGAGTTCTCTAACAAAAAAACGCCGTATTTTTGAAAATTTACCGTAAAAAACGGACCGTAATTTACGAAAACCGTATTTTTGCACCTTGGTGCAGGTGGTATGTGGCGCTGCATGCCTTGCCATCACAGCAACTTAAGGGGAGGGGGAAGAGGGAGAGATACACGATGCATGGGGACAAGGTGAGATGCATGCAGGAAAAGAAAACAGGTTGGGGAAGATACCACGATGGAGCGCCAGTAAAGCAAACTAAATATGTATTTAAAGGCCTCGATAGACGCAGCGACCACTCACAGCATGAACCCAACTTCGTGGCACCGCTTGCAGCTATCCCCATACTCATCCGATGTGTCGTCACTCTCCTCTCCCTCTTCCTCCTCCTCCCCGTTATCCTCCTTCCCTCCCCTTGCCTCACACCCGTCTCCATCCACCCCCTTTTTTAACCTTCTCTTCTTTTCCTGCTTCTCTTCCTCTTTCCTCCCCTTCTCCTTCTCCTCCTTGCCCCCATCCCTTCTCCTCCCGCCCCTCTTTTCCTTCTCCTCCTGCCCAACCCCCTCATCTGCTCCGTCCTCCTCTCTCCTGTCCTCTCTCCCCTCCCCGCCCTCCTCCCCACCATCCACCCTCAGACCCATCTCAACCTCCTCTTCATCCCACTCTTCCCGCCACAGTTGTTCCCTGAGACCCTCAACCTTCAACACAAAATTCTCCTGAGACTTTTCACAACCTGCCTCCCGCCCCGCCTGCTGCCTCCTGGCCGGTTTATCCCTACATGAGGAGGTGGATGAGGAGAGGAGGGGGGTGGGGGTAAGGTTGCAGGTGGGTATGGGCATTCCCATAAGCTCTGCTCGTGCACACGCCCTTTGAAACGCCCGTACGGCAGCTGAATCTATGCCTTTCCCTCCTGCTGCTGCTGCTGATGCTGATGCTGCTACGGAAGCTGTTGCTGATGCTGATTTCGCACTGTGCTTCGCTCCGCCGTTTTCCACCGCACTACACCCCGCTTCACCGTGGCGTCTGCCTTCAGGCCCATTTCTCTCGTCACACAGCCTATGCTGCAGCTTGGTCGATTCCCTCACCTCACGATCTACTACAGCTGGCATGGTTGACTCCCTAGTCTCACGCTCTGCTACAGCCGCCAACTTAGTCTCGTTTGTTATCTCCTTATCAGCCTTTGCTAGCTTCTTATCAGCGGCACCTAGCTTATCAACCGCACACAACTCCTTATCACTACCAACCAAATCCCTATCAGCAGCACCGATGCTACCATCTCCATCACGCCCCTCACAGCCTGCACCCGCCTTGCCTGCCCTTCCAGACTTCTCCGGCACCTGAGGATTCACCTGGGCTTTCACCTGGCTTGAGGTGGTCGTATCCAGTAATCTATCCACATCCAATCGCCTGTTGGGACTTAGCCTGCCGACCACTTTTCCACCTGCCCCTGCACCTGACTTGCTTGTTGTTCCTGCCGTGCGGTCTACCCCTGCCTTGCTGCCTGCTCTAGTCACCCTCCTTTTCTGAGGCGTCTCAAACCGCTGCTGCTCACTCACCCTTTCACGCACTCGCACTCTTTCACTCTCCCTCCCACTCACTCTTTCACTCCCCCTCACACTCTGCTTCGCACCAACTACCTCAGCCTTGGGGGGATGGCTACTGCTGCTTCTAGTCGCCCTACACAGCACCTCACTAGCCGGACACCTGGCACCTCCTGATTGGTCCCTCTGTCGTTCTTCCAAACTGTTTTCACCCTCCTTCAGCTTCCTCCCCAGCTGCTTCAATGGCGGGGTACGTGGCAGCAGCTGATTGGCCCCTGCAACACACAGGGAGTCAGTCAGACCAGGTCCTTCCCTTGACTCTTTCCCCTTGTCCTGTAAACTGGATTTGGCCCTTTTTCTTTGTTTCCCTAACGGTGCACCCCCTTCAGCAGAGACCTGAGGTGTGATTTCTTCCTTATTAATAAAAGGCCCTGCTTGTGCCTCTGTTCTCGTCCCTGCTCCTGCCCCTCCTCTGCCGCTCCCAGTGCAACCAGCAGCTGCGGCGTTACCGCTACGGCACACAGCTTTGGAAGGTTTCTTCCCAGCCAGACTCCCGAACCTGGGCCGTAGGCTCGGAAGTTGCGCAGCTGCAGCTTGCATGTGTTTTAGCCTCGTTTGCTCCTCCGAGGCTAAACGAAGGCCCTTCTGTATGGCGTCCTGAAAGGCTGCTCTCTCACTTTGCCCTCTAAATTGAGCCATATTTGACAGAAAGTCCTTGAGAAACCTAGCGGGGGAAGGGATCAAGGGGGGAGGAGAAAGTACGAAAGAAAGAAAGAAAAGATGCGAGGGGGGGCTCAGACGCTGAGTGAGTTTATACAAGTGTATTTCTAAGTGGTATGGAGAGGTATGGAGCGGTATTTCGTGCATAGAGAGATTGCAACTTAACTTACTGTGGTTTCATGCATAGGTGTTTTGTCTCCCCGGCTTCTCGCAATAGCAGCCTCACTACATGGTCGCTCTCGTGTTCCTGTAATAGCCGAACCGTTATAGGCACATCCATCCAATCCTCCACCAGTGCCGGCCACCACCCTTTGCTATCATCCACCTTTAACAAACACAGAGAAAGTCAAATATGATTACTGGCTATTGTTGGATAAAAAAAGCTCAAACATAAATAAGAAAACATAGCAATTGATACCTAATTGGAAACAAATACACACCTTGGCCCAGACTACAGCTCCTGGAAGAAAAATCTTTGTTGCAGACATTGCAAGTAACTTGTCTTCTTCGCATTTTACTGTAGCTCCCCGTTTTTGGCTTACAGCGGAGCAAATCTCATCCCAAGCCTCGGACGACGCCCCGCCACCGCTTCCCTCGCTACAGTCATCCTTGTTGCAGTCATCTGTCAGCAAACTGTCCTCTACAACACACTTGTGACTCCCACTCGCTAAAATCACGCCCCCTTGAAGCCTGCTCTCCATCTTCGAAACCCTCGGGCGATTCCGTTCTTCCAGACCCTCCGCTTCTAACGAGTACCCCCCGTTTTTGTCTCGTTTCGACAGCTTGGCGCTAGTAAAACCGGGGATTTGTCTGTGAAAGGAGGAATGCCTATTTCCGCTCCCCTCGTGAGTGCTTTCGCTCGCGGTCCGCTCGATCTTCCGCGCGTGGCTACCGCTCGACTCCCCCGCTATCGATTCTTCATTATAACGAGACATAGAGTCCGCCTTACGCCGAAGCGGCGCGAGAATCGACGGTTGCGTCTGTCGGTTGCTGCAGTTCCCTGACGCCTGAAATCACGGGATAGCCAAGCCAGTCGGGTCGTAAAGCAGCATAGTGAAAGGAATTATGAGAAAACAAACGGCCTAACGAGAATGGTAATCAAGGCATTGCGGTGAAGGGAAGGGAAGTACAGACGGTGGATGGATAACGCCAGAATAGACTAGTAATATCATCAGACGGTAACATCCGTAACAAAACAGGCAAACTCTTGGTCGACCTAAAAAGCTTAGGTGCATATGAAGTGACACACCAACGTGACTGGCGTGAAGACGAAACACGGGGGACTTTTGAACGCTTAGAGAACAACTGGTGGACAAGAATATTAATATATCTCCAATAAGTGAGTACCTGTAGTATTCCAGTCACTAAGGATGTTATGCCTTGGGGACTAAACCACATCGGGTTCACATACTATCAGCAGAAACATCATTCGTCTTACCTCAACCACGCTCGACGTTGTTCTCCCGCGCGGTTTCGACTGCTGCGACGACCGCTCCGCGCTCGCCGCGCTTTCCCGAAGCGCCGTCCCCGCGGCCTGCCGATTAGGATCTACAAAGACCGCGTCGATGCTCTTCACTTTAGGTCGCTTGCGCTTCTTCTGCCGCTCGTCGTCGATCGGCGGCTTGGAACCGCCGCGGCAGTCGCCCTTGGCAGACGGAATCAACTCACAAGCTTGACCGCCGTTACCGTTACAGTTATCGTTCTCGTGCTTGTCAGTCTTCGTGACGCCATCACTGAACCCGTTTGGCGGAGTCTTCAAGCTTTTAATGTCAGACGTGGTCGCTCCGTGATGTTTCTCCGTCTCGGTGGGAACGGCAGTACTATATGGAATGCCTGCTGGATACCCCGCGGTAGAATGGATAATATGATCCGCATGCGAGTCGCCAGTGTGTAGATTCGCGCACCCTCTGGTGACGTTCGCGGCTTGTCCCGGCGGCTGCCTCTGATTCTCCTGTGAAGCCTGAGTTGGCTCGAGCGGTTTTTGCGGTGTCTCGACGGTAACTTGCTTCTTGCGGGGGCCTAGTTCAAGCGCGCTCCACGGAATGAAGCCCGGAAGAAGCGCTGGCCGTCGGATTCGCTTCGCCCTCGCCTTGCCGTCACCGCGCTCCGCCATTTGCGGTAATATTTATCACAACGCGCACGGTTGGTAACAATCTGTCACCTTTGCTTCTCTTGACTATGTTAAATTAAAAAGGGAACTATTACCTTGGAAGATTAACAACGATTGAAGCTTCTGAAATGATTGTACAGCTTCAAGTGTGTGTGATTAGAAGTCGGGTTTCGGGTGTAACCACTGATCCCACAAGCTGGCGAAGCAAACAGCAGGCTCACATGTGTCGATGGAACCTGGCAGGATTCACAAGCACGTCGGGTCGGGTGTTGATTCACCTTCCCCCTTTCCCTCACGCATATGATTTCGTGTGATTTCATTCTTCCCATGAGAACACGTGAAGAAACCCCTGCTCTGCACCAGAGGAGCCCAGTTGATGTGATAATCCCGGTGCCCTCCCGTCCTGTTTAGCACAGATCACGAGTCACGGAAACGCAGCACCTACCTCTGCCACCCCAAGACCAACATTCCCCAACGACGCCCTCTCCGTGACCGCCTTGGGACTGCCATAGCTGGCTGGCTTTGAGGAAGCGTGCCTGGCGGAATGACCGTGTGATTTGCTGATGGGCCCAACTTCAAGGTCCCGCACTGTACGCCCAGGCTGCCATGACTGCAGCACTCACCCTGCGCCGCTCTTCCTGGCCTTGGGTTTGCTTTGGCTGCTCGGGCCGACGGGAGGGTTGTCGTGGTTTTGTCATTTTCTTGTCACAGATTTGAATCGAACGGACAAGAGGACTGGTGTTTCGCCCAGCCGCATTGGCCAAGGATGAGACGACGCGGTTAGCGCTTGTGATTGGCCGTGAGGGCAGGTCAGGGATGGAGGTGATGTGGCCCTTGGGAAGTGCGCTGCGACTTGGCGGAGCAAGTTGAGGGTCAGCCAGGTTGAGCATGCCAAAAAAACTCACGGTCTAAAATTTGTGAAGGAATCTTGATGGCCAAAAACCCACGATGGGGAGATTCGGAGAGTGGCATTTACGAGAGAGTCTAGCAAAGTGAATAGATCATGGAGCGTTTTATACAACGAACATCTAATATAGGCACTCTACCAGACATACAAAGACGATTTCACGAAAGCCACATGTATTAGTTTCTTGACATTATTAAATTTTAATCGGGCAGGGAAACCCCGCTGTTCCACTAGACGAAAGTACCGCCTGAACGATTTGATTTGGCCGGGATTTGCCCTACGGCTGGGTAGAATACAATCAAGCCAGAGAAAATTAACCGTTTCCTAACCACCAACCAGACCTAGCTTCTTCGTCCGCTAAAAGATACAGTAACTAGTCGTAGGTGTACAGTGATGGTCAACCATCCACGACAATTCTCCTGAGATCGATCCTCGCACTTATTTAGTGCTGACTGAAGTTTGTGCTTGGTGTAGCTGCTACCTCATTGATTTAGGAGGCAGGTAGAACTCGGAAGGTAGTATGGATGATGGGCCTGGCTGCAGTAGCAGCCGCTCCCCTTCGGTCTTTTGCGGCCAGCATTTGAAACCAGCGCGCACGATCAGAGTGGGTGGTTCTACGGACGACCCAGATTATGTTCTGCAGACCGCCGTAAGGTGCGCTAGCTGAGCTGCTAAGAAGTGTCCTAGGTGAAGGTCTCCTGCCTCTGTTACCTCTTCTTAAACTCCGCTTTAGCCTCGTCCAGTTCGAGCCTCGTAAAGCAGAGTTTACCCATCTATTTGCCTGACAGTATCCCCGTATTTGCAACCAATTTTTACATCGCGAGCTGCGCACGGTGATTGAAATAGATAATTGCTGACTCGCGGCGTATTTTAATCACTTCGAACAATCGCATCTTCTCTAATCACATGTCATTGTAAATTTCCGCCGAAACCCTGATCCTTCCGAAACTCCGCAGCTCGGTTTCGCCACTCCTGGCAGCGTCCACGTCAGCGCCCGCCATCAAATCCTTTGACGTGGCATCCGGCGCGTCCCTGGGTGACGTGGCAGCGCCCCACCCTGGCACGGTGACGGATTTAGGGTTCGCGGAGGCGGCTTTCGGAGGGGCGGGGCCAGGAAAGGAGGTGTTGCTGTCGTCGTCGTCGGAATCGGCGGTTTACGTTTGGGACGCGCGGGCTCGATCGCAGGTGAGCGCTGCTAGTTACGGCATGTTCAACCCTAATTCAGTAAATTTCGCCTCAAAGTTATTACAAATGTTACATCGCAGTTATTCTTGGTAAATCACAGGTGCGAGCTGCTAACTCCGCGAGCAAAATGTTTGGCTCGTTGTCTTGCTTATCGGTCTTAGGTTCTAATTTTTTGACTTTATGGAAAATCACCTTTTCCTTCTCCTGAAAGACATGATAACGAAACCACAATTCTTTCCTTCGTTTTGTTACCGGCCGCTGACTTTGGGTTCGTCGCACGCGCTAGAACGGAGAAAGAACACAGGACATCTTGGAGGGGGGGAACGGGTTTCAGGGTTTGGGATTACTTTTCCTTTCGCCCTTCCCACCACCCCTCCCCGACCCACCCCCCTCCCCCTCCCCCTCCCCGCTCCCCCTCCCACTCCCCATCCCCACCATCCCCCTCCCCCTCCACCTCCCCCTCCCCATCCCCATCCCCCTCCCCCTCCCACTCCCACTCCCACTCCCCATCCCCATCCCCCTCCCTCTCCACCTCCCCCTCCCCCTCCCCCTCCCCCTCCCCCTCCCCCTCCCCCTCCCCCTCCCCCTCCCCCTCCCCCTCCCCCTCCCCCTCCCCCTCCCCCTCCCCCTCCCCCTCGCCCCCCCACTTTCCCCCCCTCTAGGCGGCTGTGTTCCCCGCGCATGGGGGGGCGCGCGAGCTATGGAGCTGCAGCGGGGGAGGGGGGTCAACAGGTCACCTGCTGGCGGCAGGGGGCAACTCCCAGGTGAGGTGCTGACAGGGGGAGGTGGTATTCGGCAGGTCGAAGATGTCTGTAGTGGTGGAGGGGGTCCTCAGGGCACCTGCTGGCGGCAGGGGGCAACTCCCAGGTGAGCCGCCCCGCTCTTCCTCCCCACTCTAGGCAGGTGTGTTCACCGCGCTGCGCATGGGGCCTGGGCGAGCTGACTGGGGGAGGTGGTTGGCTGGGAAGGTGGTTTGTTAGGCGCTAGCTTTGTCTTTTCAACCTGCCCCTTACACCCTTTTCCATGTGCGGATACTACAGTGAGACATGGGGTTCCAGCCACCGTTAGGGTGACTAGAGTCGACTCAACTAGAGTCGACTCATACCACAACAGGTTTAATCTGACTTGGCCGTTTCACCCTTTCCATAAATCCTGTGGGTTTTAACCCTCTTTTTATGTTTAAACTCGTTCCTGAGTGCAGATTCTCCTGTGGGACATGCGGTCCAGCCGGCTGTTGGGGCGACTTGAGGACGCACACACAGAGGATGTCACTCAGGTGAGCTGCGACGTCGCTCAGGTGAGTGTGACGTCACTCAGGTGGGTGTGACGTCACTCGGGTGGGCTGTGACGTCACTGGGTGGGCTGTGACGTCACTCAGGTGGGCTGCGACGTCAATTGGTGGGCACTTTTAGGGTGGGCTATGACCCCTTTCCAACTCCATCTTCTTACTTCATTCGCTCTTCCTCGTCTGCCCCTTCCTGTCAGGTTCGCTTCCACCCTCTCCACCGCACTGCACTCCTCTCAGCCGCGCTCGACGGCCTGATCTGCCGCTTTGACCTCTCTCCACCCCACGAGGCGTCACTCTCTGCCTCAGCAGTAACCACCCCAGCCGCAGCGGCAGAGCGTTATGCGGATTCCGACCCGCTCCAGTCAGTCCGTAATCACTGCTGCCCAGTGCCCATATCCTTGCTTGCATCGCCATCTCTGCTTTCTCCTTGCCCATATCCTTCTTCTTGCCTTTTCTTGCCTTTTCCTTGACCAATGCTTTCCAATGCCCATTCCCGTGCTTTCTTACTAGATTTGATTCATTCTTTCATTTGTTTACTTCTTTTTCCTTTTCTTTTTCATTATTTGTTTGCGTTGTGAGCTTCGGTGCGTTAGAATAGGATTCCGCTTGAATATAGTTTCGGTTTGCTTCGGCATCTTTTCCCATCAACAGCGACTCATAAATAAGCAGCGCTCGACCGATAGAGCGAAAGGCGGGTTTTTTCGTTGAGGGAAAGGTCTCTAATTAACCCTTTTATGTAGATTCTCGTTGTCACAAGCGAGAGATGACTGTCTGAGTGGTTCATATGCTATGGATTATTTGGTTGATGCATCAAGTTTATCTGTACTGTTGATCATTGTTGACTCCACTGTGCAACCAGATGCTCGACTAGACTTGTGGGCTTCAGGTGGAAGAATTCCAACATGTTTTTATCCAGCTTCTGATTTAGGATTGGGTCGTGTCTGTGACTACATCGTACAAGACGGTGTCAGGGGCGCTAATGGAGCAGAGGGCGGGCAGCGTGATTCTTTCCGACGATGACAGTAGATCGCGACTTCAGAACGGGCACATTTGAGGGCGCCTGAGTCACGCTGCCTGCCCTCTGCTCCATTAGCGCCCTTGACATCGTCTCGTACTGTGCAGTCACAGCCTCAACTCGATCCTTTAGATCAAAAGCTGGATAAAACACGTTAGAATTCTTCCACCCATAATCTGTCAGTCGAGTCGAGCATCTGGTTGCCCAGTGGAGTCAGCAATGATCAACAGCGCTGCCAAACTTGATGCATCAACCGAATCCACAGCATATGAGACACTCAGATAGTCATTCCTCGCTTATGGGATGGGAAACGAGAATCCACATAGGAAGGGTTGCATAGATACCCTTTTTCCAACAAGAAAACCAGCCTTCGCTCCACCAGCTGAGCGCTGCATATTTCTTGAGTCGGTGTTGGAAAAGACTCCTCATCAATTGTCTTTTTTCATGAACACACCCCTTCTTGCTGTTTCCCTCCCGCCCTCCCCTCTTCTCCATCCCTCCCTCCTCAACCCTCCTTTTCTTTCCCTAAGCAGGTAATAAGCCCTGGCACATCCATCTCCCGCATTGGCTTCTTTGGCCCGTCTGTCTCTGCTCTTTGGTGCCTCACTAGCATTGAGACTCTCAGGTGGGTGGGCAGCACCTGAACATCTTTACATAATATGGAAAGGCGGCTTCGCTTCGCCTTTCTCCCGTACATTCTCTCGTGTGATCTCTTCCTCTGCCCCACATATCGCGGTGGATTTGAATCCCCTTTCTCCAACCCAACTTCCTTTTCAAAGCCTCTTGTCCCCTCTTAGTTTCCCAACTTGGCTCTCTGAATTTTGAACCGATAACACTTCTTTTTTTTTTTTTTTTTTTTTTTTTCTGATTGTCCCTAGAATATCTGAATTCTCCTCTTTGCAGGCCCCTCCCTCCACAGCTTGCCCCACCTTCCTCTCCCCTCCTCCTCCCAAATTCCCTCCATCTATTGGCCTCCTCATCTCCTTCCTCCCCTCCCCGCCCTCCTCTTCCTCCTCGTTCCCCTCCCCTCTTCCCTTCCTCTCCTCCCCTCCTCTCTCCCGCCACCAGCCTCTGGGACCTCTGGACGGGCGACCCCATTGCTTCGTTTGACGACACAACCCCCCCCCCCTTCCTCCCCCCTGCGTGGCACAACAGCCTATGGAACCTCTGGACGGGCGACCCCATTGCATCTGTTGATCACACCACCCCCTTCCCCACACCCCCCCCCTCCTCCCCCCTGCACTGCATGTCCCACCAGCCTCTGGGATGTCTGGACGGGCGATCCCATTGCATCTTTTGACGACATTCGGTCAACTCTCTCCGAAAAGTGGCCCCTTCAAGTCCCTGTGAGTGTTCTCTGTCCCTTGGTACGTCTATAGCCAAGCTCAGCTTGTACCAAGTTCCGTTGAGATTTGAGACATCTCAAGGTCAAGCCAAGGGCTCACTGAGGCTCCCATATTTCTCTCCATGGCACCTATGGTCTCTCGTGCTACTTGGTGCTCTTACTCATTCTTTAAGTGCTTCTTTGTCGTCTTCGTGGCCTGTAACCTTTCCCTCTCTGTCACCATCTTCCTTTTGCCAACCGCTCTCAACCCCAGGCCCCCCATATCCTCCTCCTACTTGCCCTCGTTCTCCTCAAAACTCTGCCTTTCTCCTCTCCGCAGGTGGATTATCTGATGACATGTGTCTATCCCCCCTCGCCCACTCCCCCCCACCCTCTGTCTCTTTGCTGGTTCCCACTTGTGTTATTGGTGTCATGCCGCCTCGCACTTGTGTCCTCATCTCCCTCTCCCCCTCCCACTGTCTCTCCCTCACTGCCCACACAGGTGGATTATCTGATAATGTGTTTCTATGCCCCCTCGCCCACCCTCCGCCTCCGCCTCTTTGCCGGCTCCCACCTAGGTCATGCAGCCTTCTCCCTCATCTCCCTCCCCTCAACCCTTTGTCTCTTCCCCCACCCTGTTTCTCTCACCCACTGCCAATACAGGTGGATTATTTGATAACATGTGACTACTCCCCCTCACCCACCCCCCGCCTCCACCTTTTTGCCGGCTCCCACCTCGGTCATGCAGCCTCCTTCCCCATCTCCCTCCCCCCAAGCCTCACCAGTCCATCCCACCCCTCGGGTCCCGCTACTGCTGCTGCCGCTGCTGATACCCGTGATAATGATGATGATGCCATGATGACAGAGCATGCACATGGCAGCAGCGCGAGCGTGCCACCTGGCAGCTGCCAGGTCAGCGGCCCCGACATGCTGCTATCCGGGGGTCATTCAGGGGTGGTGAGGGATGTGGTACGGTTTGCCCTTCCCATGTCTCATGCGGCGGGGTCTGGAGGGACAACTGTGGCTTTTTCGACAGGAGGAGAGGATGGTTGCTTGTGCCAATGGGAGGGTGTTGAGGGGCAGGAGGAGGAGGAGGGAGAGGAGGGTGGAGGAGTGAAGGGGAGCAAGCGGAAGGGCAAGGGGAAGGATCGGTTCAAGCCGTACTAGTTTAGGGGTGTTTTGAGTAGACTCATAACACGACTCATTGCAAGCGGGAGGGCAGGCGGAAGGGAAAGGGGAAGGAAGGACCGTTTCAAGCCGTACTAGTTGTGTGGACGGGTCATGCACTCACAGGAAAAGCTCCCTAATCTGATTTCTCAAGAGTGTCTTTCGAGCTCATTTCGAGTTCATCATTTGTAGTAGAACATGAGAACAAGGCTGAACAATCAGGAATCAGGACTCGATGTTCAATAATGGCTGATGAATCACCCTGGATACAAAAAACTGCTCCAAAAATCACCCATTTTCCCCAGACGGGCATACAAAGGCTGATGCCTGGGGTTCTGCTGCTCCCCCAACCATCCCGGCGCTTTCAATCAACCAAACACAGTTCGAACCTTATCCCAGGGTTTCCAGTGCAAGTCCCTATGAGAATATCGTATCTCAGCATCCCTGATCTGACCAAACTAATTAATACAGGTTTAACCAGCCTAATGTATGAGTGTCGCATCCCATGACCCATTCAGTTAATTAAATATAGTACAAGAGGAAATCCTTACACCCGAACCATGTGCAAGGGACCCAGAGAGCAGCCCGCTAATGCGTCCTGCCATCCAATCAAGTCAGAGGATTCATGTCAACTTCTTGTCCTGGTTCTCGCACTTAGAGTACCCCGAGAATGGCACATACTTCATGCTGTCACTTTGCCGTCATGGTTCTCACACTTACGGTAAATGCACTCCACAACCACCCACACTTGCTCCACCCACCCACCCACACTTGGCCCCAGACTTGTCCCTGTTCCTCATGCCCTCCCACCTGAACCTGCCAACTAGCTCTATGCAAGCACATTGCTATCGTGGTTCTCGCACTTGTAATGCCCCAGGAACCACCCGCACTTGTCTCCACAGAATGGCCTCGCCTCTCTGTCCCTCTGTGCCCCTATGCAAGCACATTGCTATCATGGTTCTCACACTTGTAATACCCCAGGAACCACCCGCACTTGCCCCCAAAGCCTTCCATGTTGCCCATGCATGCTCTCCCACCCGAACGTGCCAACTATCTTTACGCAAGCACATTGCTATCATGATTCTCGCACTTATAGTAGCCCAGGAACCACCCGCACTTGACTCCGTTAACAGTGGTTGGTGGGGGAGGGGGGGCGGGGGGGGGAGGAGAGGCGGACGGTGGGGACGGGGGAGGGGGAGATGGTGGGGGTGGGCGGGGCGGGGGAGGAGAGGGGGGAGGAGGAGAGGGGGGTGTAGGGGGAGGAGGGGAGGGAGGAGGAGAGGGAGGAGGTTTAGGAGGAGGCGAGGGAGGTGGAGTGGGGGGAGGAGAGGGAGGAGGAGAGGGAGGAGGGGAGGGAGGAGGAGAGGGAGGAGGAGAGGGAGGAGGGGAGGGAGGAGGGGAGGGAGGAGGGGAGGGAGGGGGGAGAGGAGGGGGAAAGGGAGGGGGGGAATCTGGAGGTGGGGGAGGGGGGGAGTCTGGGGGAGGCGGGGGGGAGTCCGGAGGGACAGCTGGCAAATCCCCATTGGCTATGGCATCTAGATCCTCCCCCCTAAGGCTTGGGGAGGGCGGAGGGGGGGTGGGCGGAGGGGGAGAGGGCGGAGGAGGGGAAGGAGGAGGGGGAGAGGGCGGGGGAGGAGAAGGAGGGGGGGGAGAGGGAGGAGGGTTGTCCGGAGGAGGGGAGGGCGGGGGAGTGGAGGGGGGAAGGGCAGTGGGGGGAAAGGCAGTGGGGGGAAGGGCAGTGGGGGGAGGAGCGGAGGGGGGAAGGGCAGTGGGAGGAGGAGCGGAGGGGGAAGGAGCGGAAGGAGGAGGAGCGAAGGGGGGAGGAGTGGAGGAGGGAGGAGCGGAGGAGGGAGGAGCGGAGGAGGGAGGAGCGGGAGGGAGGAGGGAGGAGCGGAGGAGGGAGGAGCGGAGGAGGGAGGAGCGGAGGAGGGAGGAGCGGAGGAGGGAGGAGTGGAGGGGGGAGGAGTGGAGGGGGGAGGAGTGGAGGGGGGAGGAGCGGAGGGGGGAGGAGAACTTTCTGACGGAGGGGACGCGGAAGGAGGGGAAAGGGGAGGGAATGGGGGAGGGGCGCTATCAGGGGAGGGAACTGGCGCAGGGGTTGGGATAGCTGCTGTTTCAGCATTCACAGAGTCAGAAGGGGGCGTTGGTGGGGGAGGGGAAGGAGGTGGCGGGGAGGGTGGGGGCGGGGAAGGTGGAGGGGAAGGTGGGGGAGGGGAAGGCGGAGGTGGGGAAGGAGAGGTGGGCGGAGTACTTGGTGGGGGAGGAGTGGAGGGGGGAGAAGTTGGGGGGGGAGGAGTGGAGGGGCGAGGCGAGCGGGGCGGTGGTATGGGGGGTGTGGGGGGAGGGGGTGGGCGTGGGGGAGGAGGCGAAGGAGCGGGTTTCTCTGCAAGGAGAGGGTCATTTTTGGAAGGGAGGGGAGCGGGAAGAAGCAGGAACAAAAAAGCATCCATTAGCCTCAGAAGAAAACATATCATACTGCGGAGACGGAAGAGCAGGGAGGGCAGGGTGGGGCGGGTGAACAGTGGTTGAAACCACTCCCACTTGCGTGTCCCCTACTGGGGCGCCTCAAAAGGAGACCGAAGAGCAGAGAGGGCAGGGTGGGGCGGGTGAGCAGTGGTTGAAACCACTCCACTAGCCGTGCGCTGTGCACTGTACTAGCTGTGCAGCACATGGGATTCGGCGGAGACGCGAGTGACGTTGGCGGGGCAAGAGAGCGAGACACAGGGCGTACCGATTGCGGTGCAGTTTAGGCCGTCAGGGGAGCGAACAGTCCCCTTGAAGCAGTCGCAAGAGAAGGAGGGGCGGGGGGGGGTTCCTGTGATTTCCACCACCACGCAAGTCCCCAGCGAGCCACACTGGGAGTTGGCAGTGGTGCGAGTGACGTTGGTTGGTGGGGCAAGCGAGCGAGACACATGGCTTACCTATTGCGGTGCAGTTTAGCCCGTCGGGGGAGCGAACAGTCCCCTTGAAGCAGTCGCAGGAGAAGGAGGGGCGGGGGGGTGTTCCTGTCATTTCTACCACGCACGTCCCAAGCGAGCCGCACTGCGAGTTGCCCGCGGTGCGAGTGACGTTGGTGCGGCAGAAGGCGAGGCAGGCTGCTGCTGATCGCTGAGTGTCCACCTGGTGTATGTGTGTGGGGGAGTTGAATCAGAAAGAGGTGGTTTGGTTAGATACAGGGAGGGAGAACCACAGAGGAGAGTGCCGTTGGGATTTGGCTGCAATGCTAGTGAGGTTGGTGCGGCAGAAGGCGAGGCAGGCTGCTGCTGAGCGTTGAGAGTCCACCTGGTGTGGCAGGGAGAGCAGGGCGAGAAGGGCATGGCGAGAGGAGTCAACAAGCGGTGGAGTGTAATAATGGGGCCGTGCGACTGGGATAGGAGTTCTCCGTTGCAACCCCGTACACCATGCAGTTGGAAGAGTCAATTTGAGACAAGTCCCGTACACTCAACCACACCATCCATACCCATCTAGACCCCTCCTCACCCCTCCCCACACCCACCTGCAGCAGCTCCCCTGTGCTCATGGGGCCCGTGCGAGTGGGGGAGGTATTCTTACTGGCAGCGGGCACACACTCACTCACGCCATCTATACCCATCTACACCCCCCACACCCATCCCCACCTGCAGCAGTTCCCCTGTGCTCATGGGGCCGGTGCGAGTGGGGCACGAGTTCTCCGTCGCAACCCCGTACACCAGGCAGCTGGTGCAGTCACTTTGAGGGCACTCCCATCCATACACTCACTCATGCCATCCATGCCCATCTAGACCCCTCCCCACCCTCCCCACCCCTCCCCACACCCACCTGTAACAGCTCCCCTGTGCTCATGGGGCCGGTGCGAGTGGGGCAGGAGTTCTCCGTTGCAACGCCGTACACCAGGCAGTTGGAAGCAGCCGAGAAGGTTCCCGGCTCGAACCCCGTCTTGCAGAGCGGCAGAGCGAGAGGAGTGGTGTCTGAGACGAGCCCAGGCCCGTGGAAATAGTTGGAGCTGATGTCATAGGAGACCATTTGTTGACTGTCCGTCACACGCGGGACTAGTCCTGTAAAGTAGTTCTGGGATAGGTTGCTGCACAGGTGGAAAGGGGTGGAGAGGGATCGGGAGCATCGAAGGCAATGCAGGGTGAGGGAGGTGAGGAGAGGGGGGTGGTGTTGGAGACAAGCCCAGGTCTGTGGAAGTAACTGGAGCTGATATCGTAGGAGACCATTTGTTGACTGTCTGTCACACGAGGGACCAGACCTGTGAAGTACTTCTGGGAGAGGTTGCTGGGAGGGATGGGAGGGATGGGTGGGAGGGGCAGGGAGGCAGCAATGGGAGGGGGGTGGTGTTGGAGACAAGCCCAGGTCTGTGGAAGTAATTGGAGCTGATATCGTAGGAGACCATTTGTTGACTGTCTGTCACACGAGGGACCAGACCTGTGAAGTACTTCTGGGAGAGGTTGCTGGGAGGGATGGGAGGGATGGGTGGGAGGGGCAGGGAGGCAGCAATGGGAGGGGGGTGGTGTTGGAGACAAGCCCAGGTCTGTGGAAGTAATTGGAGCTGATATCGTAGGAGACCATTTGTTGACTGTCTGTCACACGAGGGACCAGACCTGTGAAGTACTTCTGGGAGAGGTTGCTGGGAGGGATGGGAGGGATAGGCGGGAGGGGCAGGGAGGCAGCAATGGGAGGGGGGTGGTGTTGGAGACAAGCCCAGGTCTGTGGAAGTAATTGGAGCTGATATCGTAGGAGACCATTTGTTGACTGTCTGTCACACGAGGGACCAGACCTGTGAAGTACTTCTGGGAGAGGTTGCTGGGAGGGATGGGAGGGATGGGTGGGAGGGGCAGGGAGGCAGCAATGGGAGGGGGGTGGTGTTGGAGACAAGCCCAGGTCTGTGGAAGTAATTGGAGCTGATATCGTAGGAGACCATTTGTTGACTGTCCGTCACACGAGGGACCAGACCTGTGAAGTACTTCTGGGAGAGGTTGCTGGGAGGGATGGGAGGGATGGGTGGGAGGGGCAGGGAGGCAGCAATGGGAGGGGGGTGGTGTTGGAGACAAGCCCAGGTCTGTGGAAGTAATTGGAGCTGATATCGTAGGAGACCATTTGTTGACTGTCTGTCACACGAGGGACCAGACCTGTGAAGTACTTCTGGGAGAGGTTGCTGGGAGGGATGGGAGGGATGGGTGGGAGGGGCAGGGAGGCAGCAATGGGAGGGGGGTGGTGTTGGAGACAAGCCCAGGTCTGTGGAAGTAATTGGAGCTGATATCGTAGGAGACCATTTGTTGACTGTCTGTCACACGAGGGACCAGACCTGTGAAGTACTTCTGGGAGAGGTTGCTGGGAGGGATGGGAGGGATGGGTGGGAGGGGCAGGGAGGCAGCAATGGGAGGGGGGTGGTGTCTGAGACAAGCCCAGGTCTGTGGAAGTAGTTGGAGCTGATGTCATTCGAGACCATTTGCTGGCTGTCTGTCACTCTGGGAACCAAACCCGTGAAGTAGTTCTGGGATAGGTTGCTGCACAGGTGGAGTGGGGTGGAAAGGGGAGGAGAGGGATGGGGAGCAGGGGAAGGCAATGCAAGGCGAGGGCAGCACGAGGGGGGTGGTGTCTGAAACAAGCCCAGGTCTGTGGAAGTAGTTGGAGCTGATGTCGTATGAGACCATTTGTTGACTGTCTGTCACTCTGGGTACCAAACCCGTGAAGTAGTTCTGGGATAGGTTGCTGCACAGGGATACGAGGGAGGGCAACAAGGGATGGAGAGGGTGGAGAGGGATGGAAAGGCATTTGAAAGTAGAGGGAGAGGGGTATACAGGTAGCAGAGGAAGAGGGGAGTGGGAGGGGGTAGGAGGAGGGGAGGGAGAGGAGGGGCGTACAGGTAGGAGAGGGAGGGGCATGTTGCTGACTGTGGCATCAGGAGCGGATCAGGCAGAGGGAGAGTGTTACAAAAAGAGGGAGGAGAGGAGGGAAAGAGGCAAGGAGCGTACAGGTAGGACAGGGAAGGCATGTTGCTGACTATGTTGCCTGGAGCGCCACTGAGGGAGTTGCTGCTGACGTCCCTGGTGGGATGCAGCAGAGCAGGGGCAGGACAGTGGCAGGGCAGAGGTGGGGCAGAGGTGGGGCAGAGGTGGGGCAGAGGTGGGGCAGAGGCGGGGCAGAGGTGGGGCAGAGGTGGGGAAGGGCAGGGGCAGGTAATGGCAGGGCACTGCGAGCATGACATGCACTGAGAGCATGACATGCACTGAGAGCATGACATGCACTGAGAGCATGACATGCACTGAGAGTATGACATGCACTGGACCATCGCTTACATTGTTGAGAATTCACTTACATGGTATACAGGGGCAGCTTACAGCGTGTACAGAGAGCGACAGTTAGCCAGCGAGGGCAGCAGGGGGCGTGTGAGAGCGTTGAGGAAAGATCCCTTACAAGCAAAACTGGAGCTGCTTATATAGGGTACACAGCTTACAGCGTGTAGAGAGAGCCACAGGTAGACAGCGAGGGCGGCAGGGGGCCTGTGAGAGCATTGAAAGAGAGATCTCTGATGGGGGGGGAGGATGGGGTGGGGGGACGAGTGTCCATATGGGGGATCGCTTTTGAGAATATTCAGAAGTGACTTCAAAAGCTGTAGCTGTAGCTGAGCGCTACAGTTAGCCGGCGAGGGCGGCAGAGGGCCTGTGAGAGCGTTGAAAGAGAGATCTCTGGTGGTGGGAGAATGAAGACGGGCAAGCGCGGATGAGAAAGGGGCAAGTGGGGATGTGCAAAGCGAACGAGCGAGGCAGAAATTGGGATGGAAGAGGATGAAGAGGCAGATACAAGCACAGGAGGAGGATGAAGAGGCAGATACAAGCACAGGAGGAGGATGAAGAGGCAGATACAAGCACAGGAGGAGGATGAAGAGGCAGATACAAGCACAGGAGGAGGATGAAGAGGCAGATACAAGCACAGGAGGAGGATGAAGAGGCAGATACAAGCACAGGAGGAGGATGATTGGTAGTGAAAAGGATGTGAGGTTGAGTTGAGTGAAGTGCGAATCTCACATGGAGTTGAGGGCAGGCTTGTCAGCGAACGCGTCTGGGATGGCACCAGACAGGCGGTTGCGAGATAGATCCCTGGGAGAACGGAAGAAGGGGATGGAGGGAGAGAGGGATGGAGGGAGAGAGGAAGGGAGGGAGAGTGTGACAGAAAAGGGCAGAGAGTGTACAAGTCAGGCGAAAGAATATTGGAACAGCAGAGGACTTACATGATACGGGATGGCCCATTGATATGGGGTGCTTACACCCTGACCTGTGCCAACACTACTCCCGGCACTGACAGCATCTGCAGGTGACACTGCACTCGCAAGCTGGCTCAGCGAGTGCGGGATGGCATGACAGTGCATGCGGTACAGACATGCATAAGGCACACCACATACAACCCTACCACACCCCACACCACTCCTAGACCATGAGCAGCACTGACAGGATCTGCAGGTGATTGAGCTGGCTCATGGAGGGCGGGACGGCCTGGTCAGTGACTTGTCGCCAGCAGCATCTCCAGTGGTTAAGCTGGGTGGAGAGTGGCTCGTTGGTACAACACCTAGACCATTCCCACTCCCTCCCAGCACTAACAGGATCTGCAGGTGATTAAGCTAGCTCAGTGAGGTTGGGAGGGAAGCCCACAGTGACTATCCATTCCCATTCCCACCAATTTCACCAACTCCAGCACTCAACCCCAGCAATCACCACTGATCTCACAGGATCTGCAGGTGATTGAGCTGGCTCATGGAGGGCGGCGGGGCATAACAGCGAATGCAGTATCTCTCTTGCTCCTTATCAGGCCCTACACCAATTCCCCATCAACTCACACGGTCAGCTACACCACTCACAAGATCTGCAGGTGATTGAGCTGGCTCATGGAGGGCGGGAGGGGGCCTGACAGGGAGTTGTTGCTTATAGACCTGTCGGCGAGGGTGGGAAACATAGAGAGGGGGTCACAGGGGGGAAGAGAGAGAGGTGTAAAGAGGAGGGGGGAAGAGGAGAGGGGGAGGGAAGAGAGGTTGTGGGAGCCGCGGAGAAGCAGTATCGCTGGAAGGCGAGAGGTAAGGAGCAGTGAGGCGTGCGTACAGGAAATCAAGGCAGGGAAGCTGGCCGATGTTGGAGGGGAGGGGGCCAGATAGAAGGTTGTGACTCGCAAGTCAAGTCAAGTCAAACCAAATCAAACAGTCATGATTGCTGAAGGTGAGGGTTAGGGACAGGCAGGGAGGCTTACAGAAAAGCAAGCTTGCGAAGCTGGCCAATGTTGGTGGGGAGGGGTCCTGAAAGAAGGTTGTGACTCGCAAGTCAAGTCAAACCGAGTCAAGTCAAGTCAGGGCAGCTAAGTGTGAGGGCTCAGGGGCAGGGAGGCTTAGCGACAGGGAGGGAGGGAGGCTTACAGGAAGGCAAGCTTGGGAAGCTGGCCAACGTTGGTGGGGAGGGGTCCAGAGAGGAGGTTGTGACTTGCGATGCTGGGGGGGAGGGGGGCAGGAAGGGGAGTGGTGGGAACAGGCAGATGAGGGTATGGTCCACACAGGACATGAGATGAGACATACGAGAAACGAGTGCAGAGGAAGACAAGCGCACTGAGACAGACAGCTATTAACCAGCGGCTTATAAGGGGTACAGGTAGACTCACAGATAGACGAGTGCACTGAGTGCAGTGATAGAGTCAGGAAGGGACCCGCTCAGCACGTTCACATCCAGGAACCTGTAGAGTGGGGAGTGGAGAACGGTGGGGAATGGTGTGATGGTGATGCTTTCAAGGCAAGTCATGGAGAAGAGGGGTATAGTGGGCAGGGCACATGTGGAGGTAACTGGAGGGTAGAGGGCTGGGAATAAGGAGAGGTATGACTGAGACTCTGCCATCCGCCCTACCTTCCAGTTACCTCGACACCTGTCTGGTGGTGGTGATGGTACGTACACACCCCAACCAGCCGAGGTTGTTTACTTCACACGCACGCATTTGGTGAGAACCCAGACAGGTGCCCAGGAAGCAACAAGTTCGCCCACTCACATGTATCGCAAGCGATCCAGACGGCCAATGGAAGCTGGGATGGACCCAGACAGGCGGTTGTTGCTCAGGTACCTGCACGTGGTAGCCAAACCACCCGCGGTTGAAGAGAGGGTGGGCAGAGGAAGCGACTGAGGTAAGGACAGGTGAACCCAGCTAGGCAAGCCTGATGTTGGATGGCACCATGTGGTAACCATGTAACTATAGTTAACAGGAGGGTGGAAAAAAGAAGGGTTGGGGGGGTCGGTTCAAAAAGGATGATGTTGATCTGGGGGGAGAATCACCTACAAGAAAGTTTAAGATCATGCAGGCTACACTCACAGGCTTGAGAGGCACTCACAGCCAGTTGAGGTTGTAGTTGTTGCCGATCTGAGGGGGAATCACTCCTGACAGAAGGTTGTTGCGCACATCACTGTGAGGGGCGCAGGGCGGGGGACAGGCCCGAGGCAGGAGAGAGATGCGACGTAGAGGAGAGGCGAGGGGAAGAAAGGGGTGGTGAGGAGTAGACGACAGTATTGAAAAAGTTCAAAGGGGTGCGTGCGAGGACAGGGGCTGGAAGAGAGGGACTGGATGACAAAGAGGAGGCAGATGGTGTGACATGGAGTGGTAATGGGGCTAGGTGGGTTCTGGATTAGAAAGAGAAATCCACAGTGCAAATCTAGTAGCTATTTACAGGCACCACAATGCTTGTAACAATATGTATGAAGTGGGGGGGGGGTACTGAAGAGCCTTATAACGAGTACTTGAGTCTTACATGTACTGCAGGGCTTGTAACGTGGATATCTGTGGGGGAATGGCCCCTGTGAGCTCGTTAGACGCGAACGAGCTGAGATGAGGGGGTGGGGGGAGAGAAAGGCGTGAAGAAGGTTAGGAAAAAAGTAGGGAGGAGAGGGAGAGTGGATTTTTAGGTGCATATTGAGTAGACTCGGCACATATCCATCTCTTGAGACGGCTAAGCTAATAAACAATCAGATCTTATCCGTGGGGGGGTGGTCTAGCTCTTTAGAAGTGAGTGAGCTGAGAGGCACAGGTACGTTGGGGGAGAAGTGGAGACAGAGTGGAGACTTGAGAAGTAGAGAGGGATGGGGGGGAGAGAAGGGGGGATAAGAGAAGTAAAGAGGGAGGGGAGGGGAAGAGGGGGTGTGGATAAGCTGTCGAGGGGATGACGGAGAGGGAGTGGGGCGTGAGAGATTGATGAGTTTACATCCAATGAGTCTATAGGACTCCATACAGATTGCTAAATGAAAGATGGATGATGTGGATACTCACAGGTAGGAGAGGGCAGAGAGCGCAGAGATGTGGGAAGGGATGGGGCCTGAGAGACGGTTCCCATCCAAGCGCCTGTGGGACACGGACGTCAGGGGAGGAAACCAGGGGTCAGCCATATGAATGTGTGTGCGCGCGCGCGTGTGTGTGTGTGTGAAAATTTTGAAACAAAAATCACGTGAGCGGCACTCGCAGCCATATGAATGCGTGTGGGTTTGTGTGTTTGTGTCTGCAAGGGAGCGAGTGAGTGAAAACTTTGAAAAGAAAGAAAGTAGTCGGGTCTTCCTACAGGGGGCACTCACAGCATTTGCAGCTGGGGCAGCTTGCCGATCCCCGGGGGAAGAGGGCCTGATAAGTCATTGTCAGCCAGACTCCTGCGAAGCATCACATCACATGGATGGGTGGAGGGGGAATGGCCCTCGGTTAGTTTGGGTGCTTGCTGTTGGTGGCAGCAGGGAGTTAGCGCTCCCTGCCATGTCAAGGAGCAGGGACGACGATGACTCACTGAGCAAACTCTTGAGTCGACTCAAAACTCATAGAGCAGTAGGCGTCAAGTCTCACAGGTCCTGCAGCGCAGTGAGCTTCGTGGTGGCAGCAGGGAAGCACTGCGCTCATGTGCTCCCTCCTGCTACCACACTATCGATCACCCATGCATTGCATTTCTATGCCATGGCACGACACGCCAAAAACCACACCATTCCATGCAGTGGCACCACCCGCCCTGGTCTCACAGGTCCTGCAGTGCAGTGAGCTTGGTGACGGCAGCAGGGAAGCTTCCGCTGATGGCATTGCCGCCCAAGAAGCTGCATCCGGGGCGGAAACCGGGGAGAGGAAACACAAATTCAAGGGAAAGAGATATCTCAAGGACGAAAACATCTCTTCAAGGCAAAGGGCCGTGTTAATCAATCACAATGATATGACTCGTACACTCAGGCACTTCAAGGGGTTCATGTGCTATTTAATCTAAAGGGTTACATACAGTGCAGCGAGTGTTGAGTTGAGCAGGGAAATGGAGGCGGGTATGCTAGTCACGTTGTTGCCCACCCACCTGGACAGGTATGAAAGCAGCAAAGAAACAGACCAGTGGTGAGATACACGAGATGGAATGCTGCTTACAAATTGCTCAGTCCAAGGCGGGCCTGGCTGTGAGATAATATTTGATGGTGCAATGCAATGCAATGGCCACCACAAGAGCTTGATGTTTGAATGTGTGCATTCAAGTGTTTTTTACGTTGTGCATTCAAGTTTCAGCGGTTCAGCACTATGCTTGCCTGCTTGTTCATAAACACTCATTCAAATGTCTTGGAGAGAGTGTGTGCTTATACGAAGTGAGGGATTCAGGTAGGTGCATGCTTACAGAGATGTGAGTGCGGTGAGGTTGGCAATCGAGTCTGGCAGAGGCCCTGTGACTCCCCACAGAGACCTGAGGGAGGAGAAAGGCCATGCCATGCAATGTCGTCCCAGACCACGTCCATTCATGCCATGCCATGCCATGCCATGTCATGCCATGCCACGCCATTTTATGCCATGCCACGCCATTTCATGCCATGCCATGCCATGCCATGCCATGCCACGCCATGCCATGCCACGCCATGCCATGCCATGCCATTTCATGTCATGCCACGTCATTTCATGTCATGCCACGTCATTTCATGTCACGCCATGTCATATCATCGCTATGCCAGATTGTTTCATGCGATTTGCACATCATTTCATGCCATACCATCTCAACTCATAGCGAGTGACAGCGCCAAGAAACATGAAGGAAAAAGAGGCGAAGGGAAGAAGGATAGAACAGGAGTTACGATGATGAAAGTAGGTCGGCATCAAGGCCAAAAGAAAACAGCAAGAGACAGTCGAGTCAAGACGAAGCAGAACCTAGTAGACGAGACGGCCGGCCAAGGTCCCTGTTGAAGAGTGAAAGCGAAGCGTCAATTCAGAGCGGACCGTGGAGATTGAAGTGCGTACGACAGCTTACTGATACAGCACAGTGCGATGGCTCACTCACAGCGTGATACCATGGCCCTGGTCGTCGCACGAGAGGCCAAAGGCCACGTTGCAAACTTTCCCTCGAAAATGCATCTTGGGACTGCTTCTGTTTATCAGGCACCTCAAACATTGAGTAGTGCGTCGGCTCACTCACCCCACCCCCCAACCCCCACTCACAGGGTAATGACGCGGCCCTGGTCGTCGCACGAGACGCCGAAAACAATATTGCAGTTGGCCCTGGACTGCCAGTACACCTTCGGGCTGCGCTGCGGGTTGGTGAAGTTCAGATCCTCTCTCAGCCGCAGCAGCGCTTGCCCTGGTTGGTGGGGGAACAAGGCAGGGTGGGCGGAAAAGAAAGGCGGAAAGGTGTAACCGTTGCCAGTACACCTTGGGGCTGCGCTGCGGGTTGGTGAAATTCAAATCCTCTCGCAGCCGCAGCAGCGCTTGCCCTGGTGGGGAAACGGAAAGGGCGCGTGGGGGGAAAAGGAATGGTGGGCCTGTGTTACAGAGGGCGATGCTGCAGTTGTTCCTTCCCTTCACCGCCAACAGTGCACCTTGGGGTTGTGCTGCGGGTTGGTGAAGTTAAAATCCTCTCGCAGCCGCAGCAGCGCTTGCCCTGGTGGGGGAACAGGAAGGGCGTGGGGGTAAACGGAAAAGTGGGCCTACGTTACAGAGGGCGATGCTGCAGGTGTTCCTTCCCTTCACCGCCAATATTACACCTCGGGGCTGCACTGCGGGTTGGTGAGATTCAGCTCTTCCCCCAGCCGCAGTAGCGCTCGCCCTGATGAACAAGCAATAGGAGCGGTACACTGCGCGAGAGCGGCATTGGGGAACGAGAGGTGCCGCATCAGGGTGGTCAGTGCGACTGAGAGATCCAAGAAATTTGTGACGGATATAAACGACGCAGTTTTATACGTTGTAGTGTAGTCTCCCAGCCCTCGCGGTTTCCTCAGTTGTAGTGTAGTGTAGCACCATAGCACGCTATTATTCAGTTGACTCAAAAAACACAGAAACACGCGAATACGCCATATAGGATGGGGCATGCGGCATCGCAGATTCGGAGATCATTCAAGGCTGGGGGTGTGGCAGTTGTCTGATCCCTCCCTACGCATGCAAATCGTCAGGTCAAAACGCGAAAGCGGATCGTACGGAGACCGAAAAGCGAGAGCTAGGAGATGCGGTGAAGTAGGCAGGGTAAGAATCTAACTCTCGTTTCACTCACAGTCTGTTAGAGCGATCGAGCGAGCAGCAGTCAATGGAATGAGGGTCGCGAAAACCGCGAAAACTCCGAGGACAAACGAAGTCATGCTAACAAGCTGGGAATGTGAGAGCATTGCGCGCGGCGAGGAAACTCTTCGCGAGCCGCCTTGTCGGTTTGCCGACTCGGAGCTACTACGAGCCATTGAAGGAGGAATGCCCGCGTGGGGCCCTCCTTCCATTCCGCCACCACGTCCCAACGTCTCTGCCCCTAATCCACTTTCCTACAAGGGTTTGCCAGATGCTTAGACGACGATTCTCCCGCGATCGAAGCTGCGATGGAAAAATGGCGCTTCGCTGCCAGTGGTTATGAAAATCCTAAGGTGGCAGTGACTTGGCGCTACCTCCAGGTTCCAGCGTATTCGCGAAGCAAGAATATCGGGGGCAGTTCTGTCTTACCTGTACCGTACCATAGTGCACGGCCCCAGGAGGGAACTGATTGGATGGACCCCCGAACCTGGAACTTGGTTCCGAAGCACCTTCAGAGTTCTCCTTACCTGAGTCCGAGCCAAGCCAGGGCCCACCTGACGGTTCGCCTCGGCCCCAGGTATTAGGGCATAGCCTCGGTAGAGCGGCTTGCCAAACTGACCTGACCAATCTCACGGTGACAGGTTTGTGTAGCAAATATTTCACCTGACCTACTCATACGGTCTGGTCAGGGTGTCGTTTGGTTGAGAGAGACAAATCAGCTACAGCATTCCTCATGTGCTCAATACGCGTACTTCTTTATACTAAAGCGAAGTGTAATCATTTTGTCTATAATAACTTATCATAGTGATAAAGCTTAGAATATGATCCTCCCATTCAGCTGCTTTGGTCTTGGGTTTCAAGTATAAAATTGATCTACATGTCATCTATATAAATATCTTAAGAAGCGATACCGCTCATTCTGTTAAACAACAGAGCTATGGGTGAATAAATATGTAATTTCCTGCATAGATTTGTTAAGACAACTAACATGCTTCTCCATGCCTTCTGCAGGTGGTAGGCACCCCTCCGTCGTTCCTTCAATCGAGTATATCTGTCGGCAACGGGGATTGGACGTGCCTAGCCTTTCAAGTCGTGCACTTTCGCACTTGCCTTTTCCGTGTGGTTGCCTGGCGTTGCCGCCACTGATTCACGGGCATGAACCCCCTAAACCCGACATTGGGCAGCCCGTGCGACGGAGTCTCGTCTCCAACCAGGCCGTCTTTGCGACGAATCTAGGCTCGGAGAGGCTTCAAGCTCTTCCGCCGCTGAACGCTGGTTTGGTGCCACAGGTGTACCCAGAATCCAGGTTGGCTCGTGTCTCTCCATACCACACCATTGTTTGGTGAGACATCGACGTGACCTTGTCATGGTTGTGATTACTTGGCCATGGCGGTTTCGCATTCAAGACTTCCGAGCACTGAGCTAGCTTTGCACAGGTTCTAAAACTGGAAATCTGTGCTTGAGATAACTTTACTGAAGCCGAGTCTCAGCAGATTAGAAATCTCATCGCTAGGTTGGGTTTTGCCTAGAGGCTCTTAATTGCGAATATATCAACCAACCATGAGTGGTCGATTTCTGACTGGCTATGCATCAGCTCCTGTCTCGCCGCAAGTTAGTCGAGGGTCGTCACCTGCGCTTAGCGACCATGATTCGTAAGGGTTTAAAGTCTCCTTTCCTGCCTCAGTTTGAGGCTGAATCTAGTGTTTTCGTCGTTTTATTCATTATATGGGTCGAGACGTGGATCTGACACGCGTAGTTTTTCCCTCTCAGGTATCTATCGGAGCTCTTGTCCGAGAGGCAAAAACTTAGCCCTTTTATGCAAGTGTTGCCGATATGTAGCCGCCTGATGAATCAAGGTAGGTTGAATTACGCATAGTGAATGCGGATTCGTTTGGCTTGGCGAGTATTATGCTTATTAAACGACTTGTGTCACCTGCAGAAATTGCTCGAGTCACATCCCTCGTTGGCGCTCAAGTGTTTATGGACCATGATTCAATCGAGCACTCGCCTCCGATGTCACATCAGCCACATTCGTCTCATCAGCAAATAACTCACCAACATTTATCGCATCAGGCACTCACTCATCCTCCGCATCCACCTCATCAGTTTCATGCAACTCATCAAGGCCATATCTCTCATCAGTCTCAGCAGATTCGGCCTTCGTCTAGTGGATCGCCGTTTGATTCCGGAACTTGGGCTCCGATGCCATCTGAGGTTGGGGTAAGTTTGGCTATTCAGCAACTTCGTTTCAAAACATGAAAATCTCGTGGCTGACGCTAAGCCTTGGTTTCCCATACTGGATATGCAGCCATCGTCTTCTCTATTCTTGATGCAACCAACGAGCCAACCGTCAGCTACCGGGACGCTTGTAGGCTGGACGGCTCAGCCTGGCGCTGCTCCGATCGTAAAGAAGACGAGCCGTTTGGAGGTTCCGGTGGATAAATACCCTACATTTAACTTCGTCGGAAGAATCTTAGGGCCACGAGGGAACTCTCTGAAACGAGTTGAAGCGCAGACAGGTTGTCGTGTTCTCATTCGCGGACGTGGGTCAATAAAGGACGCTGGCAAGGTATGAACGTTTTCTAAGGCTGCTTGTTTGCGAACGTTGCGCGCTGTGTTTAAGTGTTTCTACGATTGCCCTTTTACGCTTATCCGACGCAGGAGGAGAAGATGCGAGACAAGCCTGGATTTGAACATTTGAACGAGCCTCTGCATGTTATCGTGGAAGCAGAGCTCCCTGCGAATGTTGTGGACGCGCAGCTTGCTCAAGCGTGCGAAATACTTCAAGAATTACTCAGGCCTGTGGTGAGTGGTTGTGCTCGTGAAATTTTCAGTTTTTGTTAGCATCAGTGAAACCAGGTGAGTAATTTAAGCTTCCTTCCCCCTTTTTCAGGACGAAACTCATGATGTGGTCAAACGTGCACAACTTCGTGAATTAGCCATTCTGAATGGAACCCTTCGGGATGACCTGGGAGCTCACAGTTTGTTCTCAGGTTCCCCATTGCCCTTCGGTGATGTGGGACTGAAGCGAGCGAAAACTCGACGATAGCGATAACGCGGCAAGCTAGCACGCTCAAGGTTGGTCCCGGAGGTTTGAGGTCTTTTAGTTGCGTCATTTAGTGGTCTACTTCCCCACATTATTACCCGTTTTCTGTGTCATTACAGAAGGCGTTTCACCTTAGATGTCCAGGGTCCTATCGAGTATGGATGTAGTCCTGGAGAATTTTGACTTTGTAATTCTTTTTATGGAATGATGATTTCTTCATCCTTCATCTCCTGCACATTGGGTTGGGGCAAGGGGTTGGGGCGCTTGGGGGGTGTAAATGGTGGACTTCATGGTAAGTATGTTTGGTTGGTGTTTTTGGGGGGAATGGTGACTATGGGCCCCAGTACTTCATTGTGAAGCATAGTAGTTGGACTGTACACCCGTGAAGCTCTTCATTTCGAAACGCTTTGAGCTTCTAGCGGTTCTGACTCTGAGCATCATCCTTTTTGGCGGCTTGGTTCTCCTGACTCTGGTGGTGCATGATGGCTTCTGACTAACGGATGACCAATTAACGACCACTGCTAATCCTACTGACCAAATGGTATGAGGAACTGACCTCTGTCTGTGTCTAGCACATCTTTATGCAGCACGTTCTGACCTTACGTGTTGTTGCACTGTGCAGGCTGATCCCACATTTCCTGTGTGGCAATGCGTTTCATCCGTCCTGGATGATTAAGCCTATGTGCCTCTGTTTGAGGGTAAACATCATGATGCCTTTCACCAGGTATGTGGTGCTGTCAAAGTTTCATCTTACCCATGTTTGGTCAGTCACGAAAACTATATGATATCACATATTGTTTTGACTTCTGCAGCACAGCATGCTGGAGCTGGGGTTACAGATTTAATGGCAGCGTGTCCGCAAGATTCAGAGAACGTTACCACACCCTTGCCGTACCAGTTATTCAAGCCATCGTCCACTTCAACATTTCTGTTCCAAGCGACGGATACGACCAGGCCTACAGATCAGATGCCCAATACAATATTGTGAAGGCCAAGATTGGATACTGAAATCATTTAACCTGCCAACGCTGCCTTGAAACACAAAGCCGACTAACCTTTTGCGCGCACGTCTTTAGACTGACCAAGTAACTCCATACTGGCCATCCAGGCGATGTCGGGAGCAGGGTTCCCATGTACTGCACCGATTATTCACTCACGGCCAGTACGTATCTGTCCAGGTTCCTTGAGCTGGTCGCTACAATCATTTATAACTGGCGAGGCTGATGCACAACTCCAGGGTACTTTTGTGGATTTGTTGTACAAGAAAGCGACTCGCAAGGATGCTAACAAGAGGGGACATTCGTATTTTATCACGATACACAGGACCAGTACAGGTACCATATGTTCTGTGGAAGGAAAGGAGTGCGGTCAGATGTTGTGTTGCAAGTTTCCTGCTTGTGTTATATGCAGCCACGCCCGCCAGCACTTGATGCTGACCTACGGTTCTTACCAGGTTACAGTATGGCTGTGCATGAGAAGTTTCAACTGGTGAACAAATACAGGTTCACCAGCAGGCAGGAGGCAGAACAAAAGCGTAAGAGCTGCTGAACTTTTCTTGCGGAGGTGCCTGAATCCCTCTTTTGCGAAGCATTGTAATAAGCACATCTTCGAATCTGCGAGCCTGCAAGAACGAGGGTGAAGGAGCATCATGAAGGTTACGTTTCTTAATCATGGGGGATGCATCAGGACCAGTGAGCATAAGGAACAGTCACACGTTAAGGTGACTACCATTACTATCATAGTATCAATTCTAGAAATGTACCCACCTGCCGGACAGCCATGGGATCTTCCCCAGGAGAGAGTGGAGCTGTCAAAACGGTGAGAAGCCCATTGCGGTTGCCAAACACAATGTCCGTCAAACACCTATCTCCAACCTGCCAAGACGGAGAGGTGTACCATATTAGAGTGGGTGAGAAACCTTACCAAAACAAGATGAAAAGAGATGCGCGATGCTTAGTGGGGCACAGCAGAATATGACTGAAATCTAGCTGCCATCCAGGCTAATACCGTAACCAGGTCCCAGCTTGTTGGCCCTGCATCCTAGGTGTGCCTCCATCTTCTTTCTTGCAGCCACCTCAAAATTTCACAAGAAAATAAACCATTTATCCATTCTTCCTGACACTAAGGAAAAATGCAAGCAGCCACTCACCATGACCATCTCATCTGCCCTGCATCCAAAATGTGTTTCGAGCTCTGCTGCTCCTCCACCAGGTTTCTTCTCGGTGTGAAGAATCACAGGCACTCCCAGTGCCTGCTCCATTGCTGCTGCCAAGGAGCCATCAGGGTCGTACTGCTTCAACCCTGAACTGGAGGAACGATTAGGATTCGGATGGAAGGGGAATTAAAAAAATTGGCATAAAACAGTAGGAGTATTTGAGCAGCCATCAGGGTCGTACTGTTTCAGCCCTGAACAGGAGGCCAGGTTGGGATACATACGGCGGGGAAATACGGGAGCAAGGACGCATGATTCATTCACATAATTCTTCTCAGATAACCAAGGCTTGAGTACCATCTTCTCATTGAACCTTCTCGTTGAATTTTCATGGATACAAAGTCCTCTTTTCTCAATGGACCCCCCCTTCTCATGTTCATCCGCACATCTCTATGACAATGCACCGACCAACCTGCAGAGTTGCTCAGAATGGCAATGCCTCTAGATCCGAATGTCGTCCGGCACACGTCCAGGGAAGCAACCAGCCCATCCTCCACCTGCTTTGGCCGAGCCACACGTGGGATGGGGGGATGGGAATGAGCTGACAATCTCTGAGGCGACCACGAAATAACCGCATGTGGGACATTTGAATGTGACGCATGAAAGCGCAGCATGCACATGCTGAGATGAGCTGACGCAGTAAAAAGAAGGCTGATCAAGAACATGCTTGTGTCTTTACTACGATATGCGTGGGGGAGGGAGGGGGAGAGCGGAGAGGGGAAGGGGGATAAGAAGAGGTTGCGGGGAGCGAGAAGGGAGGTGCGCTGCCGGCAAATTGGTGTAATAGAGTGGATGGAATTTGAATTAAAGGGGATTCCGAGTGGCACTAATGAATGCAGCGAGTGGGACCGAGTCAAATGCTGCAAGGCTTAAGAGAGGTTAGGGTTAGAGTCACCTACACGGTGTACAGAAATGTGAGTGTGTTATCCCTGTCAAACCCCACCGCATGACTCATGGGAGGTTGCTAGGGTGATTGAATCCACCTCGTGAATGTGCTTTTGAACCCACCTGCACCTCGTACGGAAGTGTGAGTGTGTTATCCTTGCCAAACACAACTGCATGACTCATGGGAGAATGCTAGAAACACCTGGAGGTGCATGGATGTTTGAAACTCACCTGTATCTTGTAGGGGAGTGTGAGTGTGTTGTCATTATCAAACACCACTGCCTTGAATTGGGGAGGTCGCTAGGATGATTGAACTCACCTGGTGCATGACTCACCTGCATCTTGTAGGGGAGTGTGAGTGTGTTATCCTTATCAAACACCACCGCCTTGAACCCAGCTGCATGAAGGGCCTTCCAGTCAATCCACCTGTTTCAGAGAGGGCGAAGGCACCAAGGAGTGGTAAAAGCCAATGGGATTAGGAGGATGGGTGAGCGCGTTATTCGTGTCCAACGCACGACTGCCTTGAAACCAGCTGCATGAACGGCCTTCCAGTCAATCCACCTGTTTGAGGAAAGCAAGAAAAACCTTAGATTCAGTAAAAATGCGACGAGACGGAGGACGAATTAGGAAGGCTTAATAGACATGGAAACGATACTGGCATTCTTCTTTTCAAATCTACCCGAGACATATTAGGCTTGATATGGGAGCCTGATATTCTGACATATCTAGCCGTACCTGATATCAGGCACGGACACATGCGGCACAGCGAGGCTCGGATTTGAAACGGCCACGCTCGCCACAGCCGTGACTCCTTGCAGGTTGAAACTCTGTCCGAGCTTCGCCCAGAGGCTCGGCGAATGCGGCTCGGAATCCGAGGGTGACCCTTCCGAACCACCAGTTTCCGACGCAGGCGTCTCCCCCGAAGCTCTAGTTCGGAAATCTCTACGCGTTGGGCTTTCAGCTTTCCGAGCAGAAGATTCAGGCCGCATATTGCTAAAACGTCGTACTGGGCTGGAAGAATGCGTCTGAAACGATCTTAGCCGTTGAAATTGATGGAAAGCTGTGTGACCGTACGATTTGGTTTTGGAGGCTCCGAAACATAGAACTCTAGGAGGGCTGAGAGCTTTGATCGAAGCTTGAGAAGAGAGCAGAGCGGGTCTGGCGCAGGAGACGGACGAAGCTATCGATGCCATAAGCCTCGCATGCGAAATGCCGCGACTCGAGCGGGGACGCTGTGAGGCAATACAGCTACACAGCGATTGCAAGAGCTAGACGGACTAAAGATCTGAATGGACGGAATCAACAGCATTCCCACCCCGCATAAATGTCTGGATTTGTGATGTAATTTGATGGTGCTCAGGGAGCTGAGAGCTTGTGCTCAGAACCTAGCTCAGCCGTTCGGTAAGAAAACCGTTTGAAACGCAAAGCATCTTACCCAACCGCACTAGGTTACGAGACATACGAGTAAAGATGTCGGCTCTTGTTACCCATTCAAGACTTCGCACTCGCCAACGGACTTCGTGTCGAATTGCACGATGCCACATGAAACAACCCTATCATAAGCTCTATTGCTCCACTATTTTATAAAACTATTGCACCTCTCATTATGCATACCATAAAATTCCAGCATAACACATACAAACCTTGAGATTGAATAGAGGTGCAGATAACATGGTAAGGCTAACCTTACCATGCCACTAGGGGAAAAAAAAATGAGATACGTAGCCAAGCTGCACACTGGCTGTGATTATCTAAAAGGGAATGGGATTGCGGAATTGAGTTCTAGATACGAACATCTGACCGCTCCTAGAATATGTTCTGGTAGCTCGTCTTCAGTCTCTCCCTGCATACAGCAAAGATACTCGTGAGTGGAACGGGAATAAACAACACAAACCAAGTCACTAGAGGATTTTCAGCGCACAATGACACACGGTAACAAGGCAGAATGACAAAAAAACATCAGGTTACACAGATTGCTCACCTTGAGATAGAATGCCATGTCGACCACCAGGTTTGTGATGTATCCAAAGACCATACCATGATTGTGAGTCAGCTTAAATTGGAGCACATCGCACCTTGAGATAGAATGCCATGTCGACCACCAGGTTTGTGATGTATCCAAAGACCATGCCCATGATTCCTCGCACCACTGACGATGATGCCATGTTCACATCCACCTGATGGGGTTGGGGAGAACGGGAGAGTTAGCATGCATTTAACAACAACACTCCACAGCACAACACATCCACCCATTCATGCACGCACCTCGAAGTACTCCTCTGTGGAGTGGTGGTAACCCATCTCTCCATCACCAGCCCCCCATGCACCGCCTGCATCGCTCACTGCACCATCTACACTACTTACCGCACTGTCCCTTTACCACACACACACCACATACCACCAAAAGTCCTTCACCGCCCACACACCACAAACCTCAAAGTACTCGTCTGTGGAATGGTGGCATGCTGTCTCCATCACTTGCCCCATCACCACTTCAGCCTTGGAGGTCTCACAAGTCACACTCCAGAGCACGACACATCCACCCATGCACGCACCTCAAAGTACTCGTCTGTGGAGTGGTGGTAAGCCGTCTCCATCACCTGTCCCATGCACCATCTACACTACTTACTGCACCATCTACACCACTTACTGCACCATCTACACCACTTACTGCACTGTCCCTTTACCGCCCACACACCACATACCTCAAAGTAATCGTCCGGGGAGTGGTGGTAGGCCGTCTCCATGACCTGCCCCATCACCACATTGTGTGACCCCACCGCCTGTTTCACCAGCCACGAGCCCTGTCATTAGGTGGGGGGGATATGGTGACGCAAGGCATTCTTAGAAGGGAGTGGTAAGCCGTCTCCATCACCTGCCCCATCACCACGTTGTGTGACCCCACCGCCTGCTTCACCAGCCACGAGCCCTGGTATGGGAAAGGGGGTTTATGGGGTTGTAGGGCAGGTGGGTGGGCGTTACAGGGCCTGTTGTCTCCATCACCTGCCCCATCACCACGTTGTGCGACCCCACTGCCTGCTTCACCAGCCACGAGCCCTGTTATGGGAAAGGGGGTTTATGGGGTTGTAGGGCAGGTGGGTGGGCGTTACAGGGCCTGTTGTCTCCATCACCTGCCCCATCACCACGTTGTGCGACCCCACTGCCTGCTTCACCAGCCACGAGCCCTGTTATGGGAAAGGGGGTTTATGGGGTTGTAGGGCAGGTGGGTGGGCGTTACAGGGCCTGTTGTCTCCATCACCTGCCCCATCACCACGTTGTGTGACCCCACCGCCTGCTTCACCAGCCACGAGCCCTGTTATGGGGGGGGGCAGGAAGGGAGAGGTGGGGGAGGGGGGAACGGTGGCGTGTGGAAGTGGGAAGTGCGGAGTGTTACCAAGGCACCACCAGGAAGGGTATGGTAAGCCGTCTCCATGACCTGCCCCATCACCACGTTGTGCGACCCCACCGCTGCTTCACCAGCCACGAGCCCTGTGAAAGCGGAAAGGGCCGTATGGGGGGTATATGGGAAGGAGGGAGGAAGGTGGGAGATGCTACAAGGGCACCACCAGAGAGGGAGTGGTATGCAGTCATTATGACCTGCCCCATCACCACATTGTGCAATCCTTCTGCCTGATTCACCACCGCCTGCTTTACCACCCTATTCAGCTCTGATGGCACACAGATGGCAGCAGGGAGAGGCGGCTGCTCTTGTAAGCATGACTTGCGCCAAGGAGTCGACGCATGGAGGGCAGATTGAGCACTCGGCGGGGGAACATGCCGCCAAGGATAGGACTTTCAGGGATAATGATAGTATTCAGCCTCGCCTCGGGCACTGATGGCAGAAACGATGAGCAGTTGTGGCGGTACGATTGACGAGTCGTCTGCCCCCAGCAACGGATGCATGGGGGCGAGATCTCCCACATGGCTTCAAGAGGACGATCAAGACTACGGCTGGCTTATTAGTAAACAGTTGACTCAAAAGTGGCATGCAGTCCTAATCTCTGGCCCTTGGGACAGGACGGAGAGGCGGTTGCTGCGGTAGGAGACATTTGCACCCAGGGACCGGCACATGGAGGCGAGGTCGACCACACACACACACATGGAACGGAAGGACGAGGGCTACAAGGATAGGACAATGGGAGAAACGGCAGCCAGCGCTCACCTCTGGCACGGAGGGCAGTAGGGACAGGCGGTTGTTGCGGTAGGAGTCGTCTGCCCCCAGGAATTGGCGCATAGAGGGCAGATCGAGCACATGGCGCTCTGCTGTGAAATAAAAGACCATGGAGTAGACCTCCTTGCCTGCTGGGACCTGAGAGGACGGTTGAGGGGCACAAGCACACAGCACATAGTGCAGAAGGGAAGGCTCGTGAATTGAAGCACATGGCACTCTGCTGTGATGTAGAAGATCCTGGAATAAACTTATTTTCCTGCTGGGACCTGGTGGGGAGGGGAAAGACAGCAGCAAAACATGCATGAGTCGCGCTGCAATCACAGGTGCCTAAGATGAGGCACATCGTGGTCTGGCGTGAAACTAAAAAATGAAGGACAGTACCTGGAGGTTGATACGGATGGAAAACGGTACCTGAAGGTTGATAAGGATGGAAAACGGTACCTGGAGGTTGATAAGGATGAAAAATGGTACCTGGAGGTTGATAAGGATGAAAAATGGTACCTGGAGGTTGATAAGGATGAAAAATGGTACCTGGAGGTTGATAAGGATGAAAAATGGTACCTGGAGGTTGATAAGGATGAAAAATGGTACCTGGAGGTTGATAAGGATGAAGAACGGCGCCTGGTCTCCATAGCAGGCCCGTACTCTCTGCATTCCGAAGTAAGGGCATAACAAAGGGAAGACATCATTTAGAGGTCTGCTTTTAGCACTCGAGAATGACTACACCGCACAGCACCAAGCAGTACAGCACTGCACTGAACCGCACCGCATTACACCCCCTTTGCTGCTCACCTGCACGAGGCACTTCTTCTGGGCTGCCACGTGGGCAGCAGGGTGCTTCTCTGGCCGCAGCCAATCCACCGCCACCAGCTGGCACAGCGGCTCGCCAGCTGGCGCCTGCACAGCAAAAGCCACGTGTAGTAGCCAATAGGAAGAAGCGATGTGACAAGAGAAGGGGATTAGCAAGATGGAAAGGGAAAGAAGATGTGGTTGTTCTTTCCCTTTCCATGGAGGTTGTCTCAGGCGAAACGGAATGATAAGAGGGGAGAGTGTGGGGTGCTTGGAACCTTTTGTGCAAAAGGTATGATTAACTGTCATGGGTTCAATTGAACCTTGGTCTCCCTGTAACGAAAAATCCCAACTGGCCATCAAATTAACTTATTTTGTTTCATCTCTTTGGCATAAATTCACAAACGCACACACCCACTGTGCTGCCGTCTGTCAGGTAGCTCCTGCCCCTCAGCTTGTACACATTGCAGTCGGGTCTGCTCCAGCAGTTCCTGCCCTTGCCCGAGTGGTTGGGTTGGGGGCAAGAGACCCGCTCAATCACTCTTATCACCACGCACCATCATGCTATGGCCCATGCACCACACACACGCACCATGCTTCCATAAGTCAGGTAACTCCTGCCCCTCAGCTTGTACACATTGCAGTCGGGTCTGCTCCAGCAGTTCCTGCCCTTGCCCGAGTGGTTGGGTTGGGGGCAAGAGACCCGCTCAATCACTCTTATCACCACGCACCATCATGCTATGGCCCATGCACCACACACACGCACCATGCTTCCATAAGTCAGGTAACTCCTGCTTCTCAGCTTGTACACATTGCAGTCGGGTCTGCTCCAGCAGTTCCTGCCCTTGCCCGAGTGGTTGGGTTGGGGGCAAGAGACCCGCTCAATCACTCTTATCACCACGCACCATCATGCTATGGCCCATGCACCACACACACGCACCATGCTTCCATAAGTCAGGTAACTCCTGCCCCTCAGCTTGTACACATTGCAGTCGGGTCTGCTCCAGCAGTTCCTGCCCTTGCCCGAGTGGTTGGGTTGGGGGCAAGAGACCCGCTCAATCACTCTTATCACCACGCACCATCATGCTATGGCCCATGCACCACACACACGCACCATGCTTCCATAAGTCAGGTAACTCCTGCTTCTCAGCTTGTACACATTGCAGTCGGGTCGGCTCCAGCAGTTCCTGCCCTTGCTTGCCATCCAAACCCCTATGTACCACACACCACCATTTTCAATATCAGCCATTCACCACACACGCACCATGCTGCCATCAGTCAGGTAATTCCTGCTCCTCAGCTTGTACACGTTGCAATCCGGCCTGCTCCAGCAGTTCCTGCCCTTGTCCATCCAACAACCACTCTAACCAACACCCAGCATCACGCCCCAAGGCCCATCCCACCATCAGGCACACACACACTCACCATGCTGCCGTCTGTCAGGTAGCTCCTGCTCCTCAGCTTGTACACGTTGCAGTCTGGCCTGCTCCAGCAGTTCCTGCCCTTGCCCGAGTGGTTGGGGGCCACGGAGCCGCTCAGCTTGCTCCAGTCGATGAAGAGCGGCAGAGAGAGGGAGTCTGGGGTCAGGTCTCGAGGCACATGGGACCAGTCTGAAGTGGGGCGGAGAGAGATAGGCATGGGGAGAAGGGAAGGAAGCAATGGTGGGAGAGAGGAAACACTGGTGGTTGCGGGCCACGGAGCCGCTCAGCTTGCTCCAGTCAATGAAGAGTGGCAGAGAGAGGGAGTCAGAGGTCAGGTCCCGAGGGACAGAGGACCAGTCTGGAATTGGGGCAGGAGGGGAGACAGAGGAGAAGAGGATGGTTGGGGCCCACGGAGCCACTCAGCTTGCTCGGATTGGTTAAGGAGACAACGAGAAAAGCAGCATCGAAAAGACAGCAAGAATCTGCCAGCATGGGCCGTACACTCGCCATAAGGGAGCTAGGAAGGATCTGGACCGTCCACTTACTCACCATCGGGGAGCTTGGAAGCATCTACACCGTCCACCATGACTCCTGATAGGTCCCTCTGTAGCACGCCCTGAGGGTTGCAGGAGAGGAGGGGATGCAAGGGTTTGAAGTGCAAGGGTTTTGAAAGGCTATGGACCTCGTTGACACTACGAAGTTTTTAGACAGCAGCGCATCAATGTGTTCAATGCATTCCACAACCTGACAACAATCGTTGTGCTACTATAAATCCACTGTGAACCTCATTTTCTAGACAGCAGCGCTCAGTCCAGCCTGGGAGTCATCCTTCCTTCCATCCACCTTCCCCACCTCCCCACCTCCCCACCTCCCCACTTCCCCCTTCCACCACTGTCACTCACATCACTAGAAGTCTCCGAAGGTGCGTTGGTGGGGCACTCATAGAACTCGTCCGGGTCTTCCATGTCAAGGAAGTTGGACAGTGCTCGGTCCAACCTGGGGGCTTGCCTCCCATCCCCCCCCACCTCGCCCTTCCCCCCTGCTGCCACCGCCGCTGCCGCCACCGCCACCACAGCCGCTGCCACTGCCCCTCCCAAGCTTGCTGATCCCCTATCTGCACTCACAACCACCCCCCCTCCTGCACTCCCCCCTATTGCTCCTCCTCTCCCTCCTCCCCCTCCTCCTCCTGTCTCCTCCTGGCTCTTCCCATCCTCCGTGCCGAGGCTAACCAACGAGGCCAGGCCCCATGTTCCCGAACCTGCTCCCGAGCCTGACCCCGTGGCTGAGCCCGAGGCTAGGCCAGAGAAGATGAATCCGCCTGTGGGGCCCACACTACTGATGGCGGAGGTGGTGGGGAAGATGAGATGACGCTGGATGCCCAGCGAGTAGTAGGCCAAGGGGGTGCCTCCCCTGCAGGCGAAGTATTCTCTAAGGCCTGGCGGGGAGAGGAAAAGGGCGAGGAGGAGACAACAGTGAGGTGGCGGGGAAGATGAGATGACGCTGGATGCCTAGGGAGTAGTAGGCTAGTGGGGCGCCGCCCCTGCAGGCGAAATACTCTCTCAGACCTGGTGGGACAAAGGAGTGGGCAAGGGAAGTGGGGAGGAACGGATTGAGAGGGCAGGGGAAGATGAGATGACGCTGGATGCCCAGCAAGTAGTAGGCTAGAGGGGGCGCCTCCCCTGCAGGCGAAGTATTCCCTCAGGCCTGGAGGACAGATGGGGCAGTGAGGATGGGGGCGAATAGAGAGAGAGGGTGTGATAGAAATACCAAATGGAATTGCACATTTAGGGAGTAGTAGGCCAGGGGTGGCGCCTCCTCTGCTGACGAAGTAGTTATTTCAAACGACACATGGCACAGGGCACGTGACCATGATACAGAAGCCACCGTACATGCACCGAATGGCAGCTTACCAGCCACTCTCAGCAGCAATGAGTCCTGCAGATGTGCGGGATGCGACGACAGGCCGATGCCAATCCAAGACGACCACCCTGATACGTCCATCTCCAACACGTGCTCCACCTGAGGGGGGGAGGGAAGAGGGAAGAAAGGAAGACAAGTCGTGGCACTTCCCCTCAGCTCACATCAGGCTTGCGGGGTTTTGTGGGCTGCCGCAGGAGCAAGGAGATGAAAGGGCTTTCACAGGGCAGCTGCGACACCTTATAGACCCACACTCACCACAAATATACCGCACTCAACCTGCGAGCGACACCTCATAGGTCCACAATCACCGCACGCAGTGTGGTTCACCTGAAAGCGAGGCTTGCGGGGGACTGGTGGGGCGCCTCAGGTGCAAGGCTGGGGGTAAGCGCTTGCACGGGGCACACACGACAGCTCAAAGACCCACACTCACCACACTTGGTCAGAGAAGAGGGGGAGAAGAATCACCTGCGAGCGCGGCTTGCGGGGGGGTGGTGGGGCGCCGCAGGTGCAAGAGGGTGAAAGGGGGCTGTCGCTATGCTGCAGGGGCGATATAATATAGCCGCCGCCTGGTGCGGTGCGGATGGGTGGAGAGAGGTGGGTAACAGGTGGAAAGGGGTGGAAATATGAGAATAGGTTCATCGTGTTTAGTTAATGAAATTCAATGAGCTGTGCTGCAGAGGTGATATTATGTATGTAGCCGCTGCCTGGAGAATGTGTGCCAAGCAAATGACCATTCAGTTATGCTGGATTCTGCACATGAATAAGAGATTCTTACAGGCAGGGCAGGGCACTCACTGTAGTGTAGATGAGGGCACGGAGATGGGGTGAATTTGGGTTGAATCAGACGTTTTGAGTCACCTCATAAGTCAACGGTGCTGCAGGAGGATGACAAATTTTTACAGGCAGGGCAGGGCACTCACTGCATATGAGAGCTCGGACACGGCCCCACGGTCGGCGGCACTTGGTGTGGCTGACAGACCTTTGAGTCAACTCAAGAATTGGTTCAGTCAACTCAAACGTCAGCTGTGCCGCAGATAGGTAAGAGTTTTCTGCGAGCAGGGCACTCACTGTAGATGAGAGCTCGGACACGGCCCCACGGTCGCCGGCACTTGGGGTGGCTGACAGACTTGAAGAAGACCACTGGTGGCGGAGGGGGTAAAGCAGGGATGGGGAGAGCGGATTTGCAAAACCGAGACCAAAAATGAGACTTTCTCAAAGCATTTGGGGTGTCTGACGAATTGAAAAAACCCCGCTGGTGGAGGAGAAGCAGAAAGCGGGAAGCACCATATAAGACAACAGCGCGAGGAGAAACATACAGCAGGGGTAGGGCCAGACGTACATACGGTAGGTTCCGTTTTCTTCTCTCTTCCAGTACCGCAGCAGACACAGGTCTCTCGATCTCGTCCACCTGAGCAGTGAACGCAAAAAGGAGGATGTGAAACAAGGAACAAGCAAAGTAAGGGATCAAAGCAATCAAGAGCTGACCAGTGATAGCAGGACCTATAAGAGCACCACACCCCCACTGCTCTTACAGTGACGCTGGTTCCAAGCCCATACACACCGCAACACACCCCACTCCCCTTACAGCGAGGTTTGTTTCAAGCACATATGCACCACCACAGCCGCATTCCTCTTACAGCGAGGTTCGTTTCAAGCACATGTGCACCACCACAGCCGCATTCCTCTTACAGCGAGGTTCGTTTCAAGCACATATGCACCACGTCCGTGTGCCCATCAATAGCCTCCACCACTCGCGCCTCTGCAAACATGGCGTCCCACCTGCACACAGACAGAGGGGAGGGAAATGGGGTTGGGGGGAAAGGGGACACACAGATGGAAGGTTAGACACACAGAGTGTTGCCATCAATGGCCCTCCACCACTCGTGTCCCTGGTTGTATGCTGTTTACTTGCATAGCTGGCTGATTATTTGGCTCCATTCAACACTCCTGCTTCTGAAAAAAGTATTGAAAGCTCAGCTGCTTCCATGAACATATCAGAATCCTATACAGGCAGTTGCATCATCCAGCGTATCTGCTTCAGTCAAAGCATACCCTGCTTCAGAACCAGGCACGGCAATGCTACTCACTCTGCTCGCTCCTCCCCAAAGCTCATGACGAGGTCGAATCGAATATCTGGTCTGGCGGTGCAGCCGTCACCACTCCCACTGGTCCTAGGTGTCGAGTCGTTTGAGGCAACTCAACAAGATACCTTTATAGTCGACTTATAGACCTGGCAGGATACTCACTCTGCTCGCTCCTCCCCAAAGCTCATGACGAGGTCAAATATATGGTCTGGTGCGGCCTTCACCACTCCCACTGCTTTCATGTGACGTTTGAGGCGACTCAGTTCAACAAGACAACCTTAATAGTCAACTCGTAGACCTGGCAAGACTACTCACTCTGCTCGCTCCTCCCCGAAGCTCATGACGAGGTCGAAAATCTGGTCGGGTGCGGCCTTCACCACTCCCACTGCTTTCATCACTGGCAACTGGGGGACGGGAGGCAGGGAAAGAAGGTACATGGTTGATGCAAGAAGGTGCAATGGGGGGGAAGAAGATGGGAAAAAAAACACAACAACAAAAAAGAAACCCTCTGGTACCTTGTAGAGACGGTGGAGAATGGGCGTCTTGCTGGCCTCCTCAAAGAATCGGAGCCCTGAAGGGAAGGGCACGAGGGAAAGGACGCGGTGGTATTTTTTTAAGTTATCTAAAATCTTCAAAGAATCGGAAACTTGGAGGGAAACATCAAGAAGAAAACCGAATGTACTGGGAGCAAAGCAGAGGAAGAGATGCTCAAGGCTTTTCCTTCTCATGTGCTCACGGACCATTCTGGCAGCGGTCGAGACGCCACTTGGATTGAGACGCAACAATGGCGGAGGACGGGGAGGAGGAGGCGGGAGGAGCAGGAGGAGGAGCGTGGGAGGACGAGGAGGGCAGCTGCTGATGGGAGGACGGTGCATGGGAGCCTTGCCTTTCCAAAGACGAAGCCACCCTTGCCGCCCCTGCCACTCCTGCACCTGCCCCCACTCCCACCCCTGCCCCTGCCCCTACCCCTGCCCCTGCCCCTGCCCCTGCTCCCGCTCCCACACCTCTGGCCCCTGCTACCCCTGCTGCAGCCCCTACCGCTGTAGAAACCCCCCCAAGGCCGATAGCCCCCCCAGAGCTTCGGGTGAGAGGTGATGAGTCGAGGGGGGAGTGGGTGGGGAGGAGCACAGGCGAGAGGGAGGGGGTAGGCTGGAAGGAGAGAGCGGGAGAGGAGCCAGTGGGGGGAGTGAGCATGCCGCTGCTATCTCCCCCACTGCCAGAGCCACTGTCAGCAGTAGCGGGGGAAGCACCAGAAGCAGCAGCGGCAGCAGCTGGCAACACCGGTTGACTAGCCTGTGCTGCAACGCGCTTTGCTTGTGGCCCGATCGGGGGCAGAGATGGGGAGATGGAGGGAGACAGGGAGGGGTGTATGGACGGAGAGAGGGTCCTTTTCACAGTCGCTGTGGCAGTTGCAGTGGCAGGGGCAGCCGCAGCCGCTGCAGCAGACGCGAGCGGGAGCAGGGCAGCAGCAGCAGGATTCAAAGCAGCAGCGGCAGGGAGCATTAGATTGGCCATTGAAGCAGCGGCAGAAGCAGGATCGGCAATAGCAGCAGCGGCAGCAGCTGTAGGATCAGCAGCGGCGGCGGCAGCAGCAGCAGCAACGGGACCCATAGCAGCAGCAGCTGGGAACATCATATTAGCCACAGCAGCAGCAGTGGCGGCTGGATCAGCAGCAGCGGCAGCAGCTGCAGCAGCAGGATCGGCAGCAGCTGCTGCAGCAGCGGAAACAGCAGCAGCAGCTGGGTGGAGAGTAGTCACGGCAGGGAGGGCAAGATTCGCCACGTCAGCAGATGAAGAAGGAGGGGCGCCAAAGAGGGAATGGGCAGTGGCGGCTGGCGTGGCAAGGGATGGGGCGTGGGCTGAAATGATAGAGCTTATGAGGTCAGGAGAGGAAGACGAGGCAGACTTCGCCTGTGGGGACCTGGGGTATGGGAGGGAGGCAGAGGCAGAGGCACAAACACAGACGGGGGGGAGAGCAGGTAAACCCTGCCAGTCAAACCCCCAAGAGAACCTTGGAATATGCTCGCCAAACATGATATGAATCGAAGATGGTAATTTGAACTCACTGTGACATTGGGCTTCCATCCTGCCCGGTGCGAGTGGATGGAACCTGCTGCGCTGACGTCGGCGGTTGTAATGGATGCGATGGTTGTTGTAACGGTTGTAATGGGTGTGATGATTGTGACGGCTGGCTTGGGGCATCAGCCGCTGGTGCAAGCATAGGCGGGAGCGGCTGCAGATTGAGTGACGACAGTGGAGGGTGAAGGGGGGAGAAGGGGCAGGAGTAAGTGACATCAAGATGCAGCGGAAGGCGAGAGGAAGGGTGGGCGTCTCACAGAAAAGTAGCCAAATATAACAGCAACAAGGAATGATTCAAATGAACACTTTAAGCATGGATGATGGATCCAGCAGGAATAAGGGCTCGGAGAGGAGACTGTAGAGTCAGCATGATGGGAGTGCAGGAAGGACGGTACACGAATGAGAGGCCATCAAAGAGAGCTCATCGGGCCAGCAGGCTGCAGACACGCACACCAGGGTGACTAATCCGAGTCAACTCAAAACACAGCATGCTCACTCTGGCTGAGGCACCTCAAAACCAGACTCATCGGGTCAGCAGACCACAGACATGCACACCAGGGTGATTAATCCGAATCGACTCAAAACACAGCATGCTCAAAACACCGCTGCCTGGGTGGACTCTACAGACAGCGTGGTCACAGAGACTCAAGCTGGCAGGGACATAGAGCTTCGGGCTGCCAGGAATACACACGCACCAGAGTGAGTGCTTTGGTGAGAGCATCGATCCACGCTGCAGCATCCTCTGCACTCGGCGTTCCCAGCTGCAGTCATGGCAGCGATGATTCGGGAGACGGAAAGAGCAGACGGATTGGTGAACGGATTGAGAAAGACGGATTGAAACGGTCCGAAACAGACGGCAGAATGAGTCACTTTCAGAGGCCTGCAAGGAGCACGAGAGCAGCAAATTCCGAACTGGCAAAAGTGCATGGACTCAAGCGCGGATCATATGCACATGCACCCACCGACGCTTGTCTTCTGTTGCCACTGGAGCCTCCATCAGGCCCCACAGTGAAAGAGCAGCTTCTAGGTGTACTGTACTCTTAGACAATCCATAAGCCCAGCAAGAGAGAATCACACGCATATCCACCCACCAACAACAGCATACGCAGCACCTACCGACACTTGTCTTCTGTTACCACTGGCGCCCCCAGCGGGCCTCACAGTGTGGAGCTTCTGCGGCTGCCTATCCAGCCACAACTCGGACCACCATCCCCCCCACAGACTAGACTCCATCCTCTGTAGACTCCCCCCTGTCCCTCCCATTCCGCCTCCTCCGCCACTGCCACCGCCATCCGCGCTGCTTCCTCCGCTCCCCCCTCCGCCAGTCAACGCGCTTCCGCCAAATAAGCCCCCCCCGGGTGAGCCTCCACTGCCAAATAATCCTGTGGTTGTGCGCGCCAGGTAACCACTGCCGGTACCGGCTTCTGCTGAGCTGTCAGGGTCATCTTCTTCGTCCTCGCTAAGGTCATCCTCGTCAGTAGCATGGTGCGCGCCAGGCATGCCGTACAGACGCATCGTGTACAGCACCTGAAGAAGGAAGTTAGTGGCATTAGCATGAAAGACAAAAAATTCCATGCTCAATTCGGGAACTCCTTATGCTGTGTAGCTGATTTCATGTCTGTCCTGGATAGTACATGTCAGACGAGATTGTGACAGTGAGATAAAAAGTTTCCCACCTGACCGTTGACGAATTTTCTGCCCGTGTCCTCAACTCGAGCAGTGCCATCAAGCAAGCCCTCTCGCAGAGGTATCTGGTCAAGCATTGAAGGTGAAAACAGTAACACTGCTACGTCAGGAGACTCACACAAGCCATGCCATGAAAATGGCATTCAATCGGTGTGGATATGTACTATTTAATACAGAGTTTGACGTTGCGAATTTCCGAAGTGGCTTGTGATAAGAAGGCTGTACTAGAAGAGCTGTGCTTTCGGTCCTCACGCTGATAAGCACCTAATGATTGACCAAACGCAGTATCATGAATACCATACCCTAGAAAACTGATCATGAACAATAACGGACCACGACCTCGATATAGCGCACCTCGTCCTCCTTATTGCGAAACTGCGCGAAGTATCTCCCTCGAAGTACGCAGAAGGTCAACTGGCAGTAAGTGCCTTCGCCAGACCTGAAATTGCCGAACCTATAGAGGTAGCCGTCCATTACCATCTCCTCCATAATTAACTGTTCCTTATATATCGATAGCGTCGCGACAATGTGTGACGATTCTTCGGAGTGATTGCTGACCGGACAGCAAGTTGTGAAAACAAAACAGAAAAAGCGTGTGCAATTGCTAAGATGACCTGGTTACCTGCCGCCAAACCCTATCCTTCAAAATTCCTATCTGCTAAATGATGAGACGTAATGAACCCTCCATTCGTGAGACTAGCTAATGGCGGCGGATAACTCTTCCCAAGTGCTAATAAACCAGAGAACTGTGCTTGTGGAGTAGGATTGGTTTACCTTGGAAGTACACTTCCGAAGGGAAAGACATTTTGCGGCGAGGGCAAGACTTCCGCTGGGGAGGTGGACTGGGGAGGGGAGATGGGAGCGGTGTAGTGGAGAGCGGGTGGGAGTAGAGAGGCGGAAGTCGCTGCGGAGTGGCGCAAGAGCGGCGTCTGTCCGCCTGTCACCCCGCCTTCGTGATTCGTGAATCGTGACCCCGCGGGGTGCTGGCGGTTGCAGGAGCAAGGGGCTTCTTGGGATTGGCTGGCAGGTACCTTTAGCGGAGTCGCGGTCAACAGAAGGACGCACTGTCGAGGCTTTCACTACCGTCAGATATCAAAGTGGATTGAATCTGACGGCATACATCTTAGGTTTGAGGCGCGAGGAGGTTGTGTCTTGTTGCCATTCCCGCACTTTTTCGAGCTCTTCCAAGGCCAATCGGAGAAGCATGTTTGAGCGGGAAATATTTGTCCCCGATGAAACAATGAGCGATTATGCGAGTACCAAAACACAACAATTTTCATAGGGACTTACAAGCAAATATTAATAACAACCCTTCAAATGTTTCAAAAAAAATCACTTTGTTAGACCTGAAGGTCTCCAGACTCTCCACCTAGCCATATATCGTGCCAGCAACAAAGCCTTATGTCAGCAGGACCAATACACCTTGCAATTTGCATCACCACACCGTCTAGTCACACATATTTTACATGCTAAAGATGACTCATGCTCCTTGCAGTGAAATTGCTACTCCAGAACTCTCAAATCCCGAAGGGGCAGCCCTGCCTGTCTTGCTTCCACACCTCCTCACTCGCAACTCACTTCCCAAACCATCCCCAGAAGCACCACTTAGCACATCTGCTTCCCGGTCCACATGAAGCAGCTCTTGCTCTTCCTGTTCCCCACCCTCATCTCCCTCCCTTCCCCTCTCCCCATCCCCCACCCCCTCCCTTTCCCCTTCTCCCTCCGCCCCCGCCTCCACCTCCCCCTCCTCATTCAACTCATCAGACCCCACCTCCTCCCACACCTCATCATCACTCCCCTCCTCCTCCCCTCCATGCCCCTTCCCCCGCACACTCGCCCTGTACACAGCAAGACTGCCATTCACCCCCACATGGCTCCACGAGTTGTTACCCGGTAACAGAAAGTCCCCACTGATGGGCGGAACAAACGCCCCATCCAATGACGCTGCTGCATCTGCCGCCTCAACCGCAGCTGCCCGTTTTTCTGCCCGGCGCTCTTCCCTGCTGCTCGCATGTCCATCCCAACTAGGAGAATCTAGCAGGTGGTCTTTTTCTTGGCCGCTGCTGGCCCCTCCCCCTTCTGCTGCCTTGGCTGCCTTTTTCATTCTCTTGGCATGCACTTGCCGCGGCAGCACATCGAATATGAAGTTCCCTCCTGCAGTGGGTTAGAAGGGAGAACCAACGCTCAAAAGGATAACAAATGTAAGCATGCACAACGGATGCTGCATGGATGCTGCTGAATGGGACACTGGCGTGACGGCTTATAAGGCATTAAAAACCCTGTGATGGCCATGGACAAACACCAATGCTCCATTCAATGAAGGCCAGGGCAAGCCAATATGTGGACAGTCCAACTCAATCACCCCACCAAACAACGCTGACTTGCAAGCTCAAATAGAACCCAAACCCGAAACCCTCGAAACATTTGTACCCACCGTTCCAGATGGAGGCAGCGATTTTGAAGATTTGGAAGAGCGCATGGAAGCGGTAACTGCAGAACATGGGCACTGTGAGGGCCACTGTTGCCACCTGCAGGGAATAGCACAGAGGAAAGGGCATCAGTGAGGGCGGAGGTGAGGAGGGAGTCGAGAGTCAAAGGGTATGTAGCTGCAGCACATGGGCACTGTGAGAGCCACCGTGGCCACCTGCACAAAGACAGGATATCCAAAGGCCAGAGAAGCCATTTACGTGGGCGCACATGAGAGAAACACGCGAGTGCCCGGCCCCAGCCATCCCACTCGAACCACCCCGTACCACCTCTCTACCCTAGCCCTGAACGCCCTGAATGAGGAAGCTGTGTTGGTCAGTCAGCCGACTGCTGGTAAGAGTAGCCAACCAAACCCCAGCACCCGCCCCATCCCTACCTCCACTGCCAACCAAGATCCTGTCACCAGCCCCAACTTCTATTGGCTAGCTAAGGTTACTCACCGTGAAGACGCCCTGAATGAGGGCATACATGAGGAAGCGGTGCGAGTCCCCCAGCACGCCACTCAGCCACCACCAGAAGTTGTTGGCCCGGGAGGCCTTCTTGGAAAGTTCCCGGAATGACGTCATCACCTCTGGGTCCCTCACCAGGCGGCGCTTCCTCAGCACCTCCACCACCAACCAGTAGAGGATCTGTGGAACGAGATGAGGGGAGGAGGGGAGGAGGGGAGGAGGGGAAAAGGGGAGGAAGGGAGGAGGGGAGGAGGAAGGGAGGGTTGAAGGGGGGGAAGGGGGGGAAGGGGGGAAGAAGGGGGGGAGAATGGGGAGGACGAGACAATGAGGTGCATTACACTCGTTGTCGCTTCCTCATATGAGGCCAGGAATTTTGTAATGCGCCAGGTGCCGCTTCCTCATACGACGCCAGAAATTTTGTAATGCGCCAGGCGCAGCTTCCTCATACGACGCCAGGAATTTTGTAATGCGCCAGGTGCCGCTTCCTCATACGACGCCAGGAATTTTGTAATGCGCCAGGCGCAGCTTCCTCAGCACCTCCACCACCAACACAACAAATAGAGGATCTTTGGAGGGGAGGGAAAAAGAGAAGACAAAAAGGGGGAGATAAGTGGAATGTGAAGGAGGGAAGAGAAGGTGGGAAAAAGCAAAGCCCTGCTGTTCCAGCCCTCCTTACAACGGACCCATAGCAGGTCCGCTACAGCCTCCCAGTAACCACAGCTTCTCATAACCACAGCCCCCCAGTAACCACAGCTTCCCAGTAACCACAACCTCCCAGTAACCACAACCTCCCACTACGGGATCCCAGTAACCAAAACCTCATGTGCATGGCTCACACTACGGGATCACTGGTGCTTCAGCGTGCCTGCCGAAGGCTGTAAGCGATGAGGGGCACGGCGAGCATCCGCACCCACAACTCGCCCATACTCGCCACGTGCGGCCACGCGGGCCAGGGCCCCGTGTCATCCAAAACCCAGACCGGACCAGACCGGACCACACACCTTGAGAAGAGGTGCCTAACTGTACCTAACCGTACATAATCGTACCTGCCACAGGCTATAGGCGATGAGGGGCACCGCGAGCATCCACACCCACAGCTCGCCCATGCTCGCCACGTGCGGCCACGCAGGCCAGGGCTCTGTGTAATACCCAGACCAGACCAGACCGGACCACACACCTTTCTATGTCTCACCGTACCTGCCACAGGCTGTAGGCGATAAGAGGCACCGCGAGCATCCACACCCACAGCTCGCCCATGCTCGCCACGTGCGGCCACGCAGGCCAGGGCCCCGTGTCGTCTGCCGAGTGGTGTTGGAAGGTCACTGGGTCCCACCAGCGGATAATGAAGATGACTGTACCGGGTAACAGGTGTATCAGCACGCTCACGATCTTATCCACTGAGCTGAACACCAGGCTACAGCGCCACACGATGAGCGCCCAGGCCAAGGGACCCTGTGGGTGGTGGTGGGGGGTGGAGGGGGGCGCGGGGGTAAAGGGGAGGAGGAGGCTTGGAGCTGACTCAACAGCTGAACACCAGGCTGCAGCGCCATACTATGAGCGTCCAGGCCAAGGGACCCTGTGGATGGTGGTGGTGGTGGTGGTGTCGGGGGGAGGAGGGTATGGGGGAGGATGGGGGGGAAAGTGGGTGAGGAGGGGGTGCAGTGCCATAAGATGAGTGTTGGGCCAACGGAACCTTTGTGCGTGATCACGGGTAAACGGATTGGAAGGGATAGGGAAGGGGCGGGACGAATGTGACGGGGATGGGAGAGGCAAAGCGAGGTTCGCGAACAAGAGCGAATTCTTGACGAAAAGGATCAGCAGCACTAGACGAAGCAGAGGGGAAAGGGATGCTGCCTCGTGGAACTTAAGTGAACCCAAAGCATGCGTTTGAGTTTACTCTACAGTCAGCATGACGACCTGGTTGGTAAACACCACACCACATACCTCAGAGAAAGCGAAGCAGACGAGGAAGAGGTGCTGACTCATGGGGAAGAAGACGAGAAACGCCACCAGAATCGCGTTCGCGTAGTAACAGAAGTCCTGCGAGCCACCAGACGACACCAATTATGTGCTCAGTGCAATCAAAATCTCATTCAATATCATCAATCACATGTAAGTGCGAAGTTATAGCATAATGGAGAGAAAAGGAAACACTTACAAGAAGGAAGTAGTGCCATTTCTTGCTGCGGTAGTAGATCCATCGGAGGGGTGTGGCCATGAGGAAGAAAGCGGCGTATAAACGAGGAACGTCATACGGCCCTGCCAGTCACAGCAGCTCCGAAAGTGAATTAGACGCGATTGGATATAAGAGAATATCTTGCGACACCTAGTTTCCATGCAGTTGTTAAGGCTGGCTGGCGAATATTAGCCTTAAAGATCAGGAAAGAAATGGACTCACGGGATCCGAGGAGAAAACAGAAGATGCCGAAGCAAAGAACGCCTAAACAATATGTAACCTGGTCAGAAGGCGAAAAAACAAAAGCTTTAGCAAGCTTGACTAAAACTGCAGCGGAAAATATTAAAAATCACCTTGAAAGCAAAAAACTATACAAATAACACTGTAAGCAATCCGAGCTTACTTTGGAGATCACGTGTTCAAGCTCGTCGGCTTTTCGTGCAAGGCGCTTCGCCTGCCGCGACAGGACCGCCTTAGTTTGCACAAGCACCTGAAAAGTTATTTCACGTAAGTATGTGGAACATGTCGAAATCAAGAACAAGTGGAACATGTAATCAAGTCCATCCATGCCACTTCGATGAGACAAAAACTGGGTTACACGTCGAAACGTAAAAGAGCACAACCGAACTTACGCGTGATGGAATGCGAGTTCGTCGGAGGCGGGGACTGCCGGCTTGCGCATGGGTGTGGGGATGAGTCAGCGAATGGAAACGATGCTCGTCTCCCGGCTTGTGCACCTTGTGGCCCATGGCCGGGATAAATTCCCGGCTCGATTTCTAATACTCTCAAGACCCACTCTAGACTTCAATAAAGACTCAGACCGAACCCAGAAACTGCGATAACGCCACGATAGTATGTTTAGTTGTGAACTACGCGACAGGTTGGTAAGACAGGAGGAGACGCTATGACAACAACACGCTGACAATTTCCAACTGTACGTGGAAAATCGCGAGGACTAATTGACACGGACGAACTGTTCCACCTAACAAAAGTCCATCCACGAAGTACAAGTATGCAGCAGGAGGAGATAACTAGAAGATGGTGGTAGCTGGAAGCTGGTTATTGCTGCAAGGAAGGATGCTTGAAGCTGGGAAATGGTGGTGTGAGGTGATCGTTTGACTGGCATGGTGGGTGTGTGTACTGTATGTGAGGAGGGGAGTGGACTTGATGGGTGAGATGGGTGGGTGTGTGGGCGGGCGGTAGGGGAGTGGGATGGGAAAGGGAAAAGGCGCTGGGGTGGGCGGAGTAGGTTGGGATAGGGTGGAGTTAAGTGGGACGGGATTGAGGAGAATGCTTGGAAGGTTGTCTGTTGTGGTATACAGCGAGTCCATCTACATACCATTCCCAACTCACGTATGGATTCACTATCGGGCAGACGATTCGACGTTTTTTTCACCCAAGGTATTTGTTTGGGCAGCAAAAGTAAACAGTTCCGACTGCCGTTCCCGCCAATAGGGTTTCTCGATGCGCTTTCACACGTGCTGACACATTGTGGGGCAGGGAGGAAATTGTGCCCACGAATCGCAGTCGGTGTGCGTGCGCGTCCACCAAGCCCAAGGCCGTTCAAGAAAGTGGCAGAGAATCTTGAGGGGGAACCTCTCGCAAGTTCGCAACTCGACGAGACCTTTTCAGCCGATATTTCGTAAGAGGCCCAAGGGTGACGTGTTCTGTGCGCTCGGAAATCGCTTGCTTAGCCGACACGTCAGAAAGTGGGACACGATGGGCCACCAAGGGAGCAAAGCTGACGCAACCCCATGGATGAGGAGTATTTGAGTCATTTCGAGGTTGAAAGTGCAGCCAGTGGAATTTGCCTGGTGGCTCCTTGCAGGGAATGGCGCGCATTGCGTGGAATCTGATAACCTGGTCCAAAGATGATCTCGATGGTTCCACTACAACATGTATTGATCTAGGGAACTGTTCTACGTGAAAATCGTCCTCACAAAATGTCACATAACAGTAATGGCAGGAGCAACTTCAAATGTTTTAGGCTAAGAGCGTGTTACACCTGCCCTAATCTCAAGGATCACGTAGCTAAGATCACCATAACCCCAACCCTAGGATTACGAGTGGCAAAACAACAATTTTTGGTGCACATCACAATCCTTGTTGGTGTACCATCTGCAAATTTGCAATGGTGATCCTCTGCGACCAGGCGACGTCGCCTGAAACGACGCGACAGTCGCGATCGTCGGATATTTTTGTTGACCACGTTGACTGCGTTACTGATCCGAAATCAACCGCTTTATTGGTTCGAACTTCATCAAAAGAATGCTCTGATTAGTCGCGATTTTGTTACAGCAGTTCACGACAACAAAAGTTTCGTCATCAAGGATCACCTTGTCTTTGGTACAAAGATGCAAGGATCACCGAGAGATTGGCAGTCACCACGATCTCCCAAAAAACACCAAGATCGGGTATCACGATCTCTCGTGATTTCGATCCTTCCTCTGTTGGTACATCACCTGACACAGTGATTACTGTACAGTGGTAGGTATGACACTGTTCTGTAAGGATCGCCTACGTGATCCTCAAAATGCAGCAATCTTTGCTTGGGTGTAACACGCCCTAAGCTAATAGCAGCATACATGCCTGAAGTGCAGAGCCTGGCTCCGAGGAATCCACCTTGCTTGTACTCATAAATGTGTCAAACGACGTACCTACTTGGCATTTGGAAATTCAGAGGTGTCAGGCTGAGCTACCAGCAGTGTACGCGCCTCGATCGCAGAGTCAATCTGATCAGAAGCCTAGTTTGAAGGCTCCAGTGAATCCAACCTCGCCTGCAGTCGTGTAGCCGACTCCTCCAACTGCTCCCACTCTTGCTCCAGCTCCGCCATTTTCACCAATGCAGCATCCTTCATCTTTTGAATTTTCATCACTCGTTCCACATCACTCCCAGCTTCTAGCATCGCCCCATCATACGACGCAATGGCTGCATCCCCCTTCTCCAAAGTGGCGAGTGTTTGTTTTATCTTGGTGCGTACCTGAGGCAAATCGAAAAAAAACGAACTTCAAAATCTTACAATCTGTCGCTAACAACGCGTGCAACACGTTTCGGGGTCGAGTCAAACAAGCCAGGTGATTCGGCCATACCTGTTGCAGCTTTTTCTTCACTTTCTTCACCTCTACACTCTGTTGAAACGCCTGCGATGCTGCTCCATTTCCCCCCACCTCACCTCCCCTCCCTCCCTTTCCTCCCCCTCCTCCCAGCCCCCCCATCCCTGCCAAACCAGCCAGCCTGCCACCAGCAGCAGCAGGCGCAGCAGCAGCACCACCACCAACACCAGCAGCAGCAGCAGCAGCAGCCATTGGCACCGGATTTGTCACCCTCCCCTCCAGTCACATCTTGAGGGAGCAGCTCAAAGACACAGCTTCCAGAGCCGTCGACGCGAATGAGCTGCGTGGGCTGAAAGAGTTCGCAGAAATCGTGATCGTGAGATACCACCACGACCGCACCTGCCGAGGAGGTGAGGAGAAAGGTGCAAAAGGAAACTCATGGATTGCGGCAGGCAGACAGCAAGCTCCCGGAGGCGTCGATGTGGATGAGCTGCGTGGGCTGAAAGAGCTCGCAGAAATCGTGATCGTGAGATACCACCACCACCGCACCTGCACGGGGGATTGGGAGGAAACGCATGGGTTACATTGAGTACAAGGGCTTCGGGAATGGCGAGCTCCCAGAGCCGTCGACGCGAATGAGCTTCGTGGGCTGAAAGAGCTCGCAGAAGTCATGGTCATGGGATACCACCACCACCGCACCTGCAGGGAGAGAGGGATAGAACACGGGTTTTGATGAGGGCAATAGATTCCACAGTCAGCAAGCTCCCGGAGCCGTCGATGCGAATAAGGGCCATGAGGGAGAATTTGCGGGACGAGCTGGCAGAAGTCATGATTGCGAGCTTGCAGGGAGACGTAAGAGAAAGGTAAAGAGAAAGGGTCGTGGGGTTGTGGCAGGCAGACAGCTGTTCAACCCTTCCTCATTTCAGCAAGCTCTCAGAGCCGTCGATGTGAAAGAGCGGTTCCGGCTGAAATGCCATCACAGTCCTTGAATTCACGTGCTTGAATTCACCTTTGACCGCACCTTTAAACTGCTGCAATCCCGTTGCCAAGGCCATCATTGTCATCCTATCCAGATGGTTGGACGGCTCGTCCAACAGCAGCGCGTTGTGCGGCCGCAGCAACAGTCCGCCCAACGCCGCCCGCGCCTTCTCCCCTCCCGACAGCGCTGCGATTGGCCGCAGAGCCGCGGGACCGGATAGGCCGAGAGTTCCCAGGGCGGTACGGCCTTGCTCGTTGGTTACCAGGGGGTTGTGCTCCCGTGCGACCTGGGAAGAGAGAACGGGGGAAGAGGGGGGGATGGGTTGCAGAGACAACTTATATAGAGAACTGAGATTCCGGCATTTGGAAGAAACCTTGCTCGTTGGTTACCAGAGGGTTGTGCTCCCGTGCAACCTGGGGGGAGGAGTGTTGAATACGATACACTCAGAAAGAAGTGAGATACATGTGATTAAAGAAACATTGCTCGTTGGTTACCAGGGGGTTATGCTCCCGTGCAACCTGGGGGGAGGCAGCAGGGGTAGCAGAAGAGCATTCAATGCGTGATGGGACACTTGCTTTAAGGGATCCCAGGGGGGTACGGCCTTGCTCGTTGGTTCCCAGGAGGAGAGGATTCAATGAATATGCAACCAGTCAGGATGATGCTGATGCTGATGCGCCGATGCTGATGCTGATGCGCTGATGCTGATGCGCTGATGCTGATGCTGATGCTGATGCGCTGATGCTGATGCTGATGCTGATGCTGATGCGCTGATGCTGATGCTGATGCTGATGCTGATGCGCTGATGCTGATGCTGATGCGCTGATGCTGATGCTGATGCTGATGCTGATGCGCTGATGCTGATGCTGATGCTGATGCTGATGCGCTGATGCTGATGCTGATGCTGATGCTGATGCGCTGATGCTGATGCTGATGCTGATGCTGATGCTGATGCTGGTGCTGATGCTGATGCTGATGCTGATGCTGATGCTGAAGCTGGTGCTGATGCTGATGCTGATGGGTATTATAGGGCTGTCTGTGCGTCCTCGCGGACTAAGGACAGTGGAGACTGGTCTGCGAGAACACGCTTTTGAGTCGACTCAAAAGCTGGCGGACTAGGGACAGTGGGACAGGAGACTGGTCTTGCGAGAACAGGCTTTTGAGTCGACTCAAAAGCTGGCGGACTAGGGACAGTGGGACAGGAGACTGGTCTTGCGAGAACACGCTTTTGAGTCGACTCAAAAGCTGGCGGACTAGGGACAGTGGGACAGGAGACTGGTCTTGCGAGAACATGCTTTTGAGTCGACTCAAAAGCTGGCGGACTAGGGACAGTGGGACAGGAGACTGGTCTTGCGAGAACACGCCTAAGCTCACTAAGATACAAACCAATACCAATACTAAGCTAGGACTTGCGGGAAACCGCCCATATTCACTACCAATGCCACCGACCACCTCTCACACTGAACACATAGTCTAGAGCAGTGACGTCCTGAGGCAAGTCCTGAGCCAGGTCCTGTGAGAACACTACCCAAGCTCGCCCCCTCACCCAAACAAACACGTTAAGTTCTGTAGAAAACCCACTCGCACAGAAACAACACTCACACTGAGCACGTAGTCTAGAGCAGTGACGTCCTGAGCCAAGTCCTGCGCCAGGTCTTGAGAACACACGCCCAGGCTTGCTAGAGACGCATGTAAGCCTGCTTGGTCACATGCAAAAACCACTCACACTGAGCACATAATCCAATGCTGTCACGTCCTGAGGCAAGTCCTGAGCCAGATCCTGAGAGAACACGCCCAAGCTCGCCCCCTCGCCCGTCTCCCTCTCTCCTCCCATCAGCTGTGCGCCTTCCCCTGCTGCCATGGCCTTGAGTAGCGTTGACTTGCCCGCTCCGTTTGGACCAACTATCAACTGCCAGCGGGCAGTGAACGGGGGTGATGAGAATGCTGAGGAACAATCAGTGTAAAGTGCACGCCAGCCGTCAGCTCTGCGCCCGCCCCTGCTGCCATGGCCTTGAGTAGATAGACTTTCCAGCCCCGTTTGGACCAACTATCAACTGCCAGGCGTTGAAACGAAGCAAGGGTGATGAGAAAGGTGAGAAACATTCAGTGTGGCCTTAAGGGGATGCATCACCAAAGAAATAGTGTAAAACACATCCCCTCGTCTCCCTCTCTCCTCCCATCAGCTCTGTGCCTGCCCCTGCTGCCATGGCCCTGAGTAGCGTTGATTTGCCGGCTCCGTTTGGACCAACTATCAACTGCCACGTGGCAGTGAAGGGGGAGAGAGGGAAATGGCAAGGTAGCACTTGGAGGTGACACCAAGGACTGGTGTTGACCCGCATTGACCAAATTGGACTGGCATTGACCAGCATTGACCAGCATCAGTAACCACCAGGGAAGAAAAAGAAGGGAAAGGGGAGGTGTAAGAGGAAGCAGGATGTGGGTGCTCACGGTTCTCGTGCCAATCTCGATGCTGAAGCTGACGTGTTCAATCAGGGGTGACGTGGCACCAGCCCAGCCAACCGCAGCGCATCTAAGCGTGATGACTTCGCGTGAGCAAGGGGGAGGCGGGGGAAACCTCACAGCCACCTTCCTTCGGTCCCCTCCTGCATCACTCGCAAAGGCTGGATGGGATGGGAGGGTGGGATGAGGAAAGAGGAGAGGATCAGGCTTGGGAGGAATTGGGGGTTAAAATGCGAAACAAGAAAACGATTGGTACGTGGGCACATCACATATCACAACTCTTCCCCACATCTACGCCGCACCCTCCCCCCCCCCTCTTTCCCATTTTCTATCTTATGCCCTTTCCCCACTGACCTCTCCATTTCCACTCCGCCCCCCACTGTACCCCTCTCATCCTCCCCTTTTTCACCCCCTATCCCCTCTCACCTGCCTCCTCCTCATCTTCATCAGGCATGGTCGCTCGAATCTTCTCCAGTGCTTTCTTCTTAGAGTTCGCCGCAGCAGCCTTGGTGGCTTTAGCCCCAAACCTATTGATAAACCCTTCCAGCTTTGCCATCTCGCCCCGCTTCCCTTCCAACTCCCTCTCCCTCTGCCGTCTCCTCTCCTCCCTCTCGACCAGGAATTTGGAGAAGGAGCAGGAGTAGTGGTGCAGCTGGGAGCCCCGCACTTCAACGATCTTCTGGCACACGCGGTCCAGGAGGGTCTGGTCGTGACTCACCACCACTAGGGCTGCTTGTACCCGACATAAGTAATCCGCTAGCCATGCCTGGGTGGGTGGTGGAAGGGAAGGGAAGGAGCAGGAGTCGTGGTGAAGCCGTGTACCACAGACTTCAACGGTCAGGGGCTGGGACCCCCGCCGCTCCTCCCTCTCGACCAGGAATTTGGAGAAGGAGCAGGAAAAATATGTAATTACGTTTTACACCAACATTGTACTGTACCCTGGATCTGCTGCCCAAACGGATGCAGATAGCGACTACCCCAGAAGCACCTGTCCCTCCCACTCACCCTAGCAGCAGCATCCAAGTGGTTGGTAGGCTCGTCTAGCAGCAGTAGAGACCTGCCCCCCTGCCCTTCCCCCACCCTACCCTGCTGTTGCTACACATGCCGCCTACCCTAGAAGCACCTGCCTGCCCCTCCCACTCATCCTAGCTGCAGCATCCAAGTGGTTGGTAGGCTCGTCCAGTAGCAGTAGCGACCTGTCCCCCTGCCCTGCTGCTACGGTAGATGACGCCTACCCCAGAAGCACCTCTCCCACTCACCCTAGCAGCAGCATCCAAGTGGTTTGTAGGCTCGTCCAGTAACAGTAACGACCTGTCCCCCTGCCCTGCGGCTGCAGCTGACGCCTGCCCCAGAAGCAGCCTGGCCAGGGCGATTCGCATCTGCCAGCCCCCCGAGAAGGAATCACAGGGTTTGTGCCAGTTGGAGGAATCGAACCCGAGACCTTTGAGCACACTGCAACAAAGGGAAGCAAGAGGTAGGGGAGAGGGAGAGGGGGGGAGGAGAACGAGGATGGGGAAAGAGGCGGAAGAGGAGATAAGAATAAATGTCCAACTCGGAAGGTCAGAAACTGTCTTAGGAGAGGGGGAGTTGCAGGCCATCGTTGACAAGCGGCCAGCCCCATTCAGGTACTTGGATTGGAAGAGTTGATGTTCGAGTCGACTTAAAAGTCAACCCCATCCAGGTACTTGGAAGAGTTGATGTTTGAATTGAACCGTGTGTGAATTCCCTTCTTTACCTCTCCTCCTTCAAACTTGGAGTCTGAAGTTTGACGTTTAAAGCCCAGAGTTCGAACGAAGTTCGCTGTTCCACGCCTTGCCTCACATCCCTTCCCGTCCCTCACCTTGTGGGAAATTCTTGAGACTTGCCAGAAACCACCCTGCACTCACTCACCACTGCTCGCTGCCACTCTACCCTGCCGCTTCCCCCCCCCGCCTCCCCCTCCCTCTCTCACCTCGAAACAATCTCGTCCTTTTTCGCCCCTCCAATCGCATCGAAGCGCATCTGCGCCTCGACAAATCGGATTGCAGCCTGCTCCATCGCCCTCGCCCTCTCCCCCGCCACGTCACTCGAACCACCGGCCAGCTCAGCTTCATCCTCGCTGTCTGTCAGCTCAGCCTCAGCTGAATGCATGTCAGCCTCTGCTTGGTTGAGAGCATCCATGCGAGAGCTCGCCTCCTCCCACACGCTCCTTCGTGACCCTGACACCGCACTGGAAGGGAGGGGTGCGGGGGAAGTGTGTTGGTGGAGGGGGGGGTGGGGGAACCCTCTGCTTGGTTGAGAGCATCCATACGCGAGAATTAGCCTTCTCCCACACGCTCCTACGTGACCCTGACACCGCACTGGAAGGGAAGGAAAGAGAGGAGGTTTCTGAAGAGAGGAGGGGGAAGGGGTGGGAGTTGGTGTGTTCGTGAGGTGGGGTGACCCGAGCTAGAAACACCATTCCTCTTACTGTCCTCTCCCGTTATACTCACGTTTGTTCCAGGTAGTCGATCCGCGATCCGCGCGATACAATCACCCTTCCGCCGTCCACCAGCTGTCGACCAATCAACGCGCGCAGAAGCGTTGACTTGCCACACCCGTTTGACCCCACCAGGCCGACTCGCTCCCCCGGCATTACCCGCCATGACACTAACGAGAGCAGGTCGCGATCTCCCGCCGATAGAGTCACATCTTCTAAAAGAAACGCCGCACCGGCCGTGTCCCCTTCAGGAGGAGAAAACTCGGGTGAGGGTAGAGGAGGGAGGGTGGATGAAGAGGAGGAGGAAAAGGAGGACGTAGGCGGAGCAGCAACGGACATTGACCGACACACTGAAGATTTTGCCCTGTCCGAACCTGCTGACGTCGAATCGTGACTACACACCGTCAGCGTAGTCCGCCTACGCCGTTCACTAACTTGCGCCGCGCCATTAGCAGCTCCGTTAAGAGGCTGAGAAACAAGTCGCAATGTCTGCCGCGACGTCGATTTGTGTAAAATGGAGCCAGGCGAATATTTCTGTTCCCATACGCACGGTACCAGGAAAGTTCGCCGAAAGCGCGAGCGGCACGGGACTGGGATACTGAACTGGGATGAAACGTGCGAGGAGGTTCCCAGGTTTGGTTGAAGAGCAGCTGACGTCATTCTTTCCTGCTGTCAGAAAATGCAGCCGACGAAGGCAATCGAACCCCGCAACTGCCAGGCGTATTCTGCAGCTCGTGTAACAAAGAGATGCTATCGAGAGCAGAATAAAGCGGATGCAATCAGGAACCCTGATGCTGTCGAAGCGAAAGCAAGAGAGTGTGTGTCAGCGAACCAATGTGAGTGAACTTAACTCAGGAGTCAGGAAGAGTCAGTCAGTTCCACGTGCAGCCGCCAATAAATGCGAGGGATGAAGGTTTGCAGGAAGTAATAACAGGGTGGAGCAAGGAAGAGCGATGATTCACGACTAATTCAAGGCGGAGAGCGGTGATGAAAGGATGAACACGGTTTATTACGGTTAGTGCCGTGGTAGCGAACGAGAGGTCAGGAATCAAGGGGACTCACTTGCAGCCAGACAAAAAGCTCCAGCCTGCTGAGCACTTCGTGGTTGGGAATTGATTATGACTATCCTCGGTATTGGATAATTGGATAAGTATCAGTATCAGTGTACAAGGAGCAACTACACTAAGGATATAGATAACACTGAAGCATTAAATCCACACATGTTATCCATAATATTACACCATCACAGGCAATTGAACTAGACTGCTGGAATATTAGAGAACGAGAAGTCTTTGTAACCAATAAATGCGAAGTATGCAATGCGGCTTTCATGAAAACCTGGTATAAAGAGGAGAACGCCCAGTATAATGAAGGAAATTCCTGTGGAAAACGGAAGGGTGAACAGAGGGAGGGGCACGAAAGCAAATGGATTACTCGGACACAACGCATTTCATTCAAGCAAATAGTACACATGAAGGAGCGAGCAAATTCAGGAGGGTGGAAGGAGATAAGGGAAGAATGAAGGAAAGAGAGAAGTCGCACGTATGGGTGTGCCTGGTAAGGTAGGAAGCTCAGGGACAATATATTGCAGCCGTAACCATATACGGGGTTGCATATTCAACCTGGTAAGAAAGCGGTTATACACATACGTAGGGTGAACAGCCAGAATGCAGTTATACGCACCGTGGGAGCGGTCTCCCCACACTTTGTGGTACGTCATCCACGATCCCACAATGATCCCTAATGCTCCAAGCGCAAGCAGGAGGAAAGCGAGGCAGACTTCCTTGATAGGTGGCCGGTTATAGATGATAAAATCGCCGCCAAACTCTTCGGAAAGAGTTGGAGAGGGTGGTGGTGGTGCTTCCGTATCCAGTGATTGTTGCGTCTGTTCCTCCGCCATGCCACACTTGGGGTTACAATGTGACTGTAAGCAGTCTGACAATGGCGAGAGACTAAATCTCTTGGAAGATTCAAGCACAAACAGAGTCTTAAGAGGAGAAAGCTTCGACGAATATTAAACAGAAGTAAACTGAAAGAAATCACGTTAGAGTGCCTTTTCGTCAAGCTTCCAACGCTTCCACGGAACTCACGAACCCTAGTCTATTAGAGAAACCAACTAGAGCCGACGACTGCGTCGATAAATGAACGCGTGATTCACTTTCACGTTGACGACACCGTAAGCCTAAACCGTAAAGCTGTATTCAGTAGAAAATCCCAAAGCCGAACTAGCTATGCTACTAGCCGAACTAGCTATGCTATGCGAATCCCCTAAGGTTGTTCAGCTGAGCTTCGGGTGTAGGCTCAAGAGGACTTGAAAATTCCCCCCCAAGAATTCAGTCACAGAATCTGTTGGAAATTCAGTCAGGGAATCCGTCAAGAACTCAGTCGGCTCGGCTCCCCACAAGTCCGCTCCGCAACCCCATTTCAGCTGTCAGGTGTAGCGTTCTGTATTTCAAAAACGGATCGTCAGTTGCCGTTGACTTGGCGGGGTGGTTTGGAGTTGCTACGGGCGAAAGGCTTGATTTGCCCATGATGTCGGGTTACATAGTTCGGCGAGGACGGTAATTGGGAATGTCGTTAGTGTATGTTACCAGCGTCAGATGCTTCTGACACATGCCGCGAAAGAATCATATGCCAAGGGGGTCTCGCCTTCTCACCCACCACGGAGCCTTCTCACCCACCACGGAGACATTCCAGTACAGAAGAACGTGTACCGCTGTTTATCGTGTAAAAAAATTGTTGAACCGCTTCGAGAATTACTGAAGGAATACGCTGGACACGAGCGCATGTGTTCATCTTTTAGAACGAATCAGGCACATTCTCGGAGAAATCAATAGCGAGACTCAACTAACGAAAGGTCGTCCCGTGCGAGTTTCGCATATTCGGTTAAGAAGCATCGCACCGTACGCATTGTCGTCTTAGGCTATGGCGTCGCCGAGAGGAGGCGACGATGATCCCAGCCATCTGGCGAACGAGCAGCAGGCTGCTGACGTGGCACCCGCTGGAGAGCAGTCCTCGATGGATGCGGAAACCCCCGCGGCTGCGAATAAGGAGTCGAGCGCTAAGGGCCGCTTTGAGAAGGGGAAGGGGGGTGGCTCGCGCAAAAAGCGGGATCCGCCAGGGACTATCGGCGGAGAAGGGGATGGCGGAGGAGCTGCCCAGATCTCAGGGGAAGTCGAGGAATTACCACGGACAGTGGTGCGGAGAATCGTTAAAGCCAAAGTGCAGGAGGTGATGCAGCAAGGGGGAGGTTTGGGAGGGGCGAGGGGCGCAGCAGGCGCAGGGGGGGAGGGGTCGGGGCGGAAGAAGGAAGTGCAGGTGGCGAAGGATGCGCTGATCGCACTGTCGGAGAGCGCTAGGGTTTTCATCCACTACCTGACTGCTACGTGAGCATTTCCTACCTATTTCCATCTTGGAGTTGATGTTTGAGTCCCTCTATGTCATCTGAACTTTAGACCGACTCTTGATTCAAGTGGCCCAGTGACGGTCGGCTTCTTTTCCCTTATTGTCGTCTCTCTTACTTTGTAATGATTTGAGTCCTATTTCTTAATGTCTTCATGTCCACAATGTGCGCTGCAGGGATTTTTGCTGCAGCAACAGAGAAGCAAAGACTCACCATCCACTATCTATCCCTCCTGTTCCATCTTCCGCAACGAGTCACATTCCCTCATGTCCCATATTTACCTCTTGTCACCCTCTTTCCTCCTACCAGAGCGAATGATGTGTGCCGCAGCAACAAGCGGCAGACAGTGAGCGCTGCCGATGTGCTGGCCAGCATTGAAGACATTCAGTTCCCGGAGTTCCTACCTGCTTTGCAATCCACGCTGCAAGGTCAGCTCATTTCTTCCTCTTCCGCCTCTTCCGCCTCACTCCCAAATGCCCCACAAGTTCAGGTGCAATTGAAGTGTTGAGAGCCAGCATTTCTTCCCAAGTCTCATAACGTTGTTATTACTGTTTTGTTCGTTCTTGTGTAGCTCTGAGGAATGAGAAGAGGGAGAAACGAAAAGGGAAGATGGAGAAGCGTGAAGCAGCAGCAGCAGCTGCTGCTGCTGCTGCTGCTGCTGGCAGGGGGGATGCAGAAGAAACAGCAGCAGGGAAACCAGCAGCGGCCAAGAAAAGAAAAACCGAACAAGAAGCAATGAGGAATATGGGAGGTGAAGAAAATGGGGTTGTAACTTCTAAGGAATCAGGTTAGGCACTTCAAGACATTAGCTCAAATGTAGGTCTTCAACCCAAGGCATTAGCTCACGTACAATTGTCCTCTCTTTGTATAGCCTTTTGAGCTTGTGCTTTTTACCCTGGGACACGGTATTCCTGCTGAAAGCATCAGAGGGAAAAGCATTCAGTGCTATGAAGCAGCCACCATTTCTCATGTGGGCAAGTGAACAGAGCATTCAGCCTCTCTCCTCACACCATCCAGCACGCAGTCTATGAGGCAATATTGTATGGTGATACACTGCAATCTTCTTATGACAATAAAGCTTTTTTGATTGAATCTTTACAGCAGGTCCAGCACCATGTTGAAGAGCATGTCAGACCAACCATCCTGTGGTCCAGGTATGCAGTAGTGCAGGCAGTCCACAGCAGCAGACTCGGACTTCCCCGTTTTCCCCTTGTGAGAGTCAGGTCTGAGAGCCGTCATTCTATCCACATCCAAGAACGCAGCACCTATGGAGTTGGCCAGTCGCTCTGCTATTCGGTTCTGATGGGGAATTTCCGACCAATGGTGAGGGAGATTGTCTCCAGATGGTCGTGTTTCGATTGGACGGGTGAAATTCATGCAGTCGGCGTGGCCAGCAGAAGAGGATCTGACTATTGTGAGGAGATTAGGGAAGCGAGATCTCAGGTGGAAGAGAGTTGCGTTGAGCTGGGCTTCGAACGCTGCATCCTCCACATAATGGGCTCCGCGATTCAGAACAACCACGTCTACACCCTGTGCTGCTATCTCGTCCACCCACCAGTGATTATCCGTGGAGAAGCCAGGCAACGCGACGGGAACATCGAGGTAATCGCTACGAATAAAGTAGATGTGAGACGGACGACCCGAAGACTCACAGATTGGAGAGGAGAAGCAAATCTGAGGAAGGTGAGGGTAAGCTAATCTGGCTTTGAGGCACTTCGCAGTGAATAACCCACTCGGAACTACACTTTCGCCGATTTTTAAGCGGAGAATGAGCGAGAGAGCAAACTGGCCATTGAGAGAATCCCCAGCAATCAGCATCGTTCTTCCATTGAGCGCTTCGCAGAACCTGGACTCGCTGAAGGTAGTCCACTGGCCGCAATCTCCGCCTTGCGTCGAAGTTCCGCTGCTGCTTGGATCCCACACGTACTTCAAGCTTTCCCTGACGGTCCAATTTTGAGGATATCTGAGGGCGGCGTCATTGGCAGGAGGACCAGCGAGGTTTCCTGGAATTTCCGTGTGTCGAAGGTCGCACAGACTCAGGGGACTTGGCCAGTGAAGGGGACGAGGGGTCGGATCGTAGCGCCAATGACCTGATTGGCTGATGCAATTCCAGCGATTACGGAACGAACGTACAGAAGACGCGTTTTTCAGCCTTGACCCAGGAATTCCGGTGACGGCATCTGAGACATCTTTGGCCCGAATGGCCTGAACTGGCAGATGCCATGATGCTATTGTCGTGTCAGAACCAGCATCGAGCTGAAGAAAATTCTCCAGACGCGGTTCCACCGCATTGTCATTTGAAACGGTCTCTGTAACCCTCCATAAAACTTCTAATCTTGGGGAGTTGAGCAAGAACACGGCAATAAGACAGCAGAAAACGGAAATGCCAACTGCGAGAGTAATGATTCTGAGATCCATGACGCTTAGACGATTTGGGATAACACAGTGCTTCGCTGTCTATCAGGAGCAACACTGAAAGACCATGTTCCCGCCATTGGTTTTCCAGAGTCTCCTGGGTTTTGCGAAAAAAATGAGGTCCCCAGGTTCCACTGAGACTGTTTCATAACACCCTAAAAGCAATCGCGCACCAGGTTCAATCGTTACATGCCGTTTTGACTTCGCCTGCGCGATGTTGCGACTGCCCAACCAGTTTTGATTTTCGCTGGTAACTCAGCTGCGACAACTGATAGCGACTGAAAGCAAGTTACCACATCACGCGAGAAAAAATGTGATCCACAAAGCCATGTGCAGACTGAGGATACCCAGTACACACAGTCGGACGAAACAATTTGGCACAGAGGCCTGACGAGGTGATGCGAGCCCAGCGAACATAGTCGAATGCGTAACACAGGCGCAGAAGTTGGCTTGTACTCAGAAGCACCGAAACCTAGGCGACACCCATCCAAACCATAAGGGCGGGTCAAAAGGGCACGTCCGAATGCGGTTCGAAAAGGTCTAGGCTTGTCCCAAAGCGGTCGTTTTGGAACACAGAATGGATGGGTCCGGTATTCCCCGAATACGTGCAAAGTTTGACCCGCTCTAAGGGCTATTGGGGCAGGCGCGTTCATTTGTCGTGGTGCAGAAAGATTCCGACTGGTTTACAGCGGTATCATTGATCAACCGTTTTAGACCGTGACGAAACAAGAGTAACCGCTCAGGATGAACTGTACGATTGTGTAAAAAGAACGCGCTAGCCCCGCCCTTAGGGCGGTATGGGCTTCCCGATACGTAACATGCGCTCATTGTTGCAATCCCGTCAGATAAGCAGCTTTTTCTAGCACCCGATGCACCACCCAACGAAACCGATAATGTAAAACAGTAATATAATATAAGTAGATAATAAATTATAATAACATTGTTTTGACGCATCACAGCAGGTCCAGCAGCATGTTAAAGAGCATGTCAGACCAGCCATCCTGGGGACCAGGGATGCAGTAGTGCAGGCAGTCAACAGCGGCAGACTCAGAATTCCCCGTCTTCCCCTCGTGAGAGTCAGGTCTGAGAGCTGTCATCCTATCAACATCCAAGAAAGCAGCACCTATAGAATCTGCCAGACGCTCTGCTATTCGGTTCTGATGAGAGATTTCCGACCAATGGTGAGGCAGGTCGTCTTCAGATGGCAGTGTTTCGATGGGTCGGGTGAAGTTCATGCAATCGGCGTGGCCAGCAGAAGAGGATCTGACGATTGTCAGGAGATTAGGGAAGCGGTTTCTTAGGTGGACGAGAGTTGCGCTGAGCTGGGCTTCGAACGCCCACATAATGGGCTCCGCGATTCAGTACAACCACGTCGACACCCTGTGCTGCTATCTCGTCCACCCACCAATGATTATCCGTGGAGAAACCAGGCAACGCCACGGGGACATCGAGGTAATCGCTACGAACGAAGTAGATGTGAGACGGACGACTCGAAGACTCGCAGATAGGGGAGGAGAAGCAAATCTGAGGGAGGTGAGGGTAAGCTGCTCTGGCTTTGAGGCACTTCGCAGAAAAACTCCCATCAAGAACCACCTTTTCGTCATTTTTCAAGCGGAGAATGAGGGAGAGAGCGAACTGGCCGTTGAGAGAATCCCCAGCTATCAGCAGCTTTCTCCCGTTAAGCGCTTCGCAGAATCTGGATTCGCTGAATGTAGTCCACAGGCCGCAACTCTCGCTTTGCTCTGACGTTTCGCTGCTTGGGTCCCAAACGTACTTCAAGCTTTCTCTGACGGTCCAATCTTCGGGATCTCTGAGGGCGGCGTAATTGGCATAAGGGCCAGCAAGGTTTCCTGGTGTCTCCGCGTGTCGAATGTCGCATTCGCTCAGGGGACTCGGCCAGTGGAGGTGACGAGGAGTTGGGTCGTAGCGCCAGTGACCTGATTGGCTGACGCAGTTCCAGCGATTACGGAACGAACGCACGGACGAGTCGTTCTTGATTCTTGACCCCGGAATCCCCGTGACGACAACATCCGAAACATCTTCTTTTCGCCGAATAACCTGAACTGGTTGGTGCCATGATGTTAGCTTCTTGTCGAATCTGTTATTTTGCTGAAGGTAATTCGCCAGATGAAGCGGTTCCACTGGAATTTCTGTTGAAGCAGTTTCTGTATCCCCCCATAGTAGAGCATCTAATCTTGGGGTGTAAAGGCTGTAAGCGATGTAGAACGTCAGCAAGGACACACCAGTAAGACAGGAGAAGATGGAAATGCCAACACAGAGAGGGCTGCTTCTAAGCTGGGTGACGCTTGAAGCGGTAAATGAGTCCTTCCTTCCTAACAGAGACTCCTGTGTTTCCGCCATTGTTTTGCAGAACTGACTGTCTCGTATGCTACTAGTGAAATCTCCTAACTCTGCAAAGAAAGAAATACAGGATGCTGCCAGTTCTAGCGAGGACGATGGTCTCGAACAAATCGCCGCTAGCCAATTTTCCCCAATCACTTCCAGTGTTCGCACGCTGTTACAGCTCAACTTGAGCGACGGAGCCGGAGGTTGCGGTGTGTAAAATATCAGACCATGCTGACCAGGAAGAAAATTCGGTTCGTTTGAGCTGTACGTGTACAGTCATACGCGAATAGACACTGGGCAGTGGGCACACGAAAGACATTTGCCCAGCTGAAATTTCGTGTGCCCAGTACAGTACAGTGTCCATTTGCTGATATGGAACCTGTTCAGTCAAACGCTTGACCATTTCCAGTTGCATACTCGAAAATAATTACTGAGGGGTCCGAAAAAGTTCAGGTTCGGACATCATCCAGCTCGGTTACCACTTTTAGTCATGTAACAGAATTTTTTACGTTGCCAAAGGCGCTTGACAGGAACCAGTTCACCTCAAGCCGCAATTTAGAAACGCGTCCCAAGATGTGCGGATCACATCCGAAGGAAACTGTAAATTCGTCCAGGGTTGCTTTTTGCGTCCAACACGAAAACCAGTATCGCGAGTAACCTTTCGCCAATCATGTCGTCCACCCGCCATGCCCTTGAGATTCGAATTGGCTGCTCGCGAGAGAAAGTCGCGCCAAACCTGTGCGACATTGGTTACCCAGTAGGCGGATCGCGTTATTGTACCTTGTCAGCTTTCTGGAATGAATACTCGGTCACTTGACATGAAATGATCAGAATACAAGTTGGGATACAGTCAAAACTGACGAGTGAGATTACGTAAAAATAACGAAACCAAAGTGAACTTCTTCGGAGCCCCCCTGACCTAGAGGTGAACAGCCAAGTAACATTCCTGAACTGAGTCCAATCTTCAAATGCAGCCCCAGTATACACCATGGTAGAAACAGGTTTCGTTCGCGAGCTGTCGGGCAACTATTCCCCCCATCCTGGCTTTGCGCAGCCGGTTGGCAGTTCTTTCTGGTACTTGAAGCGCTTTTTCATTTTCAGCAGGGGATCTTCCAGGGGAGAGAGAACACAAAAAAGGCTGCACGAAACTTTACACTGTGATAGCACGAATAGGAATTTTGAGGGGGTCATGGTGTAAGCTCTTAGGGATATCTCGTGAAAAAGGTTAATGACGTAAATTTGGCGGGGAACAAAAAATACTTCAAGCAGTGGTTCTCGGATGTTGGAATGCAAGGAATGTCAGGGCGCATTCCTACCTCATGTCTGACATGAGGTCATCCGCCCTTAGTCTCTGATTTGTCTCCCCCAATGAGAGACTTTTTCTCGTCTAACGTTCTCCAGCTGCTACAAGAGATTAAAGACGCCTCGCCTCCAGCGGTGCTGGCGGTCGCGCAAAGCCCGGAGCTCAGCAGCCAATCCAAGCGGCTTGTCTTCTCTCTACAGTACGTTCAAGAGGTAAGCTGGTTCTGGGAGATTCTCCAACACGACGTGACTATAAGCGGCTCGTCTTCCCTCTTTGTTTAGGAGGTAAGTTGTCTCGAGAATAATTCCTAACACGAATTGACCTCCAAGGAGGTCAGCTTCTCTCCACAGTACGTTAAAGCGCTTAGTTGCTTTTCTGTTCTCATGGTTATCGACACTCCTCTGTCGTGTGAGCCCCAAAAACACACACACGCGCGCGCGCGCGCGCGTGCATACGCACACACCGTGTTACCGTCTTTCTCCCACATATTGGTCTCTGTCCCCCCCCTCCCACTCAAACACCGCCCTTCTTCTCCTCCCTTCCTCCCCCTTCTTCCCCCATTTCCCCTGGTAACGTCCGTTGCTCATCACTCACAGACTACAAGCCTCTTAATTCGAGCCGCGCGGTAAGTTCTGATCCCAGCAGCACATTTAACAATCAGACTCGTCACCAGGGATCTCAAACCCGAAATCTGAATTCCCTTTTGCACTATCCTTCAAGCACCAACCCTTTCTGCGTCATTTTTCCCTCCCCATTTGCCAGCCTCATAGCGGGTCTGGTTATATTGGAGCGCTTCCTCCCTCTCTGTGTCACAAGCTTCGCATGTTTAGGGCGACTCTACGTCCTCTTGCTTCAGGTGGGCAACTTGAGCATTCACCCTGCTTTTAAACGCACAAATCGGTGCTTCTTCTCCATATTAATAAGGAGGTCCTTCTTTGATACTTTGTCCATATGCAGCACCGTGTTTCTGGTTGTGCGTGCCTGCATCCGTGTGTGTCTTGTATGCTTGGGTGTTGTTCTTACCTGTCAGTGCCAGCTACACCACGTGTCGGTCTACAATCGCCTTACAGCGACGGCAGCAAGAGGCAAGGTAGACCTCCCTTTGCTCCTCTTGCACTGCGCGCTTCTCTGACTGGCTACCCTACTCAATATGTATCTTCCACTTATTGATACTCTTAGTGGCTGCTTCACGTTTATCAGCATCCTCTGTTGACCTCAGAATTTATTTTCAGTTTAGCAACGGCTACTTTTCATCCTACCAATGCATTGCTGCAAAGCTCTACCTTGTCTTTCCGTGTCCCAATCCCCCTCCTCACCCTCCCTCTTTGGTACGGTCCCCTTTCCCGAATCTCCCTCCACGTCTTTCTTCTATTCCTACCCTATTACATCTCTCCTCATTTTGTTCGCCCCAGCACGACCAGCAGCACAAAGTATTGCTTTGCCTTTCCACCTTTCCCCCTTTCCCACCCTCACCCCCCTTTACTCAGGTCCTTCTTCCCCCGTCTCTCCCTCCCCGCCTGTACCACGTATGGCAAGCCTCGACCCTCTTCATCTCCTCTTGCCCCTTCCCCTCCTCACTGGACACCACAACCAGCGGCACCAACAGCACCAGCAGCAGCAGCAGCAGCAGAAGAACAAGAAGGTGAAGAGTGAGGAACTTGGAAATACTGCAGATGCGCTTTTTCCTACACTGAGGAATGTGGTTGCCGCTCCAGCTACACTTGCTCCTGTGGCAACTGCAGCAGCGGCAGCCTCACCCGTTGCACCTGTTACAGGAGCATTCCCTGCAGGAACACCTATTGCAGGAACACCTGCCACAGGAACACCCGTTGAGTCACAGGGAGCAGCGGGACGGCACAAGAGGCTGAAGGGTCAAGTAGGAGACGGGCAAGGGAGAGAGGGGGGAGGGAGAGAGGGGCATGAGAGTGTTGGTGAGGGAGAGGTTGGTCAAGGCAGAGACGGGGACGACAAAGGCAGGGGTCCGTTTGGGGCTGATGGGCCTTCCATGGCAGCCCTGATGCAGGAGCTGGGGTTTGGAGAATTTATTTCTGCCCCGGTCAGCAGTGTTGGTGGAAAGGAACGGCAGACGGGCAGGGGAGGAGGGAGGGGTAAGGGACGGGGGAGAGGGAGGGATAGGGGGGTGGGAATGGGGACGGGGATGGTGACTGGGGATAGAAGGGTTGAAGGGGGGGAGGGGGGAGTGGAGGCACAGGGGATGTTTGGCAGTGGGGAGGCATGGGGAGGGGAGGAAATTGCTGGTTGGGGCGATTGGGATGAGGGTCTTGGGGGAGATGATGGAGATGGAAAGCGAGAGGAGGGGATGGGGCGTGGGGAGGATGGCAGGAGGGAAGGTGAGGAGGATGGGGAGATGGATTTTGAGAGGGGTAGAGAAGAGAGGGAGGAGGGTGAGGGGGAGAAGGGTGAGATGGAGGAGGGGGAGGAGGAGATGGAGGAAGGGGAAGGGGGGATGGAGGTGGATGGGGAAGAGTGGGGAGCTGGTAGGGAAGAGGGAGGAGAAGGGGAGGATTTAGAGGAGGAGAGGGAAGAGGGAGAAGAAGGGGAGGAAGTGGAGGAGGAGAGGGAAGAGGGAGAAGAAGAGAGGGAAGAAAAAGAAGAAGGGGAGAAGCGGAAAGAGGATTCAAAGGAGAGGAAGGCCAAGGAAGAACCAGGGCCATTAAGCTTTGGGACTAGAGAGAAAAAAGAGAGGAATCTGGAAGGCATTAGTGCTGCGGCAAGGATGGTGGGAGTTGAAGATGAGGCTGCGAAAAGGCCTAGTGTTGGGCTGAGGGGAGCTCCAAGTTACGAGGAAGGGTTGATGCATGGAGGGGGGGTGTTGAAATCACAGCCTCTAGTTGTGGCTGGTGGGAAGTTACGAGTTGAGAAGATTGTTACGGGAAATACAGTGGCTAAGAAAAGCAACCTTGGAAAGGTGGTGAAGCAGAAAGCAGCTGTAGGAACTGGTTTGGATGCTGGTGGCATGGTTGTAGAACGGAAGGGGCGCGGTGCTAAAGGGGGATTGTACAGAAAGGAAAAGAAAAAAGTAGACAAAAAGGCATCAATACTCGAGGACCTGTTATCGCTCTAATGCTGCAAAACGATTCCTAATATTGCTGTTTTGTAGTTTGAACATTATGAGAACGAGTATGTCAGCCTCCTGATCATGTTATTAACGAAACCACTATTCCGAGAAACCATATAACCCCCATTGGGGATACTGAATGGTGAGAATTTGGGAAATAGTGGCTTCTCCCTTGGAGAAAAACCCTCGTCGCTTGTGTCGCGAATATATCACTCTCTTGCGCTCGCTACGCCGGTCCAGTGACAGAACCCACACAATCTCAAGGGCCACAGAGCTAATTTAAAGTCCGTTGGAGTGCGTCGCGAGTATCTATCTTTAGGTGCATTGTAGTCCCGTGAGCCGTCACTAACTCGCATCGTCGTTTCGTAGACCGTCACCAAATCACATTGTCGTTCCAGGTAGCCGTTAGACGTTGGGTCCCGGTTAGGAAGCCGACAAACCGGCTAGCCGGCAAGGATGTCGGAATGGAAGCTTCGCGTGGTGTCGCTGCTGCCGGCCGCGACGGACTCCGTGACGGCCTTGGGATTGACGAGCGCGCTGGTCGCGCGCACGCACGAGGTGAATGTGACTGATGGGACGGTGGTGGATGTGACTGTGGTCAATGTGATTCGAATGCGGCTGTGGTCAATGTGACTCTGTTGAAGTCGTGACCGTAACGAAAATGTAGTCTCCATTCGCCTATTACCAGTCCTCCTCTCATCTCTACACTTCCTCCTCCTCATTCCTTCTCGCCTCTCCACCTCCCCTGTTCCCCTCTCTTCCATTCTCCCTCCTCATTCGCCCATTACTCTCCCTGTCAACCCCTCCCGTCTCCCTTCACCTCCTCTCTTTCTCTCCCTCCCTCTTTCCCAGTGCGATGCACCAGGTACGGAGTCCATCCCTGTCTGCACCGAGCCTAAGCTAGGCCCGGTAGGCGCAGGCTCGGCCGAGCCTGCAATGTCCCAAGCCGAGGTGCACATGGCAATATCAACGCTCCGAGCCTCTGCAGCCTGGCAGCTGGCCTTCCTCCCACCTCTCCCACACCCGCCTGTTGCCTCTCCCGCTGCTGCTGCTACTGGTGTTGGCGCTGCTGCTACTGCTGGTGACAGCGTGGGTAGTGCTGCTGCTGCTGCTGCTGCTGCTGCTCCCTTGTCTCCCAGTGCATCAGACCCCTCGTTCGATCTGCTGCTGGAGTGGTTCCTTTCCCCTTACCGTGTGGATGTCACCATGCTAAAACGCCTCCGACCAGACGTCATCCTCACACAGGTGAATGAGATGTAACTGTGACGCTGTGAGAGATGTAACACTCGTCCCCACGCTGCGGCATATCATCACTCCATCAAATGCACTCATTTTTACCTCATACCATCCCGGCCCACCCCATTGCCCCGCATTCAATGCAACCCCTCATAATCTGTTATCGTTCTTTCTTTGAACAAAAAATCTCCTACCATCTTGCTTTCATTTGCCTCTCTCACCCCACGGACCCATGACAAAAACAGGAAATCTCATGTGCTAGGCCCACAACAACATCCCATGCCCATCCCCATCCCTGAACCCTCCATACGGTCATACCCACACTTACACTTCCCTGCCCCCCTCCGTTTCATCCAATCAGATGCAAGAAGAGCCCGGGGTGCTTTCTTTCGAGGATGTTCAAAAAGTGCTGTCTCACGTGCTCGGCTCTCAAGTCAAGATCGTTCATCTCGACCCTCCATCCCTCGTCGAGGCGATCAACGACGTCCGTCGGATCGGCGCTGCTCTCGGCCAATCACAGCGCGCCGAGTCCAAGGTTAAGGATCTCATGCAGCGAATCCAGACCGTCCGTGGAATGTGTGCGGGCAGACCGAGAAAAAAAGTTGTCTGCATCCAATGGCTGGATCCGATTTTCCTGGCGGGGGCATGGGTCCCAGATTTGATTCGATTGGCTGGAGGCACAGGGTCAGAAAGTTCCAGGATGGTTCCTGAGGAGGAGCTCCAGGATTTAATCAGAGCCGCTGATGCGGTGATCTTTGCGGTGTGCGGCTGTGATTTGCCGGCGTCCATTGCTGCAGTGAAGCGAGAGGCTGTGCAGAAGTGGAAAATGTTTCAAAGAGGGAGGAGTGATGGAGTGGACGCTATTGGGAATGTAGAACAGTCCTTAGAAGTGTCATCACTATCATCATCATCATCATCAGCAGCAGCAGCAGCAGCAGCAGCAGCTGCACCAACACATGCGCCATCGCCGAACCTGCCCACCATGGCTGTGGTCGAGGCTGCGAAGCTGTTCTCCAGGCCCGGGCCGAGCCTGGTGGAGTCCTTGGAGGTTTTGGCAGAGATTCTCCACCCCGAAACCCAGAGGTTCGGACACCGACAGCGGTGCTGGGTCGACCTCCCCTATCCTGCTGCAGTGTAACCCACAATGTTTCAAGCAGAACACGTTGCTGGCAGTATAGGCTTCATATAGCAGCCTGGTGGAGTCCTTGGAGGTTTTAGCAGAGATTCTCCACCCCGAGACCCAGAGGTTCGGGCACCGGCAGCAGTGCTGGGTCGACCTCCCCTATCCTACTGGACCCTAAACTCGCAGGGGTATTCAGAGTTGAGGTAGCTTGTGAGGATCAAGAGACATGGGCATCAGTGTCTCACAGGAACCTAGGCTGTGTGCTGGCCTCGTGTGATTTGAGTATTTGGAGGCTCTAGCAGAGATTCTCCACCCCGAAACCCAGAGGTTCGGACACCGCCAGCAGTGCTGGGTTGACCTCCCCTATCTTGCTGGTCTCTAAATTCGCAATGACATGAGCATCAATGGCTCGTGGAACAGAACAGCCAAGTGCCCATGTATCAGCAGGAACATCTATGACCCCGAAGGACTTAGGGAAATCCCCCATCCCGAGACCCAGACCAGATGTTTGGGGACTACTATATATGCTGTGTGGAGTTTACCTTTAAGAATTTCCAAAAGTAAACTTCAGGGAAATCCCCCATCTCGAGTCGAGAGACCCAGATGTTCAGGTAGTGCTAATCATGCTGGGCTGCAATGGTTTATTCTGCTGGACTGTTTTACCTTATAGGTGTAACGTTAGGGGTTTCGGGGATATGACTGGAGGGGAACATGTGAGGGGGGGAAGAACATGTGTTGCCTTATGACATTGTAATGCAGTCATGCAAGGACACAACATGATGAGATGGTGATACGCTGGTGGACCACCACTGACCAGGTAGGCACCTACGGTACCTAGCAAGCGCAGTTTTTTACCTAGTGGGGGTATTGCTGGCTGGCAAGGCAGGATGAATACTATGTGCCTTATGACAATGTAACGCTGTCATGCACGGCACAACATGATGGGGGGGATTTAGGCAAACTCCTGTGGACCGACACTGACATACCGTAGGTACCCAAAAGTTCTGCTAGATACTAAGAAGAAGCCTGGCTCGACGAAAGCTACCCGGAAAAACCTCGGGGCAGCCAAAGCTGACCGGACCAAGACATACTTCCCTCCCTCTTGCTCCTCTTCTTCTCACTCTTGCTTCGCTTCCCTCGAAACCCCACCATGCTAGGAGTCCGACTAGTACTCACACCACCCCCTCCAGAGCTTGAGCACCCCAGATTTGATACTGGTAGCCCCAGCCTTGATAACTCCTCCAACTCCCCTTCCGCCTCCTCTCCTATCCGCGCCACTCCTGCCACACCTCCCATACCTTCCCCACCTGACTCAAAACCCATAGGCCCTCTACCTTCCCGGTCCCCATTTCCTTGCCCATTCCTTCCCTGCACCTTGCCTTGCCCTGAGGCGGTTTGTGCGAGCTCAGTCAGCGACTGCACGCGCAGCAGATCTGCATCGAGGGACTTTGACCAATCGGGGAGCGCCCTGTGCTGCAGGAAGTGAGAGATGACTGCGAGGATGCATGGGTCTCGGAAATAAGCACCATGGTTGAGGTCGAAGCGTCCCGTCAGCTCTCCAATATGCTCCTCTATCATCATGCAGAGTTGTTTGATCTGCGTGTGGGGGAAGGTAGAGGCAAGGAAAAAGCGCTCAGTGTTTGCAGGAAGTGAGAGATGACTGCAAGGATGCGCGGGTCTCGGAAATAGGCGCCGTGGTTGAGGTCAAAGCGGCCGGTCAGCTCACCGATATGCTCCTCTATCATCACGCAGAGTTGCTTGATCTGCGCGTGACAAGCAAGGAAATACAAAAGGCATGGGAGTAGGGGGGAGGCAAGGGGAACGGGTTTCTTGTTTGCAGAAAGTGAGCAATGACTACAAGGATGCGCGGATTGCAGAAGTATGCCCCCTGGTTGAGGTCAAAGTGGTACGTGAGCTTGTCAGTATGCTCCTCTCGTTTCACATACTCTCTGGCACCAAGCCATACCTTCCGTCGACTACGGTGCCGTTATCCTCTGTCACCACCTGTTTGAAGAAGTGTTTTGAGACGTCTCAAGACACCTCACACCAAGCCTCCCGCATGGACTCTCGGTCGGAGCGCCGGGGGTTCTTCTTGAATTTCCTCATCTCCCTTCGAGGCGCCAAGTAAGAACTCTCACCTGCCACCATCCATACCTGCCGCACAAACTCTCTGTCAGTCAGCCGAGGGTTCTTCTTCATTCTCCTCATCTCCGATCGCAACAGCCGGTACGTGCCTGATGCTGCTGCTGCCTCTTCCAGCTTCCTATCGTTCCACAGAAACTCGTACAGAAGTTGCTGCTGCTGCTCTCCAATCCCCTCCATCTGCTGCTGCTGCTTCTGCTGCTGCTCTCTCTTCTCTCCCTCCTCCTTGTTCTCATTACTGCAATTTTCCTTGTCCTCCTGCTCCTCCAGGAAATATCCCACCTCGTCCTCTTCAGTTCCAACCGCAGATGAAACTGCAAGTGACGAAGCACCTATGACACCCACTGAATCACCCATCGATACACCCACCGAAGCACCCACCGAAGCACCCACCAGAGCACCCACGGAACCAGCCACCGAACCACCCACCGCCCCCACAGAATCGTCACAAACAGGCTCCTCTATACAACCTCCCACTCTCTTCCATGTTACCGCCCGGACACTCCTTATCCCCCCCACATCCTTCGCTTCCCCCACCTCAACTCCCTTCCCTCCTCCACCTCCCACCGTTTTGCCCACACCACCACCCTCCCCCTCGCTCTCATGCCCTGAGGCTCCTCCTCCATCCCCCATATTAACCTCCCCAGTAACATCCTGAGCCAGGCTCCCGCTATTCCCACCCACGTCGTTACCATCCTCATCGCTCTCAACCCATCTGATCCAACTCCAAAGGCTCCTCCTGCTTCCCTCCCTGCTCTCGCTCCTCCTGCTGCCTTCCCTGCTCTCGCTCCTCCTCCTGCTGCTGTTATTGTCAACTGGCTCCCTATTGTTCTGTGCCCTGCTGTTGCTACTGCTTTTGCTGCTTGCATGCTCATCGCTCACAAATAAACTAATCCACTCCCAAGGGTTTCCCTTACTGCTACCCCTGTTGTCGCTCCTGCTGCTGCTGCTGCTGCTGCTCCTGCCGCTGGCATGCTCCTTGCTCTCAGTAAACCTAGGCACTTCTCTCACATTTACCATTTCGCTTTTCGCCCTCCGTCTGCCTGAAAATTTGCTCTCCACAGGGTGATTTTCCAAGAGATTATTTCTGAACAGCTGACTCTCCACTAGTTTTTCTGACCGGGCTGCCCGGGAAAGCCATGTGCGGGCGAAGGAGCGAGCCCTGTCATTCCCATGCAGTTTCACCCGGGCAGCATGTGAAGGAGCAGTAGGAGAAGCTGTACCTTCAGCAGTAGAATCATCATCACCATCATCATCAGAAGCAGCAGCAGCAGCAGCAGCTCCAGCAGAAAAAGTGCCAAAGGGAATGCACAGAGAGGTTTCAAACGAGTCCTTTTGTGATTCGCATCTCGCAATCTGCCTCCTCCTCCGCAAAGTCTTCTGCGTCACAAGAAGGCGGTGCTGTAACGGGGTTACCAACATGTGATGGTGCGGTGACGGGAAGGATGGCACATGATGCTCTAGGGGGGCTGCAGGTAAGTGATTGTTCCGGGGGGTGGGAGTGGGGTGGTTGGGATGTTTGGGTGGCAAAGCAGAGGTGTGATGTGCGGTGGTGTGCGGTGTTGAGGGAAACTTCTTTGGGAGGTGAGTGGGAGGGATTGATGCTGCTTCTGCCTCAGCTCCTCCTGCTGCTGCTGCTGCTGCTGCTTCTGCTCCTCCTGATGCTGCTGTTGGTGCTGCTACTTCTGCTACTGCTCCTGCTCCTGCTCCTGTTCCTTCTGCTCCCACTCCTTCTCTTTCTGCTCTTGCTCCTGCTGCTGCTGCGTCTTTTTCCATCCCCTCCTCTTCCCCTCTCCCCTCCCTCCCCTCCTGCCGCACCTCCTCCCTCTCCCCCTCCCTCCCCCTCTCCCTTCCCCGTGACAATAACGAACGTGCCTCAAGCCAGCGCGTCTCATCCCCCTCCCCACCCAGACCCAGCCCCTCGATTAAATCACCTCCCTCACTGTCACCCCCACCCGCATCTACAGTATCATCATGGTAACCAGGTAACAGCTTCCCTTGCAACGAATTTGTCTTAGCTTCAGCCAGAAGCTTCTGAACATTCCAGTGCTCCACGTGGTGGGACCACAGGTGCAGGTCCAACACTTCATCTACGTACACACTTGCGAAGCTCAGCTCGTTGGGAGAAAGGCCGAACGCGATCGTTACAATCACGCTCCGTACAGTCTCGACTAGTGCTGGTGCTACGATGTGGGAGATGAGCGAGAGCAGGGCGAAGGGGACGAGGAAAATGGCGTTCCAGAGAATCACTCTGATGAGATTGATGAAGTATAGGAACCAGAGGAGGAAGAGGCGTGCTTGGGTGTTGTTAGGACGAGCGTGAGAGGAAGAAGAGGAGGAGGAGGAGGAGAGTAAAGCGGAAGTTGAGAAAGAGGAGGAGGAGGAGGAGGAGGAGGAGGTGGGGACAGGAGGGAGGGGAATCCAAAAAGACATCTTGATGACGTTTCTTAGCTCGGGAAAGACGTAGGCGCGCGCGATTGGCTCGACGGAAAGTGCCAGGCTGGCTTCGTCTAATTTGCCGGCGTGGACCACGAGTGCTGACATGGCAGGCGACCAGTGGTAACCGGGCGCGTGGTAGATGTTACCGTTGTAGTATGCAGGTTGGAGCCACGACTGCAAGAGAGGAAGGCAGAGGGCAGGAGAGGCAGAGAGAGGAGAGGCAAGGAGAGGAGAGGCAAGGAGAGGAGAGGCAAGGAGAGGAAAGGCAGAGAGAGGAGAGGAAAGGAGAGGAGAGGCAAGGAGAGGAGAGGCAAGGAGAGGAAAGGCAGAGAGAGGAGAGGAAAGGAGAGGAGAGGCAAGGAGAGGAGAGGAAAGGAAAGGAAAGGCAGAGAGAGGAGAGGACAGGAGAGGAGAGGCAAGGAGAGGAGAGGAAAGGAGAGGAGAGGCAGAGAGAGGATATGAGGCGCAATAAATAAGGGAGTAGGGTCTGCCGCACATACCTCTGAAGATAAATAAGCTTGCACCGCGAGACTGACGATACCAAACAGACCCCACCACAGCCACCACCACCACCAGTGGTCACAGCAGCAGGTAATTCACCTCCACATGGATACTCACGGCGCACACACATCAAGTTGGGTACTCATGCATACACACATGCATACACACATGCATACACAAAGGCATACACACATGCATACACACATGCATACACACATGCATACACACATGCATACACACATGCATACACACATGCATACACACATGCATACACACATGCATACACACATGCATACACACATGCATACACACATGCATACACACATGCATACACACATGCATACACACATGCATACACACATGCATACACACATGCATACACACATGCATACACACATGCATACACACATGCATACACACATGCATACACACATGCATACACACATGCATACACACATGCATACACACATGCATACACACATGCATACACACATGCATACACACATGCATACACACATGCATACACACATGCATACACACATGCATACACACATGCATACACACATGCATACACACATGCATACACACATGCATACACACATGCATACACACATGCATACACACATGCATACACACATGCATACACACATGCGTCAAGAAAGAAGTTCTCACATAAATAGGCTTGCACGGCGATGCTGATGATGCCAAATAGACCGACCACAGCCACCAGCACCAGCGGCCAGAACAGCAGCTGTTTCACCTCCACACAGATACTCACAACGGTGCACAGACATCAAGAATTGGGTACCCATACATTCACACACCTCGGCGGATAAATAGGCTTGCACGGCGATGCTGATGATGCCAAATAGACCCACGATTGCCACCACCACCAGAGGCCACAGTAACAGCCGGTTCACCTCCAAGTGAGCCGCCTCCATCACCACCACTTCCCAGAGCACCACATACCCCAGCACCACTCCAAACACCGCCGCAACGGACAGCACCGTCGCCACCACCAGCCGGAACACCCCTGCGCGGTCCCATTTCTTGACATAGAAAGGGGTTCCAAGGAACACGAGGGAGCCAAGGGCGTTGGACAGAGGCGAAGTGGCGAGGCGGTGGGAGAGGAAGATGCGTTGACGGGTGGCAGGGAGGCCGAGGAGGGAGTCGAGCCAGCGGTAGCGCCCCCAGGGGTAGCGCTCCTGGCTCTTGTGCTTGTGCGTGCTGGGGTGGAGACTGGTTGGGAGGGGAAGGGGGTGGGTGCGAAGAGGAATAGGTGTTGGCTGCTGAAAAGGAAGCCGAGGAGTCAAGTCGAGCCAGCCGTAACGCCCCCAGGGGTAGCGCTCCTGGCTCTTGTGCTTGTGCGTGCTGGGGTGGAGGCTGGTTGGGAGGGGTTGGGAGGGGGGAGAGGAAGATATAACATTTGAATGACTGCTAAAGGGAAGGGAGGCACAGGAGGGAGTAAAGCCAGCCATAGCGCCCCCAGCGGTAGCGCCCCCAGGGGTAGCGCTCCTGGCTCTTGTGCTTGTGCGTGCTGGGGTGGAGACTGGTTGGGAGGGGAAGGGGGTGCGTGGGAAGAGGAATAGGTGTTGATTGCTGAAAAGGAAGCCGGGAGGGAGTCAAGCCAGCATAGGCGCCCCCAGGGGTATCGCTCCTGGCACTTGTGCTTGTGCGTGCTGGGGTGGAGACTGGTTGGGAGAGGTGGGATATGGATGGAGAGGGGTATGGATGGAGCAATAGGTGAGAAGCTTTATAAATGTCTAAGAAAACTTGCAACAGGTAAAGGGATCGCAGAACCAAAGAAATAAATAAAAAAGAGTACCGGAAAAAAACGAAACGAAAAAAACTCATAGAAACATGTGTCGGCTTTAAGGGCAGCACCTTTGAAACACGATGGGCGTGGGCAGCCACCGCCGCCACCCAGACCAGCGAGATTTGATTTGATTCGGACTCCTCCACTTGCGAATCAAATCGTATCCGTTCCTGTGCGCCGCCCAAAACTCCTGCTCCACCAAAGGGTGCAAGTCAGCTGGTGATTGGCTGCTTAACTGTCGGATGTACTGACAAGGGAGAGGGGGAAGAGAGGAAGGAGAGACAGGGGGACAGTGGGGGAGAGGGAGGGATGTTTGGGTTGGCTTTAAGTCTTTTCGCTGGTAGGTAATCAGGTTCTTGGATTTCTGGGAATACAAAGGGTTGGTATTAAAAAAGAAGAAAAAAAAAAAATAAAAAAATGGAAAGAGGAAGGGAAAAAGAAAAAGAAAAAGGAAAAATCACCCAACTGAGCAGAAATTTGTGGGAAAAAAAAATGGAGAAGTGATTTTCCTGTGAAAATTCCCCAGACACTCACCAGCTCCACTGCTTTGAGCAGCACGTTTCCCCCATGGGAATGAGCGATAATGTGTATCCTCGCTGCAGGGTCGCTGCAGGCAATATCCGTTATAAGCAACGCGAGCTGAGACCGGGGTGGGGGGGAGTGAGGAGGAGGGGGGGAAGGGGAGCGGGGAACGGAAAGGAACGAAAACGGGGGAGAAAAAGGGAGGGGGAGGGAAGGGCGTGGAGCTTCATTAGAAGCACTATTTGCAGAATGTAGCAGTGGGAGACGGAAAAATTGCCCTCGTTTCAGGGTAACCCATTTGCCAACGATGGGTACACCCCGCTACTAGACTCGACCCAACCCCTCCGCACCTTCTCGGCAGCTTCCACCCTCCCCTTGTGCGTGTTCGTGCCGTCCCAATGGAAAGGGTACGGCGCGGCGCCTTGCCGGCCACCGGCAGCCCTGCCAGCCGCGGCGCAGCCGGCCGGCAGCTTCCGCCACACGCTGTCTGCTCCTAACGGCCCGCGCGCCAGAAGCGCGCCAATTTTGGAACAAAAGTTGTGTTTGCCGGGAACCGCGGGCTGATACCACGTGTGGGTTCCGTCGGACGGTGGTGCGTCGAAGGTTCCGTGCACCACGATCACGTAGTGCGTCTCGCGCGTCGCGTTGAAATCCAACCGTCGCACGCGGAAGCCCGTTTCCAAATCGACGGCTGACGTTTCGCGCCCGCAAGATGATTCCGATTCGTAATCGACAAATCCCGGGAGAGGGAACTCTTGACCTGCAACCTCGGTAAGAGGATTTGCCACGTCATCTGGAGGCTGAGCCACGTCATGGTGAATGTCGTACGGGTCTTCGGGCTCCTGGAAGCTTACGTGCTTCACTACGCGCCGCGAAGGACCACTAATAGCGTCGATTTCGCTTCGGGAGGAAGGATTTGTAGCACCCCGTGAGTCCTGCATGATAATTCTCGGCCGCTTGCGGGAGCTTCTTAGTATTATTAACCTGCCGGCCTCCGTTACCGTGAACGTCACTGTCACCGTCCGTCACGGTCACCGTCAGCACCCCTGTACCAAACCTTACTGTGCAACGCGAGTACTGTGCTCTCCTCAAACACTACCGCAAGTTGCGAACTCCCTAGATTTACCGTACTGAAAACTTCTGGAATGTACTGAAACGTGCACAGCATAAAAAGAACCAAATTGAACCGAAGACAACAGTGACGCCGAACAAACTTGGCAACCCTGTGGAACTTCTGTGGGTGTACAGTACAACTGTGGCGGAGCTTCCAAAGTTGCCGTCAGTGTTCGGGCCGCACCGCCCCACCCCACCTCCCCCTCCACCTCGTGATTCGCTCCGTAAATTTCGGTGAGCCTATCGAACCGTTCCACATCGCGGTGCACCCCTGGAATCATTCACCCATCTTAATTGAACACCACACTGAGAAAGCTATATTTTTACTCCTTATATTTATTTGTGTTTTTTTCTTCTTCTCCTTTCTTAATTCTTCCCCCTTTGCTTCTTTCTTGTATCCCTGCAAGCCAGTTTCGCCACTTTAGTCGCTTCTCCTGGATATGCTATCTTTGTGAGGAAAATTGATTGATGGAAGAGTCCTTTGTGTAATTGACGCAGCACATGGCATGGAAGAGCAATTTGCACGATGATGTTCAGGCAAAACAAAACACACCTGCGCAGGCAGATAGCTTTGCCAAGGAACCTAGAGGGTGTATAGGCGTAGCAAACGAGTGCTGGAGAAAAGGAATAACTCGCTCAGACATTGTTCTACACTGCTATCATAGTCATGAAGAATCAGCATCACTCAGAATCCACCAGCTATATGTAACCAGCCAGCAGCCGTTACAACTCAAACACAACCGTCTCTGCATCTGTCAGTCAGACCCCCATTCACCCCACTAACCCCTCTCTCACCAGTTCACCCACCCTGCCTCCTCCCCATCTCATCTCACCCTTTCAAGACTTTATCCCACACCATGCCTTGAGACGTCTTTGTTCCCTCCCCACATCCATATAATCATGCTCCTCATTCCTCCTCTTGAGACGTCTCAAAGGTCACTCAGGAATCACCAGCCACTCACTCACTCACTCACTCACTCACTCACTGTCTCCCCGCGTCAACCCCTACTCTTCCTCCCATAACCCCTCCATTTCATCGCTCTCCTCATTCCCCTCCTGCCCATCCATGAACCCCCCCTCCCCCTCGTTATAGTCACCTCCTCTTCCTCCTCCGCCTCCTGCCCCTGCAGCACCAAACCCCTCACTGCTGTGCACAAATCGGCTGCTGCTGCCACCTCTATTGTCACGATCGGAATAGACACCACCAGCACCGGCACTATCACTATCAACCCCATCACCATCACCACCATCATCATCATCATCATCATCACCATTACCCCCACCGTCACTGTAACCAGCACCAGCAGCAGCAGCACCACCACCACCATCACCACTACCACCACTTGCTCCAGCAGAGTAAGCCCTATAACCTTGCCCCAAACCCCTTCCCCTCCCTGCTCCTCCCCATCCTCCTTCCCTCCTCTCCTCCCCCTCTCCACCTCCCCACCTGCCATCACCCCTGTAATTCTTCTCCTCACTCTCCTCCTCTTCACTTTAGCTTCTGCAAACGGGACCCCCCCACTCCCCCCCTCCCCATCGCTCCCCTCCCCTCCTCCAACTCCTCCCCCTGTCCTTCCCCCTATTGCTCCGCCCACCCCTCCCCCTCCCCCTTCTTCCATCCCCTCTGCTCCCCCATCCCCTTGACTGCCAATCACTGCAATATCTGCCACCTTTGCGCCCCTCCCCCTGCCTCTTCCCCTCCCCCGCCCCCTTCCTCTCCCCCGTCCCCCACCTGCTCTCCCCCCCCCCTCCTCTCCCCCTCCCCCTCCTACCACCCCCCCTCCCTCTCCCACCCCTTCCTCTTCCCCGCCCGCCCTCCACCACCCCCTCTCCCCCCACCCCTCCCTCCCCACCCACATCCACACTATCCTCTTTGTCACTCTCATCCCCCCCTAACACTTCCACCCCCTCCTCCTCTCCACCTGCCCTCCCCTCCTCCCCCTCCCTCCTCTCCACCTTCAGCCTCTTCCTCTCCCTCCTCTGCATCAGCCTCTCAGCCTTCTCTGTTAAAATCTCCTGGGCGTCCCTCCCCTGCTCAATCACCTGAAGCCACTGCGACTCACTCAGCGCGTCCGTATAAACCACCTGCTTCCGCTTCCTCCTCCCCATCTCCACCCCCACACCATCCTCCCCCACCCCCCCCTCCCCTCCTTCCCCTCCCTCCCCCCCCTTAAAAAACACCCACTCGGGCACCTCGTCTTTTTCCATCAGTCCAAGCCGCGCCGACCCATACTGCCGCCTGCGCATCTCATCCATCCTCTCAAACATCTCAAACTCCTCCTCCGTCCTCGCTATAAGCCGATTCGTCTCACTCTCATCCGGCAAATCAGGAGCCAAATCCGGAATCTTCCCTCGCTTCATTATCTGCTCCAGCAGCTCTCTCCTCTCCTGCGCCGTAGACGTCGTATTGAACATCCCCGCTTGAATCACCTTCGCATCGATCCCCATCTTGTTCTTCGCCCTCTCTAAAATCTCCTCCTCTATAGACCCCACGCTTACAAGCACAAACACCCGAACCTCCCTCTTCTGCCCGATCCTGTGCGCCCGATCCTCCGCCTGCTGATCCATCTGGGGGTTCCAATCAGAATCAAATAAAATCACCGTATCTGCCGTCTGCAGGTTCAGCCCAAGCCCGCCCGCCCGGGTGCTCAGCAGGAAGATAAAGTACGGCGAATCCGGAGCATTGTACAGCTGTAACAAGCGGCCTCTTTCGTCTGTTTTGGTCATGCCGTCCAGACGCAGATAAAGCATGCCGACCGATCTCAGGTAATCCTCCAATAAATCCATCACCTTTGTCATCTGAGAGAACATCAAAATCCTGTGCCCCGCAGCCTGTAGCTTGGGCAGAATCCGGTCCAGCAGCTCAAATTTTCCGCTTGCCCGGACGCGCTCGTTGGGAGATTGCGGCTGGTATGGGTGGTCTAGTGCGTCTAGAAGGAAGAGGTAGGGGTGGTTGCAGCACTTGCGCAGCTGCATGGCAGTGTTCTGAAGGGCCCTGGATTTGCCTCCCCCCCGTTGTCGTCTAGGCCGACGCACCCGCGGAGACGATTTGGGAGTAGTATTCGCGCTGCCAGGCAGACATGTCGCATTTGAGGATGACTTGGCGTTTTTGAGGCAGGAACTTCTCGACTTCGGATTTCTTTCGACGGAGAATGAAGGGACGGATGACCTGTGTTTAGGGGAGGAGAAGGGGCGGGGAAAAGGGGGGGGGGGGGGGGGGGGGGGGGGGGGGTTTGATGATAGGGGACAGGGGGAAATCGCCCTCGATTTGCCTCCTCCGCCGTTGTCGTCTAGGCCAACGCAGCCCGCGGAGACGATTTGGGAGTAGTACTCGCGCTGCCAGGCGGACATGTCGCATTTGAGGATCACTTGGCGTTTCTGCGGGAGGAATTTCTTGACTTCTGACTTCTTTCGGCGAAGAATAAAAGGGCGGATGACCTGTGGGGGGGAAGGGTGGGGAGAGGAGAGGCGGCCGGGAGGGGACGGGGAGGGAGGAGAGAGATGGAAAGAGGAAATTAGAGGCAGAGACGATTTGGGAGTAGTACTCGCGCTGCCAGGCGGACATGTCGCATTTGAGGATGACTTGGCGCTTCTGAGGGAGGAATTTCTCGACTTCTGACTTCTTTCGACGCAGGATGAAGGGCCGGATGACCTGGGGGGGGTTGAGTGGAGGGGTTGGGAGAGGAGGGGTGGGAGAGGGAGGAGGAGGGGAAGCAAGGGAAGAGAGATGGAGAGGAGGGGAGGGGAGGGAAGGGGAAAAAGGGAAAGGCGATTTGGGAGTAGTACTCGCGCTGCCAGGCTGACATGTCGCATTTGAGAATGACTTGGCGCTTCTGCGGAGGAATTTCTCGACTTCTGACTTCTTCCGATGCAGGATGAAGGGGCGGATGACCTGTGTTTGTGGAAGGGGGGGGGAAGGGGGACGGGGGGGAGAAGGGATGGGAGGAGGGGAAAAGGGGAAGAGGGTAGAGAGGAGTAGGAGAAAACGGAGGACAGTGGGGAAGTGAGGAAAGAGGAAAGGAGGGGCCGATTTGGGAGTAGTATTCGCGCTGCCAGGCTGACATGTCGCATTTGAGGATGACTTGGCGCTTCTGCGGGAGGAATTTCTCGACTTCGGACTTCTTTCGACGCGGGATGAAAGGGTGGATAACCTGTGTGGGGGGGGTGGGTGGGTGGATGGAGGGGAGGCGGTGGGGAGGGGACGGGGAGCGAGGAGGACGTTGAGGGAGGAGAGAGATGGAAAGAGGAAATAAGAGGCAGAGGCGATTTGGGAGTAGTATTCTGAGGGAGGAATTTCTCGACCTCTGACTTCTTTCGACGCAGGATGAAGGGGGGGATGACCTGGAGGGGGGTGGGGGGAGAGGAGGGGGACGAGCGGATCGAAAAGGGTGAGATGGAGGGGAAAAGTGAAAGAAGTGTGGCTTGTGACAAACCAAACCCACCGGGTGATTGATGAATCACAACAACAACACCTTCAACCCACCTGGTGCAGTCTCCGAATGACCAGCAGCTGTTCCTCCTCGTTCAGTGTCACATGCACACCTACCCACATCGCACACCTACCCACATCGCACACCTACCCACATTGCACACCTACCCACATCCCACAGAACAACACCAAACCCAAACCCACCTGGTGCAGGCGTCTGATCACAAGAAGCTGTTCCTCCTCGTTCAGAGTCACATCGCACTTATCCGCAAACGGCGCGTTGAACCAGTCCTCGAAATTATCGCTCGAGTTGAAAATCGCGGGCAGAAGAAAATTCAGCAGCGCCCACAGCTCCCCGAGGCTGTTCTGAATCGGCGTCCCGGTCAGCAAAAGTCTTTTCCGGATCGAGTAACCCGCCACCAGCGTTTTACTAAGTACTGATTCGTGGTTCTTAAGCCGATGCCCCTCGTCTACTATCACATAGTGCCACTTAATCTTTTTAAGAACGCCTTATCCCTGATAATAAGATCATAGTGCGTCAGCAGCACACTGAACTTATACTCCTCCCCTTCTGGCCCTGTCACGCCCCCTCCTCCTCCACCCGCTCCCCCCCCCCCCCTCCTCCCCCCGACTCCTCACTCCCCCAATCATCATCCACCACACTCCCTCCTCTCCCTCCCCTTCCCCCCCTCCCTCCTCCCCTCCACCCGCCCTCCGCCCCCCTCCTCCTCTCCTCCCAGCCAGCACCCCTCCGAACTTCTCCCTCAAAAGCCTCCTCTCGTCCTGCCTCCCATCATACATCACCACTTTGCAACTCGGAAACCACGCCGCAAACTCCACTCCCCAGTTCGGTAGCACAGCCTTAGGAGCCAGCACCAGATGCGGCCCGTAATCCCCCTTTTTCTCCGCCATAAACGCGATAAACGCGATCGTTTGTATTGTTTTTCCGAGCCCCATTTCGTCCGCCAAAATGCCGTTTAAATTGTTATTATAAAGGGAGACCATCCACTGTAGCCCCTCCATCTGATACTGCCGAAGCTGCCGACCATGTGACAATAACGAGGGCTGTTCCGTCACCTTCTCTTCTATCGAATGCACTGCCCGGTCATACCGCCTCTGCCCCTCCATTAAATCACGCTTCGACTGCCCTGCTGCTCCCTCCGGCTGCCCCTCCTGCCCTTCCCCTGTCCCCCCTCCCTCCCCTCCTGCTCCCCCATCCGCCTCTGCAGCTCCCCTCCCCTCCCCTCCCCCAGCAGCAGCATCAACACCCCCTCCATCCCCCCCACCACCACCCCCACCACCAAAATCTTTCTGCTTCTGCACCATCGCTCCCAGCCTCTGTAAAAGCTCATCCGTTTTCCCCAATAGAGTGTGCAACCTCTCATTCTTACTCTCCTCGACTAATTTGAAATACGCCTCTTGGTCTCCGGCTTTAAGTGCCTGCACGCGCATCCGCTCGGCGCGCGACGCGCGCTGCTTCTGACGCGCGTGCCACGTCAGCACGCCGTCGCTGCGCTGCTTCCGCCGCCGCTGCTCCGCCAGGCTGGCAGCTGACATGTCGCGCCCTGCCTGCGCCACGTCAGCGAAGAACCGGGCGGCGGATTCTACCGAGTCTGCCGCCCGACGAGCCCTTCGAGCCGCCTTTGGAAGGGGGAGGGGGGGGTGTGGTGGGGGGTGGGGTTGTGGGGGGCGGGGGTGTGGTAGGGTGGGGAGGGGGGGGGGGGGGGGGGTAGGGGAGATTGGGGGAAAAGAAGGGCGAAACAAGGGATGGCAGCAGCATGAATCGCTCTCGAAACCCAGACGGGAAAACCAACAGAACAAAAAATCAGGCCACACGAAACACGGAAGAAGAAGCCTGATTTGTGGTAAACGGTGGTCGTCCTTGTGTGACTTTTGAGAATTCTCAAAAGTACACGGTGGGTAGATGGTGGCCGCTGCAACATCTCTCTTTCTCACCTCAATGGCCTCTGAAGCTTCAAAATCCAGATCCAGGACCCCACCAACGCCAATGCCATTAACCCCAAGCCCACAACCAGCAGCCCTTGCAGCCGCTGCAACATCTTTCTTTCTCACCTCAATGGCCTCTGAAGCTTCAAAATCCAGATCCAGGACCCCACCAACGCCAATCCCATTCACACCAGCCCCACCACCAGCAGCCCTTGCAGCCGCTGCAACATCTCTCTTTCTCACCTCAATGGCCTCTGAAGCTTCAAAATCCAGATCCAGGACCCCACCAACGCCAATGCCATTAACCCCAAGCCCACAACCAGCAGCCCTTGCAGCCGCTGCAACATCTCTCTTTCTCACCTCAATGGCCTCCGAAGCTTCAAAATCCAGATCCAGGACCCCACCAACGCCAATGCCATTAACCCCAAGCCCACAACCAGCAGCCCTTGCAGCCGCTGCAACATCTCTCTTTCTCACCTCAATGGCCTCTGAAGCTTCAAAATCCAGATCCAGGACCCCACCAACGCCAATGCCATTAACCCCAAGCCCACAACCAGCAGCCCTTGCAGCCGCTGCAACATCTCTCTTTCTCACCTCAATGGCCTCTGAAGCTTCAAAATCCAGATCCAGGACCCCACCAACGCCAATGCCATTAACCCCAAGCCCACCACCCGCTGCCCTAGCAGCCGCTGCAACATCTTTCTTTCTCACCTCAATGGCCTCTGAAGCTTCAAAATCCAGATCCAGGACCCCACCAACGCCAATCCCATTCACACCAGCCCCACCACCAGCAGCCCTTGCAGCCGCTGCAACATCTCTCTTTCTCACCTCAATGGCCTCTGAAGCTTCAAAATCCAGATCCAGGGCCCCACCAACGACAATGCCATTAACCCCAAGCCCACAACCAGCAGCCCTTGCAGCCGCTGCAACATCTCTCTTTCTCACCTCAATGGCCTCTGAAGCTTCAAAATCCAGATCCAGGACCCCACCAACGCCAATCCCATTCACACCAGCCCCACCACCAGCAGCCCTTGCAGCCGCTGCAACATCTCTCTTTCTCACCTCAATGGCCTCTGAAGCTTCAAAATCCAGATCCAGGACCCCACCAACGCCAATGCCATTAACCCCAAGCCCACAACCAGCAGCCCTTGCAGCCGCTGCAACATCTCTCTTTCTCACCTCAATGGCCTCTGAAGCTTCAAAATCCAGATCCAGGACCCCACCAACGCCAATGCCATTAACCCCAAGCCCACCACCCGCTGCCCTAGCAGCCGCTGCAACATCTTTCTTTCTCACCTCAATGGCCTCTGAAGCTTCAAAATCCAGATCCAGGACCCCACCAACGCCAATCCCATTCACACCAGCCCCACCACCAGCAGCCCTTGCAGCCGCTGCAACATCTCTCTTTCTCACCTCAATGGCCTCTGAAGCTTCAAAATCCAGATCCAGGACCCCACCAACGCCAATGCCATTAACCCCAAGCCCACAACCAGCAGCCCTAGCAGCCGCCGCCGCCGCTGCCGCTGCATCTCTCTTCCTCGCCTCTATCTCAAACCCTAAACCCTCCTCGTAATAATCCTCGTCCCACAAATCCTCCCATCCCCCTCCCCCTCCCACGCCTCCACGTCCTCCTCCGATGGTTTCATGCCAGGTGGCAACTGCCACCTCAGCATCGCACGTTCCACGTCAGCATGCGTCAGACGCAGCAGGCTCCAGTCCAGCAGCGGCTGGTGCCGCCCGTGTGCCACGTTGGCCTTCATGATTCGCTCCTCCTCCTCCTTTCTCACTCGCTCGTCCCTCTCCTTATCCACTTTCTCACTCTCTTCCCCCTCTCCTACTATCTCTATCTCACTCTCCTCTAGCTCTACTGCTCTCCATTTCTTTCCCACCCGCTCTCTTTCCACTGCCACGTCATCTTCTACCACTTTGACCACATCCGGCTCCTCATCCAGCTCAGCACGCGCCACGTCAGCATCTGCCACGTCAGCATGCCCGTTCACCAAAGGACCAGTCAGCGCGCCGCCCGAAGCCCAGTCAGCAATCCTCTTCTCAGCGAGCACTTCAAAACCAACCTTCCTCTGCAGCCCACGAAGCTTCAGGCACCTGAGCTGGATCTCCAATGATCGTCTGACAGCTGGCACCTGCACCACCGCCAGCAAGGATTCCAATTTCGCAATCCTCTCTCCCACTTTCTCACTCTCCTCCCTCTCCCCTTCCTCCACAAGTTTCACCCACTCCCCCTCTCTCACCATCTCCCTCCCTGCCCTCACTCTCTCCTCTGCCGCCCGCCTTATCCTCCTGAGCGCCTCGATCTTCTGACGCACCAGCTGCGGCGGGAACAGGCCCGCCAGCTGGCGGTCCGTGAGTGGCTGGCCGGCCGCCAGCGTGGCGAAGCAGTCGCGCTGCGATTGGAGGAGGGCGAGCTGAGCTGGCGTGAGTGGGAAAGGAGGAGAGGCGGAAGGAGGGTCGGCGGGTGTAGGAGTAGGCGGAGGAGGAAAGGGGGAGGGAGGTGTGAGGATGGAGCGAGGGTAGCAGGAGGGGGAGGGGATGGAGGAAGAGGAGAGGGAAGAGGAGTGGGAAGAGGAGTGGGAAGAGGAGTGGTAGCAGACAGAAGGACAGGAGCTCCAGCAGCAGCAGTATCCATAGCAGCAGCACCCGCTCCAGTCTCTGCCTTCACAGCAACTGGATTGGGAGTTGACTCGGGAACCTCAATACTCGCTGCCAAACGAGTGTCTATCTGAGCGTCAGGTGGTTCAGTGCACACAGGAACACTTCGTGTTACACCCTGGGTTGCGCTCTGGGTTACACTTTTCGTTACACACTGGGTTGCGCTCTGCGTTTCACCAGCCTTGACTGGTACACTTGCCACATCTGGCACAGGAGCAGGAATCTCAAGAGCAGCGGTTGAAGAACCCTTAGGTGCACTGCTTTCGCCAGCTGCTGCTGCCCCCTCCTCATGTTGCCGCTCTCCCTCTTTCTCCTCTTCCTTTTTCTCCTCTTCCTTTTTCTCCACTTCCTTTTTCTCCACTTCCTTTTTCTCCACTTCCTTTTTCTCCTCTTCCTTTTTCTCCACTTCCTTTTTCTCCTCTTCCTTTTTCTCCACTTCCTTTTTCTCCACTTCCTTTTTCTCCACTTCCTTTTTCTCCACTTCTTCCTTTTTCTCCAATTCCTTTTTCTCCACTTTCTTTTTCTCCTCTTCCTCCATCTCCCCTTTCTGCGTCCCCTTCTCCCCCTTCTCTTCCCGTTCTCTTCTTCTCCCTTCTCTTCTTCCCCTTTCTCTTCTCCCTTCTCTTCGTCTCCCTTCCCTTCTCCCCCTTTCTTTTTTTCTCCCTTCTCTTCTTCCCCCTTCTCCTCACGTCCTAATTCCTCTTCCCCAAACAGTTTTCTTCCCTTATCATCTTCCCGCATCTCCTCTCCCCCCTTCTCCTCTCCCTCCATATCCTCTTCCCCTATCCCTCCCCCTCTTCTCTGCTCCTCCTCTCCCCCCTCTCTCCCCACTCCCCCCTGATCCACACCACACCCACTCGCAGGAGCAAAATCACCTCCATCGCCCCCGTTGTCGTCACCACCGTCTACTGTCACCTCTCCGTCCAATTTTTCACCTTCCCCCTCCCTTTCCCCTTCCACCAACGCGCCTTCCCCTTGACTCTCCGCCAGCGAGCCTTCCCCTTGCCCCTCCGCCAAAATGTCTTCCGATCCGCCCATTCCCACGCCTTTCCCTTCACCTGCTTCCGCTCCTCCCACATCCTTCCCCGCGCCCCCTTCCGCCACTGGCTCCGCGTTTCCCCTTTCTCCTGCCAATTCCGCTCCCTCCACGACATCTAAATTCGAACCTCCGCCCGTAGCGCCAGTCCCGCCTTCCGCCAAACCTTCCGCGAGGCCTTTTGCCGCGGTTCCCTCCGCGGGCTCCGCAGCAGGGTCCGCGGAGCCCTTCGCCGGATCCATTGCGCCCGGCCTTCCCTTACGCCACTTTCGTTACAAGATTTGCGCGAGTGAAACCGACGTCTCTCAGACGTCTCGACCCAAAAGTCACTCTCCTCAGTCTCAAAATAACCTTTGATACAAGAAACCGCGTGTAATGAGTAGATTTTTGAATCGACTAAGAAACGTGAGAGATTTCAAATCTCTCAGACGTCTCGACCCAAAAGTCACTCTCCTCAGTCTCGAATGCTCGGGTCGAGGGGCCGTGGGGTCCGCGTGGACCTTCAGGACAATAAGAACCGATTGTAAAACGAACGGCTTCTATTCCCGCCTTCGGGAGATTAAAGATCCGCCAGGCCAATTCCCTTCCTGAAAACACTTCAAAACACCCCGCGCACGTCGAGATTAGTGGTCAAGTTTGTGGCCCTAAACTGAAGTCGTCAGCTCGAAGCCAAACACAAGCGCGAGTCTGCAGCGGCCAACCACAGTAGCCGAGGAGCAATCGCAGACTGCAGGCGTGCTTTTGGCTTCAGGCGTACTTTTTGGCTTCGATGGAAACCAAAGCCGTAGCCTCGGGATTAGGTCAAAAGTTCTTTCGGCCTCAAACGGAAAGAATCAGCTAGTGGTAACTATATGCGATAAATACGTCTTCTTTCGCAGCCAACCATACATAAACGTGCAATTTGTCGAGTAGGAACTGCAGCATTACAATAGTACAGTAATACTGGTACATAGTTGCAGCTTTACTGAACTCCGTCAGAAGTGTAAAATAAGCAATTCAGAAAGAATGGATCTTCACATCACATCCAGAAATGCATTGTTACATGATTTGTTTCATTGGGACACTATGGTTGCATGATGCATGGACGGCATGGCTTATGAAGAGGAGGCTCCCTGAAAGCGTGTCTGCAAGAACTTTATGGCCGTTCGAATGTTGCAATCTGCAATTGATGGTCGTGTGACAAATGGTGATCTTGATCTGGGCAGGTTGTTGGTGGTGGCCTGACCCCCTTGGGCTTGCTGGGCTGAAAACATTCCAATGAGGCTGATAGCTGAGCCAAGCTTCGGAAGGCAACAGAGTTCCAAACCTGCATGCAAGGGGAGAAGAGAGACCAATGAATGCTCAGGCTTCAAGAAAAATGGGAGGAAAAAAGTATAAATAAATAAAAATCAAACACAAACGAAGAACAAGAAACGAAACAACACATCCAAACCCCTGCAGATCGGTCTACAAACATGTATGCACCTCCTGACTCACTTCAGAAGTCGACTTGAATCTCCCGTTCACCGTCATCACAGCCCTACTCTGCTGCCTTCACCACCACAACCACCTCCTCACTCCCCCCCTCCCCATCCTCCACCGAATCCTCTACCTTCCTCCCTTCCACACCCTCCTTCACCCCTCCTTCCCCTGCTGCCTCCACCACAGCAGCAGCCTCTTGCACCAAAGCCACCTCCCCAGCAGCAGCACTCGCTTCAGCCACAGCAGCAGCAGCTTCAGCCTTCATCCCCGCTTCAGCCTGCAACACCACTCCATAGTACCCCTCATTCCCCTCCATACAAGTCTTAAGCGCCTCTGTGGGACCCACACACCGGTCCACAATACTCTCCCCAGCCTTTTCAGCTGCCTCCACACACCCCTCCCATGCGATAAACTCCTCCCTGCACGGCCCTCCTTTCATGAACTGGCAAAACGGGCAGTCATCTGTACTATCCTCTGCCTCCCCAGCCTTCTCCTTCACCTCCTCAGCCAAAGTCTCCCCCAACGCGCTAACCGCTTCACCCACCTCTCTCCCTGCTTCCTCCGCCCTCTCCCCAGCCTTCGCCACCTCACTCACCACTGCTGTCACCACCGCTTCTGCCTTCTCCTCCGCTTCTCTCGTCACCTCCGCTCCCTTCGCCTCTAACTCCTCCACGTACCTCGACAGCACGTCTACAGCGTCAGCAAGAGGAGGTCTCTCCAGAATCTCCTTTGCTTTCTCCTCTACCTTTGCTTCCACACCCTTTGCTTTCTCTTTTGCCTTTGCCTCAAGTTCAGCTACATAGCCTGCTACAGCATGCACAGCATCAGCTAGAGCGGGGTTTTTTAGGATTTCCTCCGCTTTCTCCTCCGCCTTTGCTTCTAATTCAGCTACACGGCCTGCTACAGCATCCACAGCGCCAGCTAGAGCGGGGTTTTTGAGAATCTCCTCTGCTTTCTCCTCTACCTTTGCTTCCGCATCCTTTGCTTTCTTCTCTGCCTTCGCCTCTAGTTCAGCCGCATAGCCTGCTACAGCATCCACGGCGCCAGCTAGAGCGGGGCTTTTGAGAACCTCCTCTGCTTTCTCCTCTGCCATAGCTCCCACAACCTTTGCTTTCTCCTCTGCCTTTGCTTCCACATCCTTCACTTTCTCTTCAGCCTTTGCCTCCACACCCTTCGCTTTCTCCTCTGCCTTTGCTTCCACGTTCCTCGCTTTCTCTTCTGCCTTTGCTTCCAACTCTGCTAGATGGTCAGCTAAAGCATCCACAGCGTCAGCTAGCGGGGAGCTCTCCCCTTCGTCCACCACCACTGTTACAATAACCTCCTCCGGACCTGCGTCTGCCGAGCCTAGAGACAATTCAGCTTCGGCAGCTTCAGGCGCGGCGGCCTCAGGCTCGGAACTTGCTGATGCATCTGATGGTGATGGAGATGGTGCTGATGATGGTGCAGGGTGGTGGGACTTTGCTGCTGCAGCGGAACGGCGGTCTGATGGAGGGGCAAAGAAGGAGGAAGCACTGACCGACTGATGGAGGGACAACGAAGGAGGGGCAACACAGCGAGTAACAAAGACTGACCTGCTGATTGACTGTCTGACCGACTGACTGACTGATCGACTCACTGACTGACAAGCTCACTGACTGACCGACTCACTGACTGGCATGCTGAAGACTGGCTGAGGGACTGACGGACTGACTCTCTGACAGTCTGACTCACAGACTGACGGACTGACTGGCTGACCTGACTGGTGACTGACTGACAAACCGACAGTTTGTTGGTTAACAGAAGCAAGCGACGGCACAGTGGTACATTGTTTACCAGACGAAAAGAGTCGTCCCACCTGAGAGAATGCGCTCCCCAACGAGCCCAGCCAACGCCAGACCCGCGGTCAGCAGCACGAAATCTCGGCCGTCCGTCGTTCCAAACCTCTTTTGAAGCGACTCGGCAAACGAGGGAATCTCCGCTCCCGCCTTAGCTGCCACCTTGGCTGCTCCTGACGAAACACCTGATGGAGCACCTGAAGCTCCCGCTGCTGCAGAGGACGCAGAAGTCGTCGACGCGAATCTGGCATTCTGGCAGCTGCCTCGCGCATCGCGAAAGCCGGGAGCAGCGTCGCGAACGGAGCGCGAAAGAGAGTCGAGGGTTCGAGTGGCTGCAGCGTCGAGCCTGGCACGGATCTCGCTTCTTCTCCGGATGTGCCGCGCGGAGGCGGACGACAGGAAGCGGAACATCGGCGGAGAGCGAGAGTAGGGCGGAGGGTGTGTGGCGCGGAGAGTGTGTAAGGTGGAAGGTGTTTAGAGACCTTTCAGAGCTCGGAAAGTCTTAGTGTTTGTTGTGGTGGTTAAACCGCGCGAATAGACGAGTAGTACGGAAGGAAGTTACAGCCGAAATGGACTGGCCGAGACTTCCAACTATGCGAACGAAACAGGTAACCCTGCGATCTGTTATTTCGCCGGAGGAAGATGGGTCAGGAAGGGAAGATCAAGGGTGGAGATGCAGCTGAAGCAAGATCCGCAACGACGGAGCCAGCTGGTGCCGTGCTGCGCTTGCCTGAAGCAGGAGGGAATGCACACGGGGGTGTAAGGGGGCAGAAACGTGATGAACGAGTGTTACAAGGTGGTGGGAATCTGACCAAGCTGGAAAGCGAACGAAGCTGCGAATCTAAACATGTCGGGAGACTGTGTTCTTATAACGGTTCACGAATCAGCACAGCAATACGATCCCAGTAGGATCAGGGACACCCCTAGATCGTGAGCCGAATCAGCCGATCGGATACCGTCACAAGGCTGAGGAAGAGTATGGATAAGGTGGATTCACCGATCTTCACAAGTAACCTAGTTAGCACGCAACTGCGCCCCCCCCCCCCCCCCCCCCCCCCCCCCCGAGATAACTAGCATTGAGTTTACGGATCCACCGTGAAAACTACGGATCCGACAATGCGGTGCGCTACTGCTGAGTCGGATCGCATCGTCCGTGTGTCGGATATCGAACCTAAAAGAAGAAGTGGCCTCTGCGTCGCCTTAAGGGCGACGGAATACTATTCTGAAATAAGATAAGAGCCACACCTATTGGGTAACAAGTAATTTGCACGGTTGAAATGATCAAATTGATCAAATACGAAGACTAGATTCCGGAGAAGACGGATGAAAAGGATCTGTCGACAAACGTCATAAGTTGTCTTTTCCTTACCTTGGAAACTGGAAACGACACCTCTGCACGGAGATTAACTCGGATCTGCCCCCAAGGAAAAGCGGCTCGCGCAAACAGCCTACTACAAAGCTACTCGCACGAGCTCCAGAAGCAACACCCGCAAAGCTCACACCCTAAGCCCCCTAACGAACCTACTAGAAACGCTACGCACTAGGAAAAAGATCCACCCCTAAAAGCTTCTCACGTGGTGAGGGTGGTCTAAAATCTATGGCTGCGCTTCACGGGAAGATGAATATCAGGTCGTGTCCGGGTGGATGACATGTCAAAGTGGCCAGTGTCAATTTGCCATTTTGACACTCAGCCAACATTGTTGGCAGGGTGTCAAGAAATTGCAGGTTGCCAGCCAATAAAAATCGTCGGACCACCTTTGAAATTGGCGCGGTCAAACCTACAAACGAGAGAACATCGTCGCAGCTGCCTATCTCACGACTAGAAGCTGCCCAATCAGCAGACACCGCCTCCTACTATCCTTCGCGTGCCTAGGAGACCCACAATTGACAAAATCACAAACCAATGAAATTGCGTCGCTGATGTTCGCACATGCGCTTCGACTTGACACTACAGCTACAGTATTTGACACTCCAATTCTAACGGGAATTTGGGTTGACACGCACATTGTTAACATGTCATCCCTACGGACACGAACTCAACCATTGCCTGGCATGGAGCCATGGTTGTCCTGACACGCCTGAAAATACAATTCCTAGTTACCTGGAATATCCCAAAATGCTTACAGCGTATAAGACGGCCACGAACAAACCAATTATCCTAGAGGAGGCGAGGAGCTGGATGCAAACAAAACAATAAGAAATAACCCGTAACTTAGAGGAACAAAATGATTTGTAGACCTTCTGTGAAAGGCGCGGAGAATCATCTCGGTGAACTTTCGACGTTCCAACTTCCAAAGATCCTGGGAGACTGGCGAATCGCGAACTGTCGTTTCGGCAAAGTGTACATGCATAGAAGGCTCCAAAATAGACAGGTTATAGAAACCAATTGTATTTTCAACTTCCAGAATAACCCAACCCAAAACTATAAACGTGTTGCCTTTTACCCTGGAAAAGAGACTAACTACAGTAGTCTCCATACACCACTACCCATACACCAAAACAGCCTTAAGGCTGGACCCCAAGTTGTACACCCAGACTCCATTATTACAACAGACCCAACCATACAGGGTGCTTACTCTCATATTGCATCCCCTTTTGTAGCTGCTCCTTAACCAGCAGGGGCACCACCGGCGCCACACACACTCTTTCCCGCTGCTGCCTTTTGAGCAATTGGCTTCAGCCGAATCATGATATCGTCGAACTTTGGACGGTCCTTGGGGTCACTGGGACGCAAACACAAGGTGGAGAGGGGAGAGCGGGTGGCATGGGTTGAGTCAACCGAAAAGTCCCCCCTTTGAGCAATTGGCTTCAGCCGGATCATGATGTCATCGAACTTGGGACGGTCCTTGGGGTCACTGGGACGCAGGAAACGGGTGGAGGGGAGAGGGAGTGACGTAGGGTGTGAACAGAGAATAAAATCAGAGCCATTAAGAGCCTTCTTCTTTGGCGATTGGCTTCAGGCACACCATATTACCGTCAAACTTGGGACGGTCTTTGGGGTCACGGGGATGCTCAAAGGACACAGGGTGTGGACAGAGAATATAATCGGAGTCCTTAAGAGCCTTCTTCTTCGGCGATTGGCTTCAGCCACACCACGGAGACGCTCAAAGGACAGAGGAAGTGATATGGGTGGGTGACGGACGGTCTTTGTAGTCACTTGGAAGCATTGCACGAAATGCGTTGCATTGAAACAGTGATGCTTACTTCAATACATTGAAACTAGACAGTGAAGCTTACTTGTGCCAGCAGTCGAGGATGAGTGAGGAGAGAGCCGGGTCGAGGTCAGGCGGGACTGTGAGTCGCTGGTTCTGGAATCCCACTGCTCCCACCACCTGGGGTGGGGGAGACAGGGAGAGAGGGGGGAGGGGGGAGACAGCGGAAGTGAAGAAAGGTTGGAGCAGAATGAAAGAAACTAGTCAATCTAGAGAGCCGGGTCAAGGTCAGGCGGGACGGCGAGTCGCTGGTTCTGGAATCCCACTGCTCCCACCACCTGGGGTGAATGAGAGGGGGAGAGGAAGGAGGGAGTAGAGACAGAGGGAGAAACGTTGCAGAAATGGAGATGGATGGGAGATTGGGATATGCGTGGAGGTGAGGAGGAACGGTGAGGCGTGGGTTCTGGTATTCCATTGAACCCACCGGCTGGGGTGGAGGAGATGGGGAAGAGGGGGAAGACGGGTGAGTGGAGAAACTTGGAGCAGAATGCAGGGCTCACATCAGATATAGCTGCATGGGGTTTGAAGTTTCTCCAAGTTTCAGCATCTAGTTACAGAATCGGGTTTTAAGTTTTAACATGCAGGCATCTGGTTCCCACGCACCTGCATGGGGTTCATGCCGTCCCATGGCTGCAGCAGCGTCACCAGCTCCCACAGGATCACTCCAAAGCTGTACACATCCGACTTCTCGTTACTTGGCTCGTTGCGCAGGACCTCAGGCGCCATCCACTCGGGCTGAGAGAAAGAGATGCATCAACACAGTAGGGGAAAAAAGATATGCATCAACACAGGATCACTCCAAAGCTGTACACATCTGACTTCTCGTTACTTGGCTCGTTGCGCAACACCTCAGGCGCCATCCACTCGGGCTGCAAGAGGGAGGGGGAGGGGCAGGCACAGAAAGGGAAAGGCATTGACAGAGAGAGTGAGCATCAGCTCCCACAGGATCACGCCAAAGCTGTACACGTCCGACTTCTCGTTACTTGGCTCATTTCGCAGGATCTCAGGCGCCATCCATTCGGGCTGAAGGGGTGAAGGGGAGAGGGAGGCATGGAAGTAAATAGCACAGGGAGAATGAGAGGCATTGACAGAGGGAGTGGGCACCAGCTCCCACAGGATCGTTCCAAAGCTGTACTGTACACATCCGACTTCTGACTTCTCATTGGATGGCTCGTTGCGCAGCACCTCAGGCGCCATCCACTCAGGCTGAGGGGGGGAGGCATGAAAAGGAAAAGGCATGGACATGACAGAGAGAGTGGACCCAAAGCTGTACAGGCAGGCAGCAATGACCAAGTGCCAGACCAGTTTATACAAGACTAAGAGTGTCAAACAAGTTTAAAGAAGACTGAGAGTCATCAATGAGCCCAATAACTAGCACAATGCACCATGGCTGCATATGCCTTAAGCTGCATGTAACGCCATGCCTACATGCCTCAACACCTCACCACCCACACCTATCTGCATGCTTCAATGCATGTACACCAGCATGCCTGTACATACCTCACCATGCTTGCATACCTGTGAATCTGCCTTACCGTTCCGGCGCCTGATTTGGAGGAGAGGAAGGTGCTGTTCTTGTTGCGAGATAGACCAAAATCGCAGACCTGCCAAGGAAACCCCACACATGCGGGCAGAGAGGTGAACCGTTATGATTCAATTCGATTTGTAACCAAAGGGGAGAAAAACGGGAGAACAAAACAAAACAAACAAACAAACAAACAAACAGAACAGAACAGAAGAGCAGACTGTTTTTGAGCTACCTCAAAAACAGACAGACCCACCAAGTCCAAGCTGCTACGCTAAGTGGAAAAAGAAGAAGAAGAAGAAGAAGGGGGAAAGAAAAAAAACACACACAAAAAAAAGGAACAACATCAAGATTGAGGTTTTCTGTAGAGCGACGTTACCTTGACTGTGAAATTCTTGTCCACAAGCAGGTTGGGCGTCTTGAGATCACGATGCACGATCATGGGCGTGCAGTGGTGCAGGTAGTTGATGCCTCGTGCCTGGAAGGGTGGGGGTGATGGGTGAGGGGTGAGGTGAGGGATAGGTGAATAGAGAGAACAGGCAGGTTGGGCGTTTTGAGATCACGATGCACAATCATGGGCGTGCAGTGATGCAGGTAGTTGATGCCTCGCGCCTGGTAGGTGTGGGAGGAAAGGGGGGTACAGAGACTTGTAAGGTGAGTGTTTAGGTGCATCAAGTATCACGATCATGGGCGTGCAATGGTGCAAATAGTTGATGCCTCGCGCCTGGTAGGTGTGTGGTGAGGGAGGGAGAGAGGGGGTTGTGGGGAGGAAGGAGGGGAGGAGAGGTTGGAAAGGGGCGAGAAGCAGGTCAATCGAAGAGAAGAGCCAGGGAGGGGTTTCTGCGTGAGTCGACCCTCAGGGCATTAATCAACAATGCATGGTCATGGTTGTGCAGTGGTGAATTCCTCTCCCCCTCCCCCTCCCCCTCCCTCCGCTCGCCTCACCAACCCAAATACCCACAATATCCATGGCCATGCGAATGCGCCGGTCCTCCTTTAAGGTCTCCTTTGCCCCCGGCCGATGCAGCAAGCGGAACAGACTTCCCCTGGGAAGGGAAAAGGAACAGTGAGGGGAGGAGAGGGGTGGGGGGGGAAGAGCGGACGGAGGAGACTTTTCTTTGCCCCCGGCCGATGCAGCAGACGGATACGCGAGAAGCAGAGCTAAACACAATAAATAGGAGAACAGGAGAGATTTGAAAAGAGGAAAGAGGACAAGGCGTCAACTTGCAAGAAGGAGAGCAAGGGAAAGAGACGGGGGAGGGGAGGGGAGAAAAGGGGGGAAGAAGGGGAGGATGGGCGGGGGACTACCAAAAATTCCGCCTGCTAAGAAACCCTGTGAGGATGAGAGGTGGGGTGGCTTGGTGACTCTCCTAGTCGACTCAAAGCAAGCAGACCCCTGTCAGTGACCATTCACCCACCCACCCACCCTCCCACCCACCCTATGGTTGGGGAGAAAGATAAAATCCTCACCTGCTGAGAAACCCTGTGAGGATGGAGAGGTGTGGCGGCTTGGTGACTGCTTAAGAGGACAAAAGGCTAACAGTTCCCTGTCAACACCAACCCAACCCCCTATCAGGCACCGCAGGGGAGGGACTGAAAGATTCTCACCTGCTGAGAAACTCTGTGAGGATTGAGAGGTGGGGCGGCTTGGTGACTGCTTAAGAGGACAAAAGGCTAACAGTTCCCTGGCAACACCAACCCAACCCCCTATCAGGCACCGCAGGGGAGGGACTGAAAGATTCTCACATGCTGAGAAACTCTGTGAGGATTGAGAGGTGGGGCGGCTTGGTGACTGCTTAAGAGGACAAAAGGCTAACAGTTCCCTGTCAACACCAACCCAACCCCCTATCAGGCACCGCAGGGGAGGGACTGAAAGATTCTCACCTGCTGAGAAACTCTGTGAGGATTGAGAGGTGGGGCGGCTTGGTGACTGCTTAAGAGGACAAAAGGCTAACAGTTCCCTGTCAACACCAACCCAACCCCCTATCAGGCACCGCAGGGGAGGGACTGAAAGATTCTCACCTGCTGAGAAACTCTGTGAGGATTGAGAGGTGGGGCGGCTTGGTGACTGCTTAAGAGGACAAAAGGCTAACAGTTCCCTGTCAACACCAATCCAACCCCCTATCAGGCACCGCAGGGGAGGGACTGAAAGATTCTCACCTGCTGAGAAACTCTGTGAGGATTGAGAGGTGGGGCGGCTTGGTGACTGCTTAAGAGGACAAAAGGCTAACAGTTCCCTGTCAACACCAACCCAACCCCCTATCAGGCACCGCAGGGGAGGGACTGAAAGATTCTCACCTGCTGAGAAACTCTGTGAGGATTGAGAGGTGGGGCGGCTTGGTGACTGCTCCCATGAAGAGCACTATGTTGGGATGGCGCAGACGACGCATGATCACCACCTGATGGGAGGGAGAGAGAAGGGGGGGGGGAAGGGGCGGGATGAGCAGGGGTTGACGGAGCTGTGTAAGCAATGCATGAATACCGGGAACGAGCAGGGGCAAGAAGAGGTGGGGGGGGAGGCAGAAGGCAGGTTCGGGAGAGTGCGATGAAAGTTACCGGGAAAGAGCGGGACGGGCATCATGAGGAAGAGGAGGAGTTGGTTGTCACAGGCTCAGACTCGAACCTCTCGCTTGACTCCAGCAGCTGCTCCTCCTGCATGTCCTGACTGATGAGCACCTTCACTGCCCGCATGCACCAATGTTACAGTCACACACAGGGGAGTGACAGTCCCTAAAGGCACATCCCTTGCTCATGCGTACCTCTCGCTTGAACTCCAGGAGCTGCTCCTCCTGCATGTCCTGATTGATCAGCACCTTCACTGCCACGTCCTGTGTGTGTGGAGAAAAGGAAAGAGCAGGGAGGATCGCAAGGAGCGGATGCGACGGGGGTGCCTGCATGATCAAAGTCCGGTCTGGTGCATTTGAGCAGGGTTGGATTTGGATGTGCATGTGAGTGGGGATGGGTCTGAATGTGCATGATCGTGACGGGTTTTGAGCTGACATACGACGCGGAAGACGCAGAAATAGGCCCAACAGGAGTGAGGAGAATCCATGCAGTGGAAAGGGGAATCACGAGGAAACGAGGGACGAGGCGAGAAGGGGAAGCGGGCCAGTGTGGGGGCGGAGGAGGGAAGGAAGCGAGGGGGGGAGAAGGGAGGAGGCGAGTGAGGGGGGAGGGGAGGAGACTCACACAGCCAGCCCACTCGGCGCGATACACCGTACCAAAAGAACCTGGGGAGACACAAAACAAGGAGGGGCACGGGGGAAGATGGGCGTGGAAGGGTGAAGACAGGAGAGAAGGGGGAGGGGGGGTGGTGGTTGGGGTGGTGCCAGACAGAGGTGTGTGGTCTGTCTGAATGGCAGTACTTGGAAGGGTGGCTTCAGAGCTGGGTCGAAGGCCAAAGGCTAAGAGTGCTTAGAAACGCCAAAGGACTGTAATATCACATGCACCAAACCTCACCTGCACCCTCCCTCTCACCTGCGCCCACCCTCTCCCCCATCTCGATGTCGTTCCAGTCAATCTCCGCCTCCCCAATGTCCATGATGCGCCCATCCATCAGCACGTCCATAAACTCAACTCCAGCATCTGTTGCCTCATCATCTGCCGCCGGTGCTGCCTCTTGCTTCGGCGCCTCAGCCTTGGCTTTCGGCTGGGGTAAGGGGGTTTTTGGATAAAAGGAGGGGAAAACGGGAGGAGGTAAGGGGGTTCCCCAATGCCCGTTGTTATGAAGAGCGGAATGGACCACAAGCAGAACGCAATCGGTCAAGGGCTCAGCCCGATCTTGATGTTGAGGGGAGGGTGGGCACTCGAACCCAGGCCCCAATGTCCATCCATAATGCACCAACTCACCTTCTTCTTCCCCTCGTCCTCCTCCCCGCCGCCCTTCTTCCCGCCCTTCTTCTGCGGCTTCTTCTCCTCCTCCTCCTCGCTATCCTCCTCCTCCTCCACCTCTTTGAGCTCCTTCCGCCGTCTCTCCCCCTTGGGCGAGGCAGCCACGTGCCTGGGGTCCTTGGGCCCTCCCGCGTAGATGCGCCGTGATCCCACCATCGCCTCCGTGTCCTGCTCCTGCTGCTGCCTGGTGGTCCGGAAAAGAGAGAAAGGGAGGAACAAGAGGAGGGATAAGGGTCCTTGGGCCCTCCCGCGTAGATGCGCCTCGATCCCACCATCGCCTCTGCATCCTGCTCCTGCTGCTGCCTGAAGGGTTGTGTGACAACAAAACGGATGGGGGACAAGGGAGCAACAGAAGAGGGTCCTTGGGCCCTCCAGCGTAGATGCGCCGTGACCCCACCATCGCCTCTGCATCCTGCTCCTGCTGCTGCCTGGTGATTCGTAAGGGTGTGAGTTGGAGAAGGGGTGACGGGTTGAGAGCATTTGCATGGGGCCCTTCAGCCCTCCTGCATAAATGTGCCTCGATCCCACCATCGCCTCTGCATCCTGCTCCTGCTGCTGCCTGAAAATTGGTAAGGGTGTGAGATGGTGGGAAACAGAACATAGTATAGATGGGCAAACGAGTCGAGTTTTTACTCGACTCGTTCGAGGGACTCGAAAAGCTCGAGTTTCGAGCTCGACTTTTTGCTGAAAAAACTCGGACGCTCGAGTCGAGTTTTACTCGCGAGTTAAAAAAAAACTCGTGGGAAACTCGTTTTCATTGGGAAAGGCCGCCAAGGTGGCCATGGTGGATGACAAAGTGGGAGTGGACCTGGATGAGGACTTGTGATCAAAGGGCGCCATTTATGCATGTTCAGATCAGCATAATAGACATCTTTATTTATTAGACTACCTAGCTATTCTCTCCCTCTGACGCTAAGTTGCCAAATACGCTTATAGCGTACATACGCTTATTGCTATGTTGAGTGGGTGTGGATGGAGCTTTTTTCTGTGCTCCCTCTGGCTGGTGTTGTGTGGCAAAAGTGGTGGCTGTGGGTGCTGGTTAACATCGAGTCGAGTTTTACTTGACTCGATCGAGGTTTTTCAAAACTCGTATGAGTTTTAAAAAAACTCGAGTTTAGAGGCGAGTTTCGAGTTTGATTTTTGGCCAAAAAAACTCGACAATTAAAACTCGACTCGACTCGAGCTCAACAAAAAGCTCGCCAAAGCGAGTCAAGTTTTACTCGACTCGCCAGTTGCCCATCTATAGAACATAGAGAGAATAAGAATGAACGATAGAGAGCATTTGCTTCGGATCCTTGGGCCCTCCCGCATAGATACGCCTTGGTCCCACCATCGCCTCTGCGTCCTGCTCCTGCTGCTGCCTGGGAAATGAGGAAAGAGGGGCCCCGGGAATTCCCAGAGAGAAAAAAAGGAAGTGCGGCGAACGAAATCGACCGTTTGATTGAAGCAGAATGAACAAACCTAACGCGTCTGTTCCCTTAATACCAGGAGTAGCAAAAGCCTAACCTCTGCCAGATGTTACCTTCTGAAACCTGGCATCCACTGCGGGACCGTGCCGTCCGCAGGGTCCGTGCGAGTAAAAGCTTGAAGAACTTAACGCAACCGTCCGTCCCTTATCAGGAAGAGCAAGAAAGAACCTCCCCCGGATCTCACCTTCTGAAGTCGGGCACCTATTGCGGGACCGTGCCGTCCGCAGGGTCTGTGAGCGCGAGAGAAGGGTTGGAATAAACCCAACACGTTTCTACCCCCTATCAGGAGTAAAAGCCTCCCCCAGATCTCACCTTCTGAAGTCGGGCACCCATTGCGGCACCGTGCCGTCCGCAGGGTCTGTGAGCGCGAGAGATTTGATCTCGGGGCAGCGCAGGGGCGAGGCAATGTAGGTGGCGTTGGTGGCGGTGCTGGTGGCAGACTCGGCTGAGGGCTCGATTGTGAGAAGGGTGCCTGGACGCTGCAACAGATCCACCACGTACTCCCTGTATTGTGGTGGGGGGGGGGGGGGAGGGGGGGGGGGTAAGGAGGTGAAGGTGGGGGAGAGCGGATGGTAAGTAAGCAGCGTTGGTGGCGGCGCTGGTGGCGGACTCAGCTGTGGGCTGGATGGTGAGCAGCGTGCCCGGGCGCTGCAACAGATCCACCACGTATTCCCTGTGTGTGTTGGGAGAAGAGAATGGGGTGGGGGCAGTAGAGGGGAGGATGGTAAGTAGGTGGCGTTGGTGGCGGATTCAGCCGAGGGCTCGATGGTGAGAAGGGTGCCTGGCCACTGGACTGAATTGCGGCTCTTTTCTTATGCGACACACAGAGCTTGCCGATTAGCCTAGGGCGAAATCCAGAACTCACCTCTCGTCACTAGCAAGCACAAGGCACGAGGCACCATCGTCCATGCCACAGAACTTGCACCCCTTCTGGATACGACACGGCATGCCCAGCGCGTCTGCCAACACCTGGGGATGGAATGGGGAGTGGAAGGAGAGAAATGGGAGCCGGTTGGGGGAGAAGTGGGGGAAGAAGAGGAAGGGTCAAGGGGGTAAAAGGAAAGGTATGCAACAAGGCTTGGCTTCTGCCAATCCTGGGAGGCGCGCTAAGAGCAACTGGGAGTGGAATAAGGGAGTGGAAGAGGGTGGAAGGGATGAAGGTGGGGAAGAGGTGGGGGAAGGGGTGCGGAGGAGGGGAGTGCTGGGGAAGAGGGGGAAAAGAAGGAAAGCAGGAAACACCCATTCCTCCCCACGGCTTTGACTACTGCTCTCACCGCTCTGGACCCCTCTCCACCGCTCTGCACGCACCTTGAAGAGCAGGGCGCACCTTGAAGAGCAGGGCGCACCTTGCAGAGCAGGGCGCACCTTGCAGAGCAGGACGCAGTGGCGGCATATCCCCACGGGCAGCTGGCCTCCTCTCACCGCTCTGCACTCCTCCCCACCACACTGCACCGCACAGGACGCACCTTGAAGAGCAGGGCGCGGTGGCGGCATATCCCCACGGGCAGCTGGCCGATGGGCACCCTCACCGCTCTGCACTCCTCTTTACCGCACTGCACGCACCTTGAAGAGCAGGGCGCGGTGGCGGCATATCCCCACGGGCAGCTGGCCTATCGGCAGCACGATGGTCTTGAGGTAGCTCTTGATCTCCCACCCGCGCTGCCTGTCTTCCCCCCTTCCACCGCTTTGCACTCCTCCGTACCTTGAAGAGCAGGGCGCGGTGGCGACATATCCCCACGGGCAGCTGCCCTATCGGCAGCACGATGGTCTTGAGGTAGCTCTTGATCTCCCACCCGCGCTGCCTGAACCGCGGGATCAACTCGTTCGGCTCTGAGTTGACCGCTCCACTGGGGTGGGTGGGATTTGTGGGGAAGGGATTGGAACAGGAGAGGAGAAAGATGGCCGATGGGCAGCACGATGGTCTTGAGGTAGCTCTTGATCTCCCACCCGCGCTGCCTGAACCGCGGGATCAACTCGTTCGGCTCTGAGTTGACCGCTCCACTGGGGTGGGTGGGATTTGTGGGGAAGGGATTGGAACAGGAGAGGAGAAAGATGGCCGATGGGCAGCACGATGGTCTTGAGGTAGCTCTTGATCTCCCACCCGCGCTGCCTGAACCGCGGGATCAACTCGTTCGGCTCTGAGTTGACCGCACCTCTGAAGTGCGGGTGGGTGGGGGGGAGAGGAGAGGGAGGGGGAGGGGGATAACGCGGGAAGTGCCGGGGGGGGGGGGGGGGGGGGGGGGGGAATTCGTGGGGGACGAAATGGGGATACGGGAGGAAATTTAGAATGAAGCTTCACATGAAGTATCGCGGGGAAGCAAAGGACCAAGACGCCCAGCTTCTGAGCGAGCGTCTGCAACTCAGTGGCGGCATAAGCGAGATTCACAGCCTCATCCTCCAAACCCCGAGCTTTTGAGCCAGCGTCTGCACCTCAGTGGCAGCATACGCGAGGTTCACAGCCTCATCCTCCAAGTCCTTCAGCTCTGCATCGATGGTGCGGTTGATCAATGCCACGTCAAACGACGCCTCGCTTGGGTGCAGCGCACGCTGTGCACAAGGCAGGCAGACAGCAGGCCAGTCAACCACCCACTCACCCCATGTGATGCGCCACCAAGACTCCGAGCTTCTGAGCGAGAGTCTGCACCTCAGTGGCAGCGTACGCCAGATTGACCGCCTCATCCTCCAAGTCCTTCAGCTCAGCATCGATCGTGCGGTTGATGAGCGCCACGTCAAACGACGCCTCGCTCGGGTGCAGCGCGCGCAGGGAGTCGAGGGGAGGCATGCGGCCGCGGTGGGAGGAGTCCACGCAGAGCGAGTAGACGTACGGCTGCATGCCCCAGATGTCGTAGAACCCATCCTCTATACGATCCTCGTAGCTCAGGCACCCGTTCACCTGCACAGCACACATAGAGTATAGAGGGAAGGCCTGGGGGGTCAGAGCGAGTAGACGTACGGCTGCATGCCCCAGATGTCGTAGAAGCCGTCCTCTATACGATCCTCGTAGCTCAGGCATCCATTCACCTGTGTATCCGGGAACAAGAGGGGGAGAGTAGGGGACAAGAGGGGGAGAGTAGGGGACAAGAGGGGGAGAGTAGGGGACAAGAGGGGGAGAGTAGGGGACAAGAGGGGGAGAGTAGGGGACAAGAGAGGTAGGGGACAAGAGGGGGAGAGTAGGGGACAAGAGGGGGAGAGTAGGGGACAAGAGGGGGAGAGTAGGGGACAAGAGGGGGAGAGTAGGGGACAAGAGGGGGAGAGTAGGGGACAAGAGGGGGAGAGTAGGGGACAAGAGGGGGAGAGTAGGGAACAAGAGGGGGAGAGTAGGGGATCAATCAGTATTGTTCGCTGTGCTTCGGGCTGTATCAACCAAGTCCTGCCTGGGGTGGGGTGCAGTGCTCGCAGGGAGTCGAGGGGAGGCATGCGGCAGCGGTGGGAGGAGTCCACGCAGAGAGAATACACGTACGGCTGCATGCCCCAGATGTCATAGAACCCGTCCTCAAAACGGTCCTCATAATTGAGACAGCCGTTCACCTGTGTGTGTTGTGAGCGAAGCATGAGGAAAGGGAGGGAGGGGCCTGTGGGGTCAGAGCGAGTACGGCTGCATGCCCCAGATGTCGTAGAACCCATCTTCTATACGATCCTCGTAGCTCAGGCACCCGTTCACCTGTGGGCGTGGGGGTGTGAGTGTGTGCAACAAGGGGGTCAGATTGAGTAGACATACTGCTGCAAGCCCCATATGCCGTAGAACCCGTCCTCTATACGGTCCTCGTAACTCAGGCACCCGTTTACCTCTGGGTACGTGTGTGTGTGTGGCATGGGGGAAGGGAGAGGGGGCCTTGGGGGTCAGAGCGAGTAGACATACGGCTGCATGCCCCATATGTCGTAAAACCCGTATTCTGTGGGCGTGGGGACGTGTCAAGGAGGGAATGCGGAGGTAAGAAGGTGGGAGAAGAAGAAAGCAGGCCTGCCCTTGGTCCCATTACCTTTGACTCTGACAGACATCCTCGTAGCTCAGGCATCCACTACCTTTCCTGATCAAGATAATAATCTTACCCAGAAGCGGTAGGCTGTGGCTTCAGCCTGGCTACGTGGCATGAGCGGACTGGCCCAGAGAATGTCGTTGAGGTTGGCTTGGGGAGGCGCCATCTCCGTCTCCTTTCACCTCTCTCTTTCACTCTCTTCCCTTCCATGACACCCAGCTCCCTTATGTCTCCTCGCTTCCTCTTTCCCTTTTTCCTAACTTCATCCACCCTCACTTTCCCACTTCACTCGTTCCCCCCACAATCTCCCTTCACCCGCTTCCCCCACCCCACATTCCCAAGTCTTACCCAGAAGCGGTATGCGGTCGCTTCAGCCTGGCTACGTGGCATGAGCGGACTGGCCCAGAGCATGTCGTTGGGGTTCGCCTGAGGCGGCGCCATCTCCGTTTCCTCCGCCATCTCCGCGTCCTCTATCAGCCGCAGCGCCACTGCCACCTGCTCTCACGTGGTGCAATAATGCAATCACCATGGGACAGAACAAAGCACACAGTATGAATGAGTTGTTGAGTAGGAGGGCCAGCCGAGGTCTGAGGCATCTCCGTTTCCTCCGCCATCTCCGCGTCCTCTATCAGCCGCAGTGCCACTGCCACCTGCTCTCACGTGGTGCAATAATGCAATCACCATGGGACAGAACAAAGCACACAGTATGAATGAGTTGTTGAGTAGGAGGGCCAGCCGAGGTCTGAGGCATCTCCGTTTCCTCCGCCATCTCCGCATCCTCTATCAGGCGCAGCGCCACCGCCACCTGCTCTCAGGTTGAAAAGGCACAGAAAGGGAAACAATGAGGTGTAGTCAGGTAAGGTACGGTGGTTCATGCATGTCGTCCATCCGTTTCCTCCGCCATCTCTGCGTCCTCTATCAGCCGAAGCGCCACCGCCACCTGCTCTCTCAGGTGGCGCAGGCAGGGAAAGGAAACGATGTGGTGTAGTCAGGTAAGGTACGGTATGGTACGGTAAGGAACGCAGTTCATGACCATGCCATGGGATAGAACAAACAAAGCATAACGAGTTTTCCGTACCTGTAACGAGTCCGCACCTGTAACGAGTACATCTCCTCGGCCTTTTGGAAGTAGCTCCGGTCGCTCTGCTTCCTCCGCGCGTGCGCCGCCTGTAGCGCCGCCACCACCGGACCCCCGCCCGCCACGTCATCATTATCCAACGTCAGCATCTCACTCGCCACGCTCCTCCCCCCCGGGCTCTCCGCGGCGACCGGAAACCCCCCGCCCCCGCGCTCCGCCCCCGCGCCTCCCCCCAGGCGGGGCGCGGGGCTTCCCCCCCACGGCATCACCTGCGCGCTCGCCTCCCCGTCCGAGCTGCTCGCGAAGCTCATCGCTCCGCGCGACGGTGGACGGCGGATGGACACGGGCGGAGACGGCCCGTCCCTGGAAAACCCTCCCCCGGGTCCGCCCGGCGTGCCCGCCGCCGCAGCCGCGGCGACAGCCGCTGCGGCAGCGGCGGCGGCGGCGGCGGCGGCTTCCGCCTCCGCGTTCGACGCTACTGACGATAAGCTGGTTCGTTTCTCAGGCCCGGGCATGCGCGACTCGCCGCCGCCACCGAGATTGCTGCTACGGTCGATCCCGTTGCGCTCCTCGGGCTTTAACTGGCCCGGACTCGGCTGGCCCGAAAACCGGATAGAGTTAAAAATTGCCAGCCGGTTCGCTTCCGCCGCCGCCTTTGCCGCTGCGACCTCGGGATCCTCCCCCGGGATCTCCGCCGCTTTCGCGCTCTGCTGCCGCGCGGCAATCATTTCCGAGATCGCGCTTCCGCCGCCGCTTGCCTTCTCCGCTTTCCGAGCCGCGATCATGTCCGCGAACGTGCCACGTGGCCCCCCTTCCTCCGGCGTCGGGAGCCGCTTCTCCACAGCGGGAGCCTTACCCGGAAACATCGGCGCGGGAGCGGGGGACGAGTCGACTACTTCCGAACCTCCCGCATTTTCGTTCGGTATCCGGACGTGCAGCGGAGAGGTCCCTCGCGACCGCGGCGCAGGCCGTTCCTTTTCTCGCGCTTTCTCTCGCTCTCGAGCTATTCTGTTTCGGCTGAGAGACGACGGGCCGTTCTTGGACTTTTCTGCCGGAGGTGGGCTGTCAGCCATTGCGGCTGCTAAGGCCGGGTCTTCGGCCATCATCTCAGCCGCCATGGCTTGGAGCATGGCTAAATCCATGGCTGCCGTTAACTCGATCGGAAACTAAGACTCGTACAAGTAGGTTTAATTAGTAATAGCTTTCCTGGCCGAATAGCTGGAAGCGGGATGCCAGCAGGATGCACGGATAGAGTCAGTTAGTGTCTGTTAGTGCGAGCTAATGCGAACTGTTGCCTGACAATGAGAAAAGAAGCAAGGGACGTGCGTGAGGCGACATTACGTGCTAAGGCAGTTGCGACGGAACGTAACCCGTCTACGGCATACTTGTTGACGAGAAAAGCGTGTTTCGCTGGCGACACGGTCAATCAACGAAAAGGGATACATTTGAGTACAGAAACGAAAGCAGGAGGTAAAAAAAAAATCGGTCACCGGCATACGATGCGCCGCTCTGAAAAGGTAACAAAGACTGTCAGTGTCCTCAGTACGACACCCCAGTGGAGTAGGACTAGGTCACTGTTGATAACAACGCAAGGAACCCCTAATGTCCTAAAGCGTACGTGAGATTAGGTCATGAGCTGAGGGTACGGCAGGTTATCAGCGTGCCGTGCTCACCACTTCTGGCGGGAAGCACGTTTGGTTAGGTGGGACTATCGGCCTTGGGTTTGGTTTGGCGATGTCCGTCAAGCTAGCGAAATTGTTTTCGGGATAGGCTTTGGCGAAGGAAAGGCAACAGAGTTGTGCTTGAGACAAGTTGTTACAACATAGTAGCAGCGCCACAATTGTGCATTATGAGAATAGCATTGCATAACTTCCTGCATGTTACGCACTATCTACAACTGCCTAATGCGTCTTGTGGGATTGGTCACGAAACGGGTTTAAAAAATTGGGATCATTAAAAACAGAAAATCAAGGGGAAAATTGTTCTATCCAGGGTCTAACAAGTTTTCGTAACCATACTTCACAGATCCATGCCACAAGTTATTGAATCTAAAACAGCTAGGTTGGAAAGTTCATATGCGGGACCTACCTGATTCAGGGCTTGATTTGTCATACGCGTTACTGAACTCATCAGGTCTATGTTGGTCGGTGGTGGCTTTGCTGTACCAGGTGCGCCTCCCCGCTGACAAGGGGTTCCTGCTCTGCCCTACCGCAAAAAACGGCGTGAAACTGTGGTCCACCACCTACAACCATACGGTATTACAGATTCTCTGTTCTCTGTTCTGTATTCCTCCTTGCTTAGGGTTTCCTAAGCAAAATGGTGGACATCACCGGAACCCAGCCCGCCGAGATTCAAGTGCTGTCGGTGGGTTTTATGTTCTGGTTCAATTATTGATCTGCTAACTTCCGTTCTGACCGTCCCTGCCGCCAGAAAGAAGGCATCAAAGAAGCGTGCTTGTCTTCTCCCGTTTTCGTCTCCTCCCTCCCCACCCCAATCTTATGTCTTCCAAGTGGGGAAAGTCGACAACATCCGACGACATCCGTCGTAGGTTCAGTGTGATTAATTACGCTTCCAGAAGGTTACACGAATTTTCATAGCGGTGCCATATTTTTGGTTTGGTTTGGTTTGGATGGATTCGCTCCAACAGCATGACAGCACGACAACAGACAAGTCTAGCACACAGGCTCCCTCAGATCGCGTCGAGAATGAACATGCCAGCCCATCGAAACTATTGTGTACCAACCAACCAACGAAACTAGAGATCTGCAGGTTCTGACAGAAACAGCCGACAAATCCCCCTATTGGTGCTGCTGAAAGCTACGCTTTCTCCCCTTCCACGCTTGCCTAGGAATCAACAGTACACCGAGGCGTGAACCTCTACATCTACTTTCCTGACACTAAAACGTAGTTAAAGCCAGGGTCTCAAGTAAGCTAAGGAGCTGTCAACTGCTTTGCAGTTGAAGCTAGGTTACCTAGTTATTGCAGACGAAGTTCTTTCTGGTTGGTTTGGAAAATCAGCGTGCGACACACCCGTCAGTGCCCCAGAAGCGATTGCACAACACTTTTGGGTACTTGAGACTTTCGATGAGTTGGGGGCATTTTAGGTTTGGTTCCGAACCAAATTTCCAAGCCTAGAAGGTTCGGATACACCCAACGATTTGCGTTCGCTTCGCACCCCTCGCTTCTCCCCACTTCAAACCTTTCACCTCGCCAACCAATCACAGCCCAACTTTCAACAGCAACTGCAAAACACTCGTAGTACTTGAGACCCTGGTTTTAAGTACCCATGGTTTACAACGAATGCCGATGGTTGGCGACCACAGGACCGTCATGCCTCCTGACCTGTTAGTGGTTTACGGACCTAACGCCATGACCTAGCGAACCGCTTCGAAATTATCCGCCTGTAAACACGCTCTGTTCGTTTCGCGGCATGGTTTCGTTATCCTCGCAACAGCAGCAGCAGCAGGAGCAATCGTAGAGTCGAGATTAGGCGAGAACGGATATGTTTATACTTGAGTGTCTACCCAAGGACCCGTCCTTCCCTTGAAGTCGTCCTTTCCTGCATTGGTTAGTCCTCCCACTCTCTGTGTACGTAAACAGATTACCACTCTTGAGTCGTGGAAAAAAATAGGCATGGCGCGTCGCACGTTGATTATACTCGCTCTACTCTCACTCCTCCTCGCTCTCGCCCCCTATCCTGCACGCGGCTTCCGCCTTTTCCCGTGGAGACCTCCCCCCCAAGCGAAGCCCGACCCCCACCCAGACATTCCTACTGTCGATAGTGGTTACAAAGCGGATTCGCAAGACGTAGACGACGACGGCGACGACGATGATACACTGTTGTTACCGTCGCAAACCCTCGTGCAAGGCCTCGCCAACTTTCGCCCGCTTCAGCGAGTGCCGGATAGTTTAGAACCCCCGCAACCAGCAAACGGGAATTACCCGATTTCGGTGCAGTTATCATCTGGAGGGAATTCACAGCCTACGAACACTGGCGAAACGGGGAGTGAAGGGAAGATTCAGTCGTTTAGCGACTCGGGCGGTTCTGGTAGTAGCGGCGGTAGCGGAGGAGGTTACAGCGGCAATGACGACACGAGTGACGATAACGTGGAGTTCTTCGAGGTCGTCCGGCCAATCACAAGGCCTCGAGGGGTGAAACCGTGCGTCGTTACGCTGCTTCGCAACCAATCGTTCGACGACACCGTTGGCGAACCACCCGTTGCGAAAAACTATTCCATCCCTGCTTCGTGCGGCTCCGTACGTCCGTTTTAACTTACCTCTTTTCCCGCCATACTAGTAGTTCAATTATTTCCTCAGCTTTTCTCTCCGCGCTCCGCCCCTCATTCCTTCCTATCGCCGCCTCGCTACCTCTCTCTTTCCCGTCCTCGCGCTCAACGAGACTGTTTCCTAAACTCCCCCCCCCCTCCCCCCCCACTCACCCCGACTTCCACTTCTCGCGCTCCTAACCCACTCCACCCCCCCCTGCCCTCCGTCCTTGATCTCCGTTCCCCACTCCCCCCTCCTGTTCCCTCCCCCCCTCCCCCCCCAACCCCGGTCCCCGCTGCGTACCGCGTGGTCGCAAGCGAGTGAAACGTGTTTCATTGCGAATCCTTTTCCTGAGTGGAGCTGTCGTCTATCATTTTTTTAGTCCCTATACTCTCATTTTTTTTTTTTCCTTGATTTTATCATTCATCATTTTTACATTCCACACCCCCCCGTCTCCCTGGTCGACTTTCCGGCGAACCCCTTCCGCGTGGTGTTACCCCTCGCGTGATTTCTGATTGGCTGCGTTTCCGCCAGGCGTGGTCGCTGGTGCTGCTGAGCGTGCGCGTGAACGTAAGCGGGGTGCAGTTCGACCGCGTGCTATCCGTGTTCCTCGGCAACTTCGAAGTCTCCAGATCCATGTAAGTCCACCTTCGAGGGCTCGCGCGGCCAAGCCTCGAGATAACCGATAACCAAACATATTGTATATTGCAATATGATTTCCTGTGAATGAAACACTACAGTAGTTCTTTCTGTATGTCTGTGACATCCCTTCTATATTTCCTCCCAACTTTTCCTTCCCATACTCCCCATTTCAACAAATATGCAGTACGGTGGAGCCTTTGGGCGTGTCGGCATCCTATTCATTTGAAGAAGACATCACGACGTACGCATCCGCGCTTGCAAAGGTGATTCTCAAGTGTCTTTTTTCCTTCTATTTTTACCAAAGTCTCCTCGATCTTCCTCCGAACTTTTCACTCACTGCCTCCTCATTCCCCCCTGATGTGTACTTGTAATTAATTCATCAACAGGAAAAGCAGGCATTCGTTTCCGTCCTCAACAACGTTGTCAATGACACACTAACGGGTAAATACGACGGAATTTACAATCATTTTTCCTTTTTTCCAGCAGGCGCTGATGGTGTTTCAACCAACCCAATGTTGTCCGTTTCTGGTGCAGGTGTTTTCTACGTCAGCATTGATCTCGTCTTCTTCAAGACTTCTCGAATCAACCGAGCCATAGTTCCAGACGTCGTTCTCCCCTTCGCCACTCAACCACCCGGGAAATCCTACCCGGTCCCCTTCACAATCACGGGCGAAGATTCAGCATCCACCCCCTCTTCCTCTTCTGCTTCTCCTCCTTCACTGGAAGCTTCTGTGACGTTTCCCTCGCTGCCCCGCGACATTGTAACGGCGAAATTCGAGCTGATGGTAACCAGGCGAGGCAGCGACGAGTTCTTCTTCATGCTTTCGCCCACTCTACCTTAACCCCGTCCTCGTTGTCGTCGTCCTCCTCCTCCTCCTCCTCCTCCTCCTCCTCCTCCTCCTCCTCCTCCTCCTCCTCCTCCTCCTCCTCCTCCTCCTCCTCCTCCTCCTCCTCCTCCTCCTCCTCCTCCTCCTCTTCCTCCTCCTCCTCCTCGTTCTCCTCATCATCTTCCCCCTTCCGAGAGCTCCTTCTGTTTGTAGACAACCAATTCGCAGGAGCTGTTTTCCCCTTCCCCACCCTCTACCCCTCCGCCTTCGCCCCTCTCCTCTGGGTTCCCCTGGTTGGTATCGGCTGCTTCAGCAACCCCACTTATTCCCTCGACATCACGCCATTTGTCGGCCTGCTAGTGGACGGGCAGCCGCACGAAATTTCGGTCAGCCTGCCCGTGGTCGGCGAGGCTGCCCGGTGGATGGTTTCGGGGGTTCTCCAGCTCTGGGTGGACCCGGTTCGGGATGCTACTACAGGCACGCAGCCATTTATCAATGTGAGCAAACTTGTATATAGGTTCTTCAGCCATGCATGCACCACCACAGAATCTCACTCTTCATTCTTTCTGCGGGTGGCAAAGAAAATCGTTTGTTCCGCTTTTCTCTCCCCCATAGCCCCTCCCCGTCTCGCATCTTATCCTCTCCTTGTGATCCCTAGTTCCTCCTGTCCTTTCCTCCCTTGTTCCCCTCTCGCCTCCTTGCAACATTAACCAGCACCTTCTCTCTCCCTTTCTCACCCTATGCCTCCTCGTCTCCCCCTACTCCCTACCCTCTCTGCTCTGCCCTTCTGCAGGCTCCTGTTCCCGCCATAGTAAACACTTTCATCTCCCCTCCTGCTTCTGATCCCTCGAGTGCATCGGCCAATAATGGCAGCAGCACCAACAACAACAGCAGCAGTAGCAGTAGCACCGGCACTGCTGACAACTCTACACCTCTCGATCCTGCTGCCACAAGCACCGGATTCACTACAAGCACGCTCCGCTCCTATACAATCTCCGGCACTGTATACTCCTCGTCCGGCGCGGTTACCACCGAGGTTACGGGAAGCCTGGGAGCCGAAGCGTCGGTGTATTACCGGAGTGAAGGGCTGGTGGCATGGTCTCATGTAACAAGAAGTTCGGTGGAGGTTACGAGCAAGGACGCAAAGGGGAATGAGCTGATTTCAGTCACTGAGCAGTACCTGTTTCCTGTCAACCTGAAAATGACCTCTCTCGATGGTACGTTATAGTTCCAAGACATCTGAAGGGCTGCTGTTACTTTGAGGGCAACTCCCAGGGTCAATACAGGGTCTGTGTTACAAGCTGGGATGCAAAGGGGAATGAGCTGATTTCAGTCAGTCACGGAGCAGTACTTCTTATCTGTCAACCTTAAGATGACTTATCTGGATGGTACGTTCTAGTGTTGGTCTTCCCTCCTCTCTCCCCTCCTGTCTTTGCGGGCCTCTCTGGCCCCTCAGCCAACAAGTAGATTCATGCTGCACACAGGCTTTGTATTGACTCACATCCACTTCTCTTCCTTTACCAAGGAATACTGATTATGCATTCACCCTTATCCTCTTCCCACTTCCCTCCTCTCTTACCTCCTCTTCCCTCCTCCCTCCCCTCCCCTCGTTCACCACCAGCGAATGTTAAGTCAAGCCTGACACAGACTATGCATTCACTCACACTGCTCCTCCCTTAACTCTTTTCTTCCCTCTCCTCTCTTCCCTCCTCTCATCCCTCCTGCCTTCTCTTCCCCCTCCCCTCAACCAAAACCAGCTATCGTCTTTTTCAAGCTAGACACAGACTATGCATTCAGTGACTCTGCTCCGTCGCTCCCTCATTCCGTATTTCTATTTCTCCGCTCTCTGCCCTCCTCCCTCTCATACCCTCGCTCTCTACCAGCTAACGGCTCTTTCAAGCTAGACACAGACTATGCATTCACACGCGCTGCTTCCTTTACTCGTTTCTTCTCTCTTTTTCCTCCTCTCTTTCCTCCCCTCCTCCCTTCACCAAAACCGCCAGCTAACGGTTCTTTCAAGCTAGACACAGACTAAGCATCCACTCAGTCTGCTTCTTTCTCCCCTCTTCCCTTCCCCCTTTTTCACTCCTCCCTTTTCCTCAACCACCGCCAGCTAACGGCTCGTTCAAGCTAGACACAGACTATGCGTTCAATGACTCAGCTCCTTCCCTCCCTCAGTCCGTATTTATTATTCTCTCCTCTCTTCCCTCCCCCCTCTCGCCCCCTCGCTCTCTACCAGCTAATGGCTATTTCAAGCTAGACGCAGACTATGCGTTCACACACACTGCTCCTTCCTTCATTCGTTTCTTCTCTATTTCCCCCTCCTCTCTTTCCTCCCATCCTCCCTCAACCAAAACCGCCAGCTAACGGTTCGTTCAAGCTAGACACAGACTATGCATTCAACCTGCAGAGGGACAGGTCTGGGAGGAAGGTCGGCCGTCCGATCTCCGAGACCCTTTTAAACCAACGGTTTGGATCTTATATCGAGTATTGCTCAAGCTGCAGTGGTGGTGGTGTTGATAGCGATGGCAGCAGCAATAGCAGTGGCAGTAGCAATAGCAGCACTGGTAGTGGCAGCAGCAGCAGCAGCAGCAGCAGCAGCAGCAGCAGCAGCTTTCAGCTTGCTAGGGTTGGTGAGGGCTCGTTCGGTAGCTCAAATGACACGAGGGCTGGTCGCGACATCGGGTCCAATTCTGCGTCAGGTGGTACAAACGTTACGGGAGTGGTTTCGAATGTTACAGGAGAGGTTACGAATGTTACCAGCTGTAATGTGACGCGAGACGGTGCTTGTCGAAATGGAACCGGGAGTTCTGAAAGAGGGGGGATGGCGGTGGTAGTGGGGGCGGGAGTGGGAGTGTGGTTGGGGTTGGGAGTGGGAGTGGGAGTGGGAGTGGGAGTGGGAGTGGGGGTGGGGGCGGGAGTGGGGTTGGGAGTGGCAGTGGGAGTGGCGATGGGGGTGGGAGTGGGAGTGGCGATGGGGGTGGGAGTGGGAGTGGGGTTGCGGGTAGCAGCAGTGGGAGTGGGAGTGGGGGTGGGGAGTGGGGGCAATGGGGCCAGCAGGAAGAACGGAAGCGAGCCTCGCAATTGGTGGAGCAGCATTTTGCCTTCGCGAGTAATGATAAAAGTGTGGGGTGTTACTCGCGCAACATTGCTGTGGCAGGATTGAAGGTGGTTGCGAATGAAGTGAGCGTGGACTGTGCAGACTTGTAATTCCTTCGAGTATAGTGTATAGATGATTAGTTCTCTGATCATTAGTACTGAGTGGAAATTATTTGTGGAAAGGCTTTGTGCATGTTTAATTTAGGGGGTGGGTGTACCTGTTTGCCGGATCAGCCGTCCGTATGGCCGCCTTCACGGCAACAAATTTCCAAGTACAGTATTCCTGCTCAGTAGCTCTCACGCTGCTGAAGTGACTTGTTTGTGGTGTACCGTACTGTTATGAGTTGTGAATGAAAGAGTGCGCAGAATTCAATAACGCGGAAGTGATTACAACGTCTGAGAACACAACGAGGCCTAGGACTAATATAGCGAAGCTAGCTAGGCCGAGGTCGCGGGGTCGCGAGATGGTTGGGTGCAGGTTCGGGGTTGGAAAACCCGAAGGCGACGCGGTAGTGGCTCGGAAGGCGAGGTCGGCGGACCGAGCCTGGTTTTCCGAAAGTCGGGGTTGTACGCGTACAGTGTGACCCAGTAAGGAATCCGGAAAATTCCTTACACGTACTGTACCTTGTTGCCCTTTGCTCTTGCATGCATCTCTTTCAGTCTATTGACACTTGCCATACTGTAGTTTGTATGGTAAAACCAGAGAACAAGAGTGACCGTGGTACTGTAACACTTTTTCACATGGGATAACAGTATCAATATCAAGCGAATAACCACAAAACAACTCTATACTAGCACACCCGCATTCAAGCATAGCACCAATGGTCCTGTTGTCACAATGCATCACATGGGGCAGTAACGCCTTCCGTAAGTGCCTAAGCTTACCGTATGGCAAAGAGTGATCTGTTCTGTGCTTACAAGCTACTGGTAGAGAGAAAAATCTTAGCCCCACTGCACACAGTACCACCGGGGTCCGGGGCCAATCAATCTCATCTACAAGAAACAGCGGATCCCACTCAACACCCATACTTGTTCGATCCACCCGCACAGCATGATGTGGTACGTCAGCTCAGCATGTTATGGCACGTGTATGCAGCAGGCACGCACACAGCGCACAGCACACACCTCGCCAGTCACACGACAATCTGCTTCGCCTCTAGGGCGGGGCAGTGAAGGGAGCTATTCTGCGGTACTGAAATTACTTTATGGACTGGTGTGGTGTGGTGTGATGTGGTGTGGTGTGGTGTGGTGTGGTGTGGTGTTGTGTGGTGTGGTGTGGTGTGGGGTTGTCTTGAAGCTGACAGAAAGTACTGGTGCGTTGGGCATGGCCTTGCAGTTCAGTCCGCAATCTCAAACCGGCAGATCGGGCACGTGCGGTGGGTCTTGAACCAGGGGGAGATGCAGGCATCGCTGTACGGAGGGTGTGACACAAACGAGGGGACATGGGGAAGGATGGGATTTGTGAGACACCTCAAGAAGCGGCACTTGCGGTGCGTCTTGAACCAGGGCGAGGTGCAAAAAGGGAGGGTGACACAAAAAAGGAAGAGCGGAATGTATGGTGAAAGGGAAGAAACAAGAAGTGTCATTTTGTCAAAAGAACAGGGGGGGAAACCTAAGGCATATTAAACATGCACAAAAAAAGTACATATATATAATGAACATTTTTGGCTCAAACACCTGGTGTTTTTTAGTTTGTCTTAAAACATTTCAACAACACAAGACCTTACATGCAAAGATGCTAAGATCAACTGTATATCAATGGTATTGATGCTGTGAGTGCAAGAAAGGGGTGTCATGCAAAACGGAGGGTGGCACTCACTATACTTGTGTGCAAGGATGGGCTTTCACCGACGCGCGTGACAACAACGATGTATAAACTCCTGATCCCAATCACTGGCACATGTGACAATAACGAGGTGCCTGCCTAACCCCACTCACTGGTACGTGTGCTTGCATGGCAGGGAGGTGAGCAGCTCCCCAGCTACTGCTTCAGACAGGCAGATCTGACAATCCACCCTCTCGTCCCCATGCCCCATCTTGTCCTCATGCCCCCTCTCTCGTCCCCATGCCCATGCGCTCCCTTCCCCATGCCTCCCCCTCAATAATGGCAGGAAGCAGTGCTGCAAGGGTCCTCAGTGGTGCAAGGATAAGGAAGGAGGAACTCACTGGTACGTGTGCTTGCAGGGCAGAGACGTCAGCAGCTCGCCTGCCACGGCTTCAGACAGGCAGATCTGACAATCCACCCTCTCGTCCCCATGGCCCATCTTGCGCCGATCTAGCTTCCACATCTCCTGCTGCTTCAACCCACTGTGGGGGAACATGGAAGGGGGCAGGGTGAAGGCTTGTATTGATGGGGGTTGAGGGAGCAACAGCTAAACCGTCTCGTCCTCATGGCACATCTTGCGCCGATCTAGCTTCCACATCTCCTGCTGCTTCAGCCCGCTGCAAGGGAGACAAAAACGGAATAATGGGAGCCGAAAAAAGAGGGTCGATGGGGGTTGAGGGAGCAACAGATAAACCATCTCGTCCCCATGTGCCATCTTGCACCGGTCTAGCTTCCACATCTCCTGCTGCTTCAACCCACTGTGGGGGAACGGGAGAGGGGAAGGGGGAGAGGGGAAGGGGAGAGGCGAAGGGGGAGAGGTGAATGGTTGACTCGAAGAGGGTTAGAAGAGAACTAAATAAGCCCTCTCGTCCCCATGGCCCATCTTGCGCCGATCTAGCTTCCACATCTCCTGCTGCTTCAGCCCACTGAGGGGGAGACCAGTGAAAGAATAACCGGGGGAGAGAAAGAGGATGATGGGGGTTGAGGGACAAAAGGGTAACCATCTCGTCCTCCCAACTTCCAGAGCTCCCAAAACGATAAGTCAAAGCCAACCACTCACCATCTGACGTTATTCCGATCCAATTCAAGCAGCTGCTCGTACGTCCACGCCTCCTCGTCCTCAAACTGCAACATCTGCGGCACCATCAGACTTCTTGCTCACCATCAGCCTCACCAGGATGTATATTCTTACCGTCTGACATTATTCCTATCGAGCTCCAGCAGCTGTTCGTAAGTCCACGCCTCCTCGTCCTCAAACAACAGCATCTGCGGCACCATCAGCCTTCTCGCTCCCCCATGCAGCCCTCCCCCTCCCAGCGCCCCCCCTCCCCCGCCTTGCAGCGCGCCAGCCAGTCCGTCCATGAGAATGGCCTGCATTGCTGCTTCAATCACTCCCGAGTCCTCCTCGCTCATCTCCCCCTGCCACCAGAAATCATCCGGTGCTTCAGACGAGGGGGCTGGGAAGGGGGGTGGGGAGGGGACGGGGAGGGAAGGGGGAAGGGGACGGGAAAGAGCAGGGGAAAATACATGAGAATGGGCTGAAGTCTTTCCCCCTCCGCCCCCCTCCTCACAACCCCTCCCCCGCCTTGCAGCGCGCCTGCCAGTCCATCCATGAGAATGGCCTGCATGGCTGCTTCAATCACTCCCGAGTCCTCCTCGCTCATCTCCCCCTGCCACCAGAAATCGTCTGGTGCTTCCGCTGACGGAGCTGGGATATGGGACAGCGAGACGGACGGGGAAGGGAGGGGGGAGGGGACAAGGGAGGAGGAGGAAGGGGACAAGGAAAGGGAAGGGAGAATACATGAGGCCTGCATGGCTGCTTCAATCACTCCGGAGTCCTCCACCCTCATCTCCCCCTGCCACCAGAAATTATCAGGGGCCTCAGACGATAGGGCTGGTAGGTGGGGTTCAGAGCAAGATATTGCATGCACGGAAAGGGAAAGGAGAAAGGCAAGGGGAGAGGGAGAGGAACCGATGCGATGGGGGAGAGGGTGGGCACTGCGAAGCGAATGAACGAAGGAGAGGACAACGGTATTTGAATTTGATCAAGACGAGGGGGAGAAGGGGATGGGAAGAAGGAGGGGGTGGATAGGAGGGGGTGGAGAAGGGGGGATGGGCAGGAGGAGGAGATGGAGAGGGGGGGATGGGCAGGAGAAGGGAATGGAGCGGAGGGGATGGGCAGGAGAAGGGAATGGAGCGGAGGGGCGAAAGGGACGGAGGGCCTCACCATTCCTTCTGGCCCGGCGCGACCGCAACCACCTTGGCAGACGAGCAGATGATAAACCCATGCCTCTCTCCCTCTCCCTCTCCCTATCCCTCTCCCTTTCCCTCTCGCGCTCCCTCTCCCGCTCCCGGTCCCGCTCCCGCTCCCTCTCCCGTTCTCCAATCATCTCCCTCTCCCCATCCCTCTCCCTCTCCTCTCTCTCTCGGCTCCTCTCCCTGTCTCGAAACAGCACTAGCGGCGAATCCGTCACTGTAGCAGCCACTGTAGCACGGGCCGGGGCGGCAGGGCTTGGACTGGAGTGAGCAGTGGCCGGCCGGGTGGCAACAGCGGGCGGTGGCCCGTCGTCCCCATCGTCCTGATCCGGCAGAGGCGGCAGCACAGGGAGATTCTGAAGCGTCCGGAACGGCAAGGAGTTGGAGTAGGTTAGGTGCGGTTGAGAGGAGGGGTGGAGGCGGGGGGAGTTGGGGGAAGGGGAGGAGGAGGGGGAGGTTCGATTGGACATGGCATGGTGCAGAGGGGAGTTGGTGGGATGGAGGATATTAGCAGATTGAAGCACAGGAGAGCTGGAGGGGTGGAGAGCGTTTGGGGTGGAGGGATGGCCGTTGGGGGATTGGAGGAGGGGGTGTTGTGGGGACGGGTATGGGAACACGGGGATGGCACCTCCCCCGGTTTGAAGCTCCCTGAAAGGCTGGCGGAAGGGAAATAGCACCGCCTGCTGCTGCTGCTGCTGCTGCTGCTCAACTAAGTTCTGATGATGGTGATGATGGTTTTGATTCGAATTCAGCTGCTGCTGCTGTTGCTGCTGCTGCTGCTGCTGCTGAAGTTGGTGGTTGTACTGCTGCCGATAGTGCTGATACTGTTGGAGGGGATTCGACTGTGTCTGCAGGCCACTCGGAGACTCACTCCCGTTCACACTGCCACTTAAACCCCCACCCACACCACCACTAAAACTCCCACCGAACCTGTGGTTCGGGCTAAACCCCCGGCTCGGACTAAATCGGCTCGGGCTATATCCGCGGCTAGGGCTGTATCCGCTGCTGAAACTATGCCCCCCACTGACCATATAATTCCGATATGCAACCTGCCCCTGCCCCTGCCCCTGCCCCTGCCCCTGCCCATGCGCCTGTTGCCCCTGTCCCTGCGCCTGGGACCCCTGCCCCTGCCTCTCTTCCTGTTCCTGCTCCTGCCTTGGCTCCTGCTCCTGTTGTCCCTGCCGCCCCTGCCCCTGTCGCTCCAACCCCTGCCCCAGAGGAGGGGAGGGTGCCTGGAAGCGGTGAGATGCAGGCATGGATGACGTGGTGCTGAGCTGGCGGTCGCGGCGCACGCGACCAATCACGTTCAAGGCGGAGAGCCACCTGCGCACTGTTGGATGATGTGGGTGGCATGACGTCATTCGGATGACATGGCGCCATTAGCATGACGTCATTAGGATGGTGTGTCATTATGAGGATGACATGGCATCATTCGGATGACATGGGATCGTTCCATGGAATGAAACATTTCAAATAAGAACATCATAAACAGAATAGGATGGAATAATGACACGAAGTTGCTCTTTAAGGAATTAGCTTAACCATGCTAGTTGCAGCAGTGTACCTCTGGAAGATGATCTGCGGTCTGATGCGGTGAGGTGCGGTGGAGACGCTGGAGAGCCACGACTGAAAGCAGAGAGTGCGAAAGGGAAGAACGAACTATCAGCATAGAGCAATGCCTTTCGTAAACCGGCTGTAGCAAACTTCGTAACCCTCTCAGCTTAAAAACCCTTCAGGAAACGACTTACGTTGTGCCTCTGACAGACATCTGACGGAATCTGTCAAGGGGAACGTCCACAAATCCTCCTCCTGACGCCTCTTCCGCTGCTGCTAGAGCCGCCGCCGCGGCAGCCGCAGCCGCCGCAGCAGCAGCCACGGCAGCGCTTCCGCCAGCTCCCATTGGAGAATCTCCCCCTGCGGACGCGCTGCTGTTCCGTCCGCCCCACACGCGCGCAGCCCCGCGCGCCCGCGCGCCCGCGGGCGTCAAGGGGGACGAATCCGCGCCTCCGCCCGCCCGTTCCCCCGCCCTTCCTCTGCGCGAAAACCCCCGCCTCCTCTGCCGTACGCTGCTAGATCCTCTCACGGGCGCAGTTTCGCCGGAAGCCGCGTTAGTGGCGGCATCGTTATAATCAAAGCGCCACGGTGACATCCCAAACGACAAAGCGCGCCGCCCTAATCCTGGGGGACGCCGCCTCGCCGGAGAGAGACTGTCGTCATCATAAGCGAATCTTGCTACAGATTCGCTCCTCCTAGATTCGCTCGTAACCCCAGCTGTGCCCAACGTCCCTCTCCCCGCGACCTCCCCGCGCCGCCTCCCTCCCACTGTCCCCGTTAAAGGGCCCGAGCCCACATGCGTTATAGGTGAGCTGAAAGAAGTGTCGGTGTCAGGACTCGAACCCGAGTCGTGGCGGCGCAAGGACGTGCTTCCGGCGGTCCCCGCGTCGCTGGCGGACGAAACCGCGCTGGCGGAAGAAAGCGCGCTGGCGGAACTTTGTTGGGTAAGGCCGCGCCATCTGCGGGAGAGAAACCCCGCAGATGCCATGCTGCGGAACAGGGCGGTAGATGGTAGAGGGAAGGGCGGAAGCGGATAAGGGGAAAGCAAAACAACCATCGCGAAAGACAGACTGACGACGGGAGAAACGGAGAGCGAAGAAAGGCACACACAGTGATGCGAAACAAGTTTACCGACAGGCGTTCTGCGCGCAGGGACAAAGGAAGGCGATCTCTATCGCGAAATGACTTTTGAGTCGACTCAAAAGTCACCTAGTTACAAGTTTACCGACAGGCGTTCTGCGCGCAGGGACAAAGGAGGGCGACCTCTATCCAGAGACTACAAGCTCACAGAACTGTGACTCTCAGGAGCTTAAGACGAGCTTACTTACACAGCGGCGGCGCGGCGCCTGCCGGCGCCTAAGTAGGAGGTAACGGTAAAGAAGACGACGCCGTCCCAGAGAGATTCGAAAACAAGCCGGCCCGCTGTTCAAGGCGCCTCGAGAAGTGACGAAGCAGGAGACGCACGACGCGGAGTCAGTATACAGGGAGAATTTCGAGAAGACTATAAAGCTCCTCAAATTCTAGGCTCGGTTGCAGGTGACGGCGACGCGGAAGGAGCACGGCGTCTCCGCCTCCTCGTCTCCTGTGCGACGAGTCCCTCATGCAACGATTCCCTCATGCGACGAGTCCTTCGTGCGACGATTCCTTCATGTGTCCATCCCTCTCATGCACTCCTGAACCGCTTTCCTCTTGAACCTCGCTTCGGTACACGACTCCTCGCCTCCTCGCCTCCCGCGCAGCGACGTTCCACAAATGCAAGCCTCGAATTCCTTCGCTTACAATCTGAAACTCATTCTACGTCTGCACACGTTTAAAGTGGTATCGAATCCACGTTTCAAGGCTGCCGCGCGAATCCTGTGTTGGTCAATCCCCAGGGGGTTAGTCAAGTTACTAGGCACACGGACTCTATGACGGGACTCTAGCGGGTTACCTAACACTCGACCATGAATGGCGAATCCATTATGTAGACTGGATATTCCTAAGTCGGTGTAAAGCCATTATTCTCGAGACGTATGTACAGACGAGAGACGTAACGAATGAGCGCTGTAAAACACGAACGAATCTATCTCCGTGAAAAAGGCTGATGTGACACGTCAAATCCAAGACACAATCGCCCGGTTCCAAAACATGCAAGGTAACGTGCCTTCCGCAAATCCCGTTCAAGGTCAAGGCGGCGCCAGCGGTGACATGCCAGCCGAACCAACAACCCTCTCACTTCACCACAAAAAGTGGTCGTTTCGCTCCGAGCTTTCACCTCCTCGCTTCCATTTCAACCCTTGGAGATTGCCCACGTGCTGCTCCCACCGCTGCCATACGAGCAGCCCCCTCGAAGACATCGAGCAGGCACCAATAGTGCAAGGGAATCCGAGAGTGGGGCACAGATGTGCCTCGCTACAACCACACTGAAGCACACTGTATCGTATTATTGCGTAAACAACCGTGTTGAAACCCCTTGGGGCTTGGCATTCTGTACAGGGCAACATGAGAACCTCGGTAGTTGCGGGACGAGTTCTCTGGTTCGGTAGGGACCTCAAGTTGGGCGACGGGCTGAAAATTCACTACAGGCATGGATCCAGCCTGGACCTTTGGTCCGCTTGATTTGGATGGCTCGGGTACGGAAAGAAACAGGTCGGGGAGTTGCTTGAAAATTTTGGGTGTGGTACAGGTGTGGGAATGACTGGACCAGTATGGGTGTGGCGCAGTCGTTTAGTTTGTGATAGGGTTGAGTCTGGCGAAGAGCGGCGAGAAAAGCTTAGTCGAGCTAAAGACGGGGAGGTTTATGGGCGGTACCGAGTATTTCATGCGACACTCTGGTGTACGCAGCTTAGTAGTTCCGACGGTCGCAAGACAGCCGACATCAAGTGACGGCGATCTCTGACATGTCGCCCGACGTCGTTGTTGTGGCTGAGGCTATCGGTTCGGGAAGAGACAGGTTCGACAAACCACACAAACCAGGATCATACTGTAGTGCAAAGCCCCTGGCATGTGTGGCTTGGCAGGTAAAGCCGAGCCAAAGGACACAATGTACCACTTGCTGATTTGAACGATTGTGATTGGCTCATATCTATACACACCTCAAGGCGATGATGGCGTTACAAACTTCACGTTATTGGAAACTACTCAATACGATAAACGTGGCAAAGATGCACTGAAACTATACAAAACTACTATCCAATATAAGAAACAAATATAGCACCAACGAAATGCACAATTCTTGTCAAGCCTAGAATACTCCTTGGAGCTTCCACATAATAGAACAAACCGATGTCCAAAGAACCAGGTTCACAATGGCAGAAATGCCTCCAATCTTGAACAAGTCGGGAAGACTAACATAACCAGCTGCAACAATATCAACCAACAAGAAAGGGACAAACATCAGTGCATGAGAGGAAAAAAACATCTGACCACAAAACAATCCGCACCCGTCAATCACATGCAACCACAAAACAACCATCACAACTCACCTCCATAATACAGCGCTGCCTGCCCGCTGCTATAATGCGTAATCGCGCCAAACAAATTCGTATTCAACGCCAGCGCAAACGCACCAACCTCCCCAGGAACACCAGCAGCAAGCTGCATAGCAAGGAACGCCGCATACAGCGCCCCCACATGAGCCGTCTGGCTGGCAAAAAGGTAGTGAGCGAGGAAGTAGAGAACTTGTAGCTGGAAGAAACTGGAAACCCAAGTTAGCTCTGCTGGAGCGTCTACGGGTGGTAGGGTGGCAGCAGTGGTGGTGATGGCGGTAGTTACTGGTTCCCCTGCTGCTGCCACTGCTGCTCCTGCTGCTCCTGCTGCTGCTACAACCCCCCCGCTCCCACTCCCGCTGCTGCTGTTGTAATTTCTCCAACCATCTCCCCCAAATCCCCCCCCAGCATCCCCACCACTCCCCCCATCTCCTCCCCCAGCATCCCCCCCGTTGCCATATCCCCTGCCAGAATCCCCCCGGGACCATCCCAAGCCCGCCCGCAACCCCATCAGCCATCCAGCCCACCACACCCATGTGGGTAAGCTGGGCAGACATGGCAATGAGAGCGGCGAACCACATGAGGGTGTCCCAGGCTGATCGCTCTGCGAGGCAGTCGGACCACGAGACAACCCCCGAAAGCAGGAGGAGGGAAAGTGCTGACATGGCCGTTACCACACTGGGGATGCCGAGTGATTCTCTGGATTGGGGGAGGGAGAACGGGTTGGGAACAGAGGGAGAACGGGTTGGGAACAGAGGGGAAAACAGGAAGAGGGGCAGTGAGCAACCACCCCCATGTGGGTAAGCTGGGCGGACATGGCGATTAGAGCGGCGAACCACATGAGGGTGTCCCAGGCTGATCGCTCAGAGAGGCAATCGCTCCATGAAACAACCCCCGAAAGCAGTAGGAGGGAGAGCGCTGACATGGCGGTTACCACACTGGGGATGCCGAGTGATTCGCTGGATTGGCGAGAGGGGAGGGGGCAGTGGGGGAGGGAAGCAGAGGAAGCATGAGACGACGCCTGAGAGGAGCAGGAGAGAGAGCGCTGACATGGCGGTTACCACACTGGGGATGCCCAGTGATTCTCTGAATTTGGGAGGGAGGGTAACGGAGAGAAAGAGAGCAGATTAGCAGATTAGCAGTGGATAGTGAGTTGGCGAAACTGCTGGCATGGCGGTTACCACAATGGGTGGGAATGCCTAGCGACTCGCTGAATTGGGAGGGGAGGGAGGAGGGAGAGTGGAATAGCAAGCGGATAACGAGTTGGGAGAAAGAGAGGAACACTTGTTATCCGCTTGAACATGGTGGTTAGAAGAAGTGTTTTGAGACGTCTCAAACATGGTGGTTACCATGTTACCACACTTGGAGTACCCAGCGACTCCCTGGCTGCCACGCTGAAAACAGCGCACACCTATACCATCGTCACCGCAACACCCACACACAAAGGTGACTTTTGAGTCGACTCAAAAGATACCCAGCGACTCCCTGGCTGCCACGCTGAAAACAGCGCACACTTTTGAGACGTCTCAAAAGCAGCGCACATCTATACCATCGTCACCGCAACACCCACACGCACACACAAACTCATACTCGCCTCCCACACACACACACATTACACATCTCACTCACCCCATGATCCACATGGTAATTGCGAGTCCCATGGTGCCAATCATGATCATCTCCTTCCCGCTCACCGCCCCCATCTCCTCAAGCCTCTTCTTTGCAAGCCCCGGCGCTTCAGGCGTTTCTTTAACCTCAGGAGCAAACACCTTGAACATGAGCATGGGGGTGACTACCAAACCTATGGCCTAGACACAGACTCCAGTGTGCAACACACCATTATCGCCAACACACACCAACTCACCCCATGATCCACATGGTAATCGCGAGTCCCATGGTGCCAATCATGATCATCTCCTTCCCGCTCACCGCCCCCATCTCCTCAAGCCTCTTCTTTGCAAGCCCCGGCGCCTCTGGCGTTTCTTTGACCTCAGGAGCAAACACCTTGAACATGAGCATGGGGGTGACTACCAGTCCCAGCATGCCTGGCAGCACGGCCATGTGCATCCACGTGGAGAAGGCGTTGGGAATAGCCACGCCCATCTCCTGGGCTAGCTTCATGCAGAGAAGGTTCTGGCCGGCTCCTGCCCAACAGGAGAAGGGGGCGAGATTGGAAAAAAGGTGGACAATTGGGAGGGGAGACAAACAAGCAAACGCGTTGAGCATGAGCATGGGGGTGACTCCGAGTCCCAGCATGCCTGGTACAACGGCCATGTGCATCCACGTGGAGAAGGCGTTTAGGATCGCCACTCCCATTTCTTGTGCTAGCTTCATGCACAGCAGGTTCTGCCCCGCGCCTGAGAGAAAGGTGAAGGGGAAGAGGAGGGAAGAACAGTGAGGAACATTGCGCTGGTGTGGGCGGAGGTTTGCAATTGAGTCATGACGAGGAAGGCGCCGAGCTTTGTAAGTCAATCCAAACAATGGATTCAGGCCACAAAAAGCCTTCTTACCGGTGAGGAGGAGTTGAGAAGAACAGGTTTGCGCCAGAGGGCTTTCCTGTGAGAAACATGGCACTGCTGTGAGCAGAGGCCTGAAGCTGAGTCATAACAAGGAACGCGCCGATCTTCTTGCTGCTGGGGTCGTTGGGGCGCCTTCTTGCAGCGAACCTTCTTACACGTAGAACACATGGCACGGCTGTGGGGGCCTTACCAGTGAGGAACATGGCGCTGCTGTGAGCAGAGGCCTGCAGTTGCGTCATAACAAGGAACGCGCCGAGCTTCTTGCTGCTGGGGTCATTCGGGCGGCTGTCGAAGCGCTTGGAGAGAGAGTCGATGATGGGGAGGAACACCCCCCCTGCTCGCGCCGTGGTGCTGGGCATGGCTGGGGCTAGCAGGGCCTCACTGGCTGGTGGTTGGTGCGGGGGTTGGTGTGGGGGTTGGTGTGGGGGTTGGTGTGGGGGTGGGAGGAGAAAGGGGAGAAACGGAGGTGGGGACATGGGGATGGGGGAACGGGGGAGAGCATAGGGTATGAGACAGCTCAAAGCGCATGGAGAGAGTCGATGATGGGAAGGCAGAGCGTACACAACCACACCATATTCCACCGTACTCCACCGTACTCCACCGTACTCCACCGTAACCGTAATCCTGCTAGCCCGTAGCTGGGTCCGAGCGTGCTGCTGCCGAACCATTTCACGAATAGAGTGGCAATGCGGTCGCCCAGGCCCGTGGTCACGAACAGCAGGCGTACACACCTGAAACCGAACTCCACCACTCTGCACCTCGTGACACCATGACGAACCTGCATGCACCCTAGCATACCTGCCAGCCCGTAACTGAGGCCCAGGGTGCTGCTGCCAAACCACTTGACAAAGAGCGTGGCAATGCGATCGCCCAGCCCCGTGGTGACGAACAGAAAACACACACATTTGGGAACCGAATTTCACCGTTCCACACCTCGTGACACCATAACATACCTGCCAGCCCGTAGCTGAGACCCAGCGTGCTGCTGCCGAACCACTTGACGAACAGAGTGGCAATGCGGTCGCCAAGCCCCGTGGTGACGAATCCGCGTGCAAAGAAGAACGAGATGACGATCAGCCAGATGACCTCGTTGGTCATGGCGCTGTAGGGGAGGGGAGATGGGGGTACAGGGTAGGGGGAGAGCGAAGCGGAAGGGGGGGGGGGGGGGGGGGGGGGGGGGGGGGGGGTGGTGGTTGAGGGGTGTGAGCCAACGGCAATGCGATCGCCCAGGCCCGTGGTGACGAATCCGCGTGCAAAGAAGAACGAGATGACGATCAGCCAGATCACCTCGTTGGTCATTGCGCTGAAGAGGGGGGAAAGGGTCCATAAATGGGGCAAGTGGGAGAGGGAAGGGTTGGGGTGGGTGAGTGAGTGGCCACACACGGTCGCCCAGGCCCGTGGTGACGAATCCGCGAGCGAAGAAGAAGGAAATGACGATCAGCCAGATCACCTCGTTGGTCATGGCGCTGTAGGGGAGGGGAGATGGGGGGGGTTGGAAGGGGTTGGGAAAGGTTGGGGAGGGAGAGGAGGTGTCAGCCGCGAGCGTTGGTCATGGCGCTGAGGGGAGGGAAGGGGTGGGGGGTTGGGGGAAGGAGGGGGAGGTGGGAGGCGAGGAGGGGGAGGTGGGGGTGAGGAGGGAGAGGTGGGGGGCGAGGAGGGGATGGAGAGGTGGGGGGAAGACGACTTGGTTCATCATGGCGCTGATGGGAGGGTAGGGTGGTGGAGGGGGGAGCGGAAGTGGGGAAATCGGGGGGGTTGGGGTGTGAGTGAATGGGAGTGCGGTCGCCGAGCGAAGAGGAATGAAAAGGAGATGAGACAAAATGTACCTCATTTGTCATGGCACTGAGGGGGAATGGGGGCGAGATGGGATTGACAATAAGGGGGAATGGGGGCGAGGTGGGATTGACAATAAGGGGGGAACAGAGCTTTGGGTTGTGTGAGTACCCCTTGCGTCAGAGAAAGTGAGAGTGCATGTGATTATAGCGAAGTGAAGAAGATTATTGAAAGGCCTTGTCACAGCCTCACAGCACTTCCTCACCTAATGACATCAGAGAGAGAGAGAGAGAGAGAGAGAGAGAGAGAGAGAGAGAGAGAGAGGAGAGAGAGAGAGAGAGAGAGAGAGCCAGCCCCACAGCACTTCATCACCTACCCCTCCCCGGGAGTACACGACTTCCTCCGCAGCTGTGCCGAGCTCGCGGGCAAGCGGCGGTTCAACGCAGCGCCAAAATCGAGGGAGGTGGCCAGGCTGCTCACGGAATACCGGCAGCGCTGGAGCGTCACACTCCAGCGCGCCCAGGCCAATGCCCTCCGCGACAAGACCCACGAGGCCTTCGCCGCGGACGAGCTCGGCCTGCAGGGACCGTTTGGCTGCCTAGGGGAGGAGCAGCTGTACCAACTGCTGGAAGACCCTACCGGCCAATAGGGTCGTGGGGAGAAGGGGCAGGCGATGGAGAAGTTGTAGTACTTACCTGTTTGTTGCTTGTTGAGTCTTGTTTGTTTGTTTAGATTAGCTTACGCTTAGTACCTCTGTGTGTTCTGCCTTGCTGATTAATACGAAGGACCATTCGAGAGAGAGAGAGAGAGAGAGAGAGAGAGAGAGAGAGAGAGAGAGAGAGAGAGAGAGAGAGAGAGAGAGAGAGAGAGAGAGAGAGAGAGAGAGAGAGAGTGCAAAGTGATAATAGCGAAGGAGATTCTTCAGTCGACTACGAAACAATTACGAGGCGCGTGAAAGCTTTTCAACGCCTCCTTACCTAATGGCGTCAGAGAAAGAGAGAGTGCCTGTGATTATAGCGAAGGAGAGGCAAACGAAGGCCCACGCGCCCACGGGAAGCGGCCTGTTAGAGCGGGGCGAGGAGATGAAACAGCGAATTATGAGATGAAACGGCGAATTAGGAGGAGATGAAACGGCATTGGGCGGTGGGTTCGGGCACCGGGAAGAGTGGGGGAAACGAGAGGGGGAAGGCGGGAGTGCGGAGATGAGGACTAGCGGACATAACGACGTACGGCGTGACTTGTCCCCGTTATAAGCCGCGCCGTTCCTCACTCACCCGAGAATCAGCCCCGTTATAGTGGTGAGGAACACGGCCAGCAGCTGCCACGCTTGGTCCGTCAACCCCTCAGGAACTGCGGGGGGGGGGGAAGGAAGGGGGGGTGGGGGAGGAAGAGGGGGAGGAAAGGAGGGAGGGCGTCGTTATAGTGGTGAGGAAAACGACCAGCAGCTGCCACGCTTGGTCCGTTAGCCCCTCGGGTACTGTCGCGCGCGGAGAGGAGGGGGGATGTGGGTGAGAGGGGGGGAAGAGGAGGGGGAAGCAGATTGGGGAGTGGGGCGGGGGAAGGGAGGTGGAAAGGGGAGGGGGTAAGAGGGGGAAAAGCGGAGGGGGGGGAAGGGAGGGGGGAAGGGAGGGGGGAATGGAGGGGGGGAAGGGTAGGGGATGAAGGGAGGGGGAAAGGGGGTGAGAACGGGGAGGAAGGTCTGGCATGCTTTCAAAGTCGACTCTGCGGAAGCCACGTTGAGTCCGCCGAGCCCTCTGGCACCGCGGCACGTGCATTCGAGCGGAAGGAGGAAGGGGGAGAGGGGGGGGAGGTTGAAGGGGAGAAGGGGGAGGGGAGTGGGGCGAGGAGCACACCTGGAATATAAGCCCACCTGCAATTAGAGTGTACCTGGAATTAAAGCCCACGTCGCGAGCCCCACGCCGACAGACGCGGCGAACGGCAGCAACTTAACGCCGTCCCACGCAGACCCCGAGTCGCGACTCGAGTCGGCATCAACATCGCGCTCCTCATCTGCCGGCGACATCATGGTCGCCGTCGTCGCCACCGCCGCCGGTGCCGGCGGCGACCGCTGAGCCGGCCGCGGCCCGGTCCCTGCCGCAGCCGCCGCCGCCACCCCATTTCTGTGGTCGCGATGATGATTGGGAGAACCGTGAAAGTCATTCGCTGTTCTTGGTGTTTTTAACGAGGATGATTGTAGCGGGGAAGCTGATAACGAGGACGAGGTGGCGGAGGACACGCAGGCCTCTGATGGTAAGCTTCGGAGGGCGAGGTTGAAAGCGAGCGCTTCGGCGCTGAACGAGCTTTCCTGGAGCAGAGAGCGATGATTGGCGCCGGAAGGTGCGGCGTGAGTCACGGCGCGAAGCGCGGCGCCTCCCGCGGTCGACCGGTGGCCGGGAGAAGATTGCGGCGCGGCTGACACTCGCCGGTGATTGGGAGGGGAGGGGAATGACACCGGCCCGGTTCGGCGCCGAAGCGGCACGGCGGTTGTCTTTAACGCGGTTCGGCAGCCATAGTGCGGCTTGAGGCGAGACTTGGGTGTGGGCGGAGTGATTTTGCGGCGGGTTAAGATGGGCGCGAGAGACGGCGGGTGTCGCGGCGAGGAATTTCCGTGCTGAGGTTTTCCACAATTCTGTCTCCCAAGGTTTGTCGAATTGCTCGGGTTGCCGAGTTTGCTAGGGATTTTTGCGCAGATTAGACTTGTCGGGGCAAACGCGTTGGTTTGGAGCACTCCCGCCCATGACGGAAGTGCGGCTGTCATAATTTAGCGAGGTCGACGGAAAAATAGGAGTCTACGAACGACCACGCGTTTCTAAAAAATCCCTACGTCGTATATCTAATGCGCTCCGGTGAAGGTGGTAACTCTAGCGACTAGCAAACTCCAGACGGACAAGAGTGATGGTGGCTGCACAAGTTTACGAGTGTAAGATTCTAGAAACACGGATGTGTGGCGTCTTGTTTGATTGCTATCTATGGCGAACGAGGGGTGGATGGTGGTGGTGAGAGAGCGCGGGGGGGAAGGGGGGTGGGGGCGAAGGTGGAGCGGGATGAGCGGGAACGAGACAGAGCAGAAATCAGCGCGGGGTGAGTGAGCAGAATGGTCAGCGCGGCGCGGAGTGAGTGTCATGGAGGAGACTAGAGAGGAGCGAGAGGGGAGCGTACTCACACCAGTTGGGGCAAGACAGCTATCGTCGCATTGCGGAAGGGAGGAAGCGGAGCGTTTGCGCGTTTGATCTAGTGGTGGTGTGGCGCCCTTCCGCGACAGCTGGGAGGGATCACAATTTGCCCAAGGAGCCGCCGAAACTCGTTGCCGAAGAGTTGACGGCGTTCGGTAACGTTGTCGTCATCCAATGGAAAGCAGAAACACCAGTTTTTCCTGCCCGCGTTATCCATCACGACGAACCACTAAGCGAGGCGCCAGCAACCCTTGGCCAACGCTGATTGGTGGTAATTTGTTTTGTTGTAAATCAGTGTGCGGAGCGTGGTGGGCTGGGTTCCATTCAATCCAATTGACCACTTTCCATTCGCTCTCGCCCCCTCATAATATTTTCTTTCCTCACTTCTGGCCTGCCCTGACCAATCCCCGTCAGCGATCAAGGCGCAAAAGAACGAAGCACTGCCAAGAAGAGCACGTGCGCGTCCCGCCAGCGTTGCGTCATTCTTCGAAATGATATGTTGGATGCGCCAAAGGTGTGGCTCAGACCGCATCATCCTAAAGGCTGCTCCAGCTCACGAACTCATGGTGGGGAAGGGCGATGAGGAGTGGACGCCTTCGATCTCAACACATCATGGAACTGCGCCTGCATGGACGGCGGAGATGAGTCACGTGAGTCACAGATCAACCAACCAGAACAAGCGGGAATTGGGCGCACCATTGCGATTGGCCTCGTCGCGTTACGATATTTACGTGCACAAGTTGAAGCGATATAGACATTCTCGCTCTTCGTCAAGGAACAAAATTATACCCATTTGATTTGTCTACCTAAAAGTGCTATACTCCAAACTTTGGACCTTTTCTTTTTAAAGAGCCTGGTTTGATAGTGCCTGTTCAACGTTTACTTCGACTTTTATTCAACCATAAGTTACATTGCATGGTGTATACTGCTTGTAAAATCTATTAATCGTGCCATCAAATTGATTTTCCATGTTTCAAACTCTCACACGGAGAAATATATGATTGGACGGGTTAATATTTTATTGCTCAAAAGATATGTTTGAGCTTGTAATTATTGCAAACATAACATTCACAGTATGACTAGATGGAGTCAATAAAGCTAAACCAATCACAGCAAATGAGAACAACCTAATGACTTCTTATATTGGCTATTTCGCAAGCTGTACAGCGGATTAGAACCAGTATTGCCCCGATCTCCTTGTCAGATGCGTAGGGCGTTATAGGGTTCAGCAGTTCCCGGCCAGGGTAAAGCAAGCATTACCACCTCGTCCGTTCGTGTACCGCTCCTTAATATCCCCTAATTTTGATCTGCGCATTCGCCGTCGCTAGCGTCAGTTGTTTGCAATCTCATCGACGAGACATCGCTGATTTGAAAGCTTCTAAAGCGGAAAGATGAAGCTCGTCAGGTAGAAATCACCGATTCATTCTAATGGCTGTTGATTCATTCCAATGGCTGTTGTTTCATTCCAAATCGTACGCTTCCAAGGCGTCGGCTTGCTGTTTTCTGACAATCTGGTTGCTCCTGAACTTGTGCAGGTTTCTTATGAAGCTCAACAATGAGACGGTGTCCATAGAGCTAAAGAATGGCACGATTGTACATGGGACCATTCTCGGTAAGGCACTTAAAATCGCATCTTGCCTTCCCATCGCTGAACTCAATCAGCTACGCATTTTCCCAGACCAACCAACTCATCCGTTCTTTTACAATATAGGTTTGAACCCCTCATTGCTAGCCGTGTGATATTCGATTCCTCGTCTAAAACTCCCCCATTTTCCCTGATTTTCCTCCTTGCGCTCTGCTGGATTTTTCCGCTCTTTCCGTTTGGCGGATCTTCTTGAACCCGCAAATAGTCGTCGCTCTAAGATGCTGGCAGCTTGACAATTGACAATTGTACGTAGGTGCAGAGGTAACACGATCTTCTCATCACGCAGCTCATTTCTGTCTCCTCATTTTGTCCTCAATCTTTTTCCCGTTTTCCCCGTTTCGCTGCTGTGTCTCCCTCCCCACCTGCTCCCTTCTCCCACGCCCGCACTCCCCCACCCCTCCTTCCCTCCCCCTTTTCTCCACTCCCCTCCCTCCCTTCCCCTCCTCCCCGCCTTTCTCCCCCCACTCCTCCCAATCACTATGCTTATTTCGTGGATCTTTCCGCTAAAATACATCAGGGGTGGACATCAGTATGAACACCCACCTAAAAACAGTGAAGCTTACAGTCAAGGGCAAAAACCCAGTAGCCCTGGATCATTTGAGTGTACGGGGGCATACAATCCGATACTTCATTCTGCCAGACAGCTTGAATCTTGACACGCTATTGGTGGATGATGCGCCCCGACGAAAGGCAAAGAAACAACCAGCAGGTATGTGCATCCATGGTCGGGGGCATGTGTTATTCATTTATTATGTTTGTGATGCTGTGTGATGAGCAAAGAAACAAACAATCTGATTTCTTTTGTTTTATGATTGATTTTGCAGGGCGGGGTGGAGCTCTGGGAAGAGGCAGGGGACGAGGAAGGGGCAGGGGTCGCGGCCGTGGCCGTGGCTGATATCCCTTGGGCATGCAGTCTTCAAGAATTTAACAGTCAAACCAAACCTGCATGCAGTCTCCACGAACATAACACGTTAGTGTACACATTAATCTCATGTCATAGGTGGGAAGGTTTTTAGTAATGATAAGCTCGGCTGATAGGTGTTGAAAACCGTTGTATCATCAAACCGGCTGCAGGTTGATTTGTGTGTGCCAGACCCGATATCAGCATTTTCCAAGCAAGCGTCTCGGCACTCCCAAGATCCACAGCAATTGTCCCAGCCTTTGTCGCTTCTTTTCCTCGCTCACCTCGCCTGCCTCGCATAAAAGCTGGAAACGAACTCGCTGCACTGCACTCTGCACACGCCCTGAAATCAATTTCGCGCTGTCGTTTGCCGCCGCTTTACACTAGTCTACCATTCGCGTTTTCTCACGGTTGTCAACTCCCTCCCCCCACTGCGCGCGTCACGAATCCCTCCCGACGGTCTGCATGACCTCGCCTCTCGAACCACAGATGGCCCAGTTTCTGGTCTCGCATTGCGCAGGCTTGAATGTAGGGTTTGCTGGGAGCTTCTTGCTTCGGCTTACGGCCTTGTTAGTATTCCTAGAGATCCATAGCTGGTTGTTTTATCGAGTTAAACAAAGCTATAGGCGGATCGAGCAAGTTCTGCGAGTTGTATGGCTGCCTAGTAACCGATTTTGGTTCAGGACCCAACCCGACGGAGTATATTCCGTCCCGTCAGCAGCTGAATCCGTCCGGCCACCCTGACTGACTCTCGTAGGTGCTCTTGCCTCATTCCGGGGCTCTTCCCCTAAATTCCGTGTTACTCGAGCCAAATTCGCTACTATCACGCTTCTCGTTTTCCCGAGCATCCGTCAACTCGTCAGTCCTACTTGAGAGCACCGCTCGCGTCGTATTTTTAGGGTTTCGTTCCAAGATCCCCGCGCGCTGACTATGCCAAGTTAGAATCTCGTATAGTTAGCCTCGATAACGCGTTTAGCGCCGCGTCGCTCCCTGTCACCTCGTTCGCCGCAAAATCGTCTATTTCCGCGTCGCTCCACGCGTCATTGTACCCCCTCGGTCTTTCCTCCGTGTTTCTTTCACGTTCCCTTCATCCGGCCAGCCCTGTGCTTGTATCGGAAGAGCTTTTCGGATCCTTTGGTTGTTGCTCCGATAGTATTGACAGCACTTACGAAATTTCGGACCTGTTGAAGCGCAGCAGATGTAGTTTAGGGTCGCGACGTTGTTACCTTCGTGCAACCGTTGTTTCATTCATGTTACCGGTTGCTTCCGTCATTCTATCGTTTATTCCTTCTTGTTAGGCTTGATTC